TTGTGCTTTTTACAAACTGAAAGTTTGTAGTAGCCCTGCATCGAGCAAGTCTATTTGCACCATTTTTCCAACAGCAGTTGCTTACTTTACGTCTCTGGGTCATATTCTGGCAATGCTCACAATATTTCAGAGGTTTTCATTATCATCATATTTGAATTGCTAGCATCTCATGATAAAATTTTAGTGGACAAGAACCTGCTTCTTATGAAGGAGCAAAGAAAGCGGTTCCTTGAGACGGCATCTACTCCTGGTGAAGATGCTCTGAAGATTGTCGAAATGACATCAAAGGATTTAGAATATCACACAAACTTAGTTGATGGAGCAGCAACAGGGTTTGAAAGGATGGACTTTAGTTTGGAAAGAAGTTCTACTGTGAGTAAAATGCTATTAAAGAGCATCACATGTTACAGAGAAATCGGTCGTGAAAGGAAGAGTCAGTCGATGCAGCAAATTTCACAACTGTCCTAAGAAATTGCTGCAGCCACCTGCCCTTTACAGCCACCATTGTGACCGGGCGGCAGCCATCAACATCGAGGCAGGACCCTCCACCAGCAAGAAGAGTATGACTCACTGAAAGCTCAGATGATGGCTAACATTTTCAGCAATAAAGTATTTTAAAGTTAAGGCATGTACATAATTTTAGACATAACTCTCTTGCACACTTAATAGACTACAGTGTAGTGTAAACATAACTTTTCTATGCCCTGGGAAATCAAAAAATTCATTTGATTCACTTTATTGCAATATTTACTTTCTTGTGGTGTTCTGGAACAAACCTGCAATATCTCCATGGTCTGCCTATACTCACGTCACCAATCAAAGAGGGTCATCCTTACTGATCCCATGAACATCAAAAAGATAATCAATGAATACTGTGAATGGACACACAAATTTTGAAAATTTCAATACAGTGGATTGAGTCTTTGAAAGACACAAACTACCAAAATACACACAAGGAGGAAAAGGTTATCTGAATAATCCTCTAACTATTGAAGAAATTGAATCTTTAATTAGTAATCACCCAAAACCCAAAACCCTGATTGTTTCCCTGATGAATTCTACCAAACATTTAAGAAAGAATGAAACCAATTATCCACAATGTCTTGCAGAAAACAGAAGTAGGAAGAACACTTCCTAATTCAATTTATGAACCAGGATTACCCTAATGCCAAAACCAGGTAAGACATTGCAAGAAAACTACCCACCGTTATCTATTATGACCACAGATGCAAAAACACCTAATGCAATATTAGCAAACTGAATTCAACAAGGTGGAAAAAGAATCATACACCATGATTAGGTGGGATTTATTACAGTTATGCAAGACCAGTTCCACATTAGAAGAATCAATATAATCCATAACATCAAAGGTTAAAAAAAGAAAAATCACTTGATCATATCAGTCATTGCAGCAAAAGCATTTTTGACAAAATCCAACATTTATTTATGTAACTCTTAGCAAATTAGGACTACAAGGGAACTTCCTCAACTTGATAAAGAATATCTACAAAAAAATCTACAGTTAACATCATACTTAATGGTGAGAAACTACACTCTCTCCTGCTAAGATTGGGGACAAGGCAAGGATGACCTCTCTCACCACTCCTATTCAGCATCACACTTAAAGTACTAGCTAGGACAATATGACAAGAAAAGGAGGTTTAAAAGTATACAGATTGAGGAAAAAGAAAGAAAACTATCTTTGTTCAAAGATGACATGATTGTAGAGAATACCAAAGATTTGACAGAAAGAAGGGAAGAAAGAAAATTCTTGGATCTAATAGGTATAGCAAGGTTATAGGATACAGGATTAGTATCTGAAAGCCAGTTGCTTTCTTATATACCAATAATGCACAATTAAAGTTTGAAATTTTAAAAACACATCATTTACATCACCTAAAATAAATATAGCATAATATAAAAAACCCTGAGATTCACTCATGTTATTTTGCATAGCAGTAGTTGATTAGTTTTCATTCTATGTAGTATTCTATTTTTTTAAATCTATACCATTGTTAGTTTATCCATTCACCTATTGATGAATAGTTTGGATGCTTAGAAATTTTGACTATTCTGCATAAAGCTGCTCTGAACATTCTTTTTTTGAACACATATGCATTCATGTATCTTGGATACATGCCCAAGAGTGGAATTACTTAACTGAATAGATCAAGGTAGATTATGGTTAGCTCTTTTCCAATATATTACCCAATTTAAAGCTCCTACCAGCACCAGGAGTTCTGTTTGTTTTGCATCCTTGATAACACTTAATATTGTCCATCCTTGTACACTCCCGTCACTTTAAATACCATTTCTGTGTAGAGACTTTCCCTCGATCTTTATCTCCCACCCAGTGTTCTCCCCTGATGCAACTGGTACATCCAATCAATATGACATCTCTCCTTAGATGTCTTGTCAGTATTTCCAAGATAACAAGTCATTGAAGACCTCTCAAGTCCTCCTTCCTCCCAAAGGGTTTCTTCCCCTAACTTCCATATCCCCATAAAAAACACCACTATAGACTCAGCTGCTCTACCTGAACACCTGAATTTTCTTCCTTTCTCTCACTTCCGCATCCAATCCTTAAGTGAAGCTGTTGAGTTCTACTTCACTAATATGTCCAGAATCTGTCCATTTCTTCCCACCTTTACTGCTGATTCCTTAATGCAAATCATTATCATTCTTTTCTTTAACATATTTTTATTAAGGTATCATTGATATACAATCTTATGAAGATTTCACATAAGCAACACTGTGGTCATTGCATTTACCCATATTATCAAATCCCCCCCCACACCCCATTGCAGTCACTGTCCATCAGCATAGTAAGATGCTATAGAGTCGTTACTTGTCTTCTCTGTGCTGTACTGCCTTCTCTGTGACCCCCCTACATTATGCGTCCTAATCATAATACCCCTCAATCCCTTTCTTCCTCCCTCTCCATCCACCCTCCCCTACCCCTCCCCTTTGGTAACTGCTAGTTCCTTCTTGGAGTATGTGAGTCTGCTGCTGTTTTATTCCTTCTGTTTTGCTTCGTTGTTATACTCCACAAATGGGTGAAATCATTTGGTACTTGTCCTTCTCTGCCTGACCATTATCATTCTTGACCACATGACTGCTCAACAGCCAGAGGGATCTTTCTAAAAAATAAAGCAGTCATGTCATTGCCTTGCTTAACACCCTCCACTATCTCCCCTAGGGCTCTAACATAAAATCCCAACTCCTCACCTTGGCCTGAAAGTCTGTGAATGATTTGGTCCCTCCCACCTCTCTGACCTCACCTCCTCCCATAAGGAACTGACCATATTCTGGCCATTGCCTCTTCTTAAATACACCAGACTTGTACCCACCTCAGGACCTTTGCACTTGCTGTTCCCTCTGTCTGGGAAGCTCTTCTCTCAAATATTTGCTCAGCTGCCTCCTTTTCATCTGTTTGGGTCTTAGCCTAAAGGTCTCTTTCTCTAAAAAAACCCTCACTGACCACCTTGGCTAAAGTTGCCCCTCCACACCTCAGGCACCCTCTCTCATCCCTTTGTTTTCTGTATAGCTCTTATTTTCCTTATCTTATACTTAATGCTTACGTTCTCTGCTAGAATGTAAGGTCCCCAAGGGGTATAGTCCCTTGCTATGTCCCTACTGCCCATTGTCTGCATTGTCTACTATGGTAGCCACTAGCCACAGGTGGCTATTAAAAATAAATAGAATTAAGAATTCAGTTCTTCACAAGTACCAAATGATTTCACTTATTTGTGGAGTATAACAATGAAGCAAAACTGAAGGAACAAAACAGCAGGAGACTCACACTCCAAGAGGGACTAGTGGTTACCAAAGGGAAGGGGTAGGGGAGGGTGGGTAGGAAGGGAGGGAGAAGGGGATTAAAGGGCATTAAGATTAGCACACACAATATAGGTAGGTCACAGTGAAGGCAGTACAGCGCGGGGAAGACAAGTAATGACTCTATAGCATGTTACTGCGGTGATGGACAGTGACTGCAATGGGTGCGGAGGACTTGATAATATGGGTGAATGTTGAAACCACAATGCTGTTCACGTGAAACCTTCGTAAGATTGTATATCAATAATACCTTAATTTAAAAAAAAAGAATTCAGTTCTTTAGTCATGCTTGTCATTGGTCTGGATTTGAACCCAGGGCTGTCTTGCTCTAAAGCACATTCTACTCTCTTTCCCAAGAACCTGGCTGTTGAGAGGCACAGGCTGTCCTTGTCCTCCTACAGACCCTCTCACCCTGTGTTTGTTGTATCTAACTATTAAGAAGCTGTGGGAAGATTTACCAAAGGACGGTTGCCCAAGGCACTAAGGGGTTAGTGCTGATTCCATCCCAGTCATTGGCTGTGTGACCCTTAGCAAGTCCCTTTACCTCTCTGGGCAGTTGTTATAAAGTGAAGTAACTGACACTGATGGCTGGATATCTGGGGATGGCGGAGGGGGGTCGGGGACTGGTGTGACTGGGTGAACTCTTCAGATCCTGTCTGGCTCTGGTGCAGGCTAGCATGAGGAGGCAGGTGAGGCTGAAAGCGCTTCGGTCGGCTTCACGTCCAACAGCAGCTCCTGTTTCTTTAACGCCTACAGGTAAGATAGCGGAGGCTCAGAGAGGTAAAGCAACTTGGCCAAGGCTACACAGCCCGGGAACTGGCAGAGCTGATTAGAACCCGAGACTCCCTGATGTCATGACCCATCCCACGCGAGCAGGGTCGAGGGGCCCAGAGGGCGGAGCCGGGACCCACGGGAACCATAAGTAGTAGTCCGGTGAGAGGTGGTGAGCTCCCCGTCTCTGGGGGTGTGCAAGTCAGGGCTGGTCCATCCGCCCCGCCTGCGCCGGGGAGCCCCTCGCGGGCCCCTTCGGCCTTCCGCCGCGGCCACGGCCACGGCCACCGCTGAGGCGCGAGCGCGGCGCCGCGGGGGCGGGGCGGGGGCTGCTATTTCTGTCTGGTGAGCGCAGCCCGCGCGGCTGGGAGGGGGTGGGGGCGCGGGAGGGGGAGGGGGCCCGCGCCGCCATATTCCCTCCCGCCGGCCGGTTCGCGGCGCGCAGCCACCATGAGCACCGCCGCCTTCCACATCTCCAGCCTACTGGAGAAGATGACGTCCAGCGACAAGGACTTCAGGTGCGCCCGCCGCCCACCCGCCGGCACCGCGGGGCTCAAGCCCTCGCGCCGCGCTCCCCGCCTTCCCCGGGACCCTCTCCCCGCCGCGCCTCGGGGTGCAGCCCTGCGGTCTCCGTGCCTCCAGGCCCGGCCCCGTCTCCCGCCATGCAAACTGCAGCCCCGGCCTCCTGCCCCGCGTCGGGGCCCCTCTGCTCCCTTCCCCTACCCTTTCTCCCCTCATTTCTGCCCAGCCCTCCTCTCTCCCCGGAGACGCCGCAGGCCCTGCATTTCAACCCACAGCTGAAGCCCTCGGCCTCTCCTGGGGATCCCAGCGCCCGCCTCGTCTTCCCAGCATTGAAACCCAGCCCGTTCCCGGGGCCCCAACCACGGGGCTGACTTTTTCACGGGCACCCCCAGTATCCTCAGCTCTGCCCTCTTCTCGCAGTCGCCCCAGGCTGCCTCCCGGCACCTCATCAGGGCGCCTTCTCCCATCCCTCCGTTCCCAGGTTTGCTGTGACTCAGGCTGAGGGAGGGGGCTGGGCCGAGTGGCTTTGCGGGCCGGGTGGGTGATGGCTGGGTGGGAGCTTCCAGGTTTTGTCCACGCCCCTTCCCCGGGTTCCCCCTCGCCCAGCATCACTGATCCACACAGGAAGGGAGCTGAGAAGAACCAAGGAAGCCTGTGCTGCGACAACTGCATCCTCAGGGGGAGATCGAGGCCTAGGGAGGCAAAAGGGTTGGCCCTTGGTCCCACAGCCAGGTCTGGATCCTCCGGGCTGAAAGGAGCCACAGAGGACAACAAAGCTGGCCGATAGAACATCCTGTTATTTATTCCCATGTTACAGATGGGGAAACTGAGGTTCCAAGGCAGGAAGGGCCTAGGTGCAGTCACAGAGTTAGGAAGTGGAGGACTTGGGGTCCCAGTCCAGGTCAGTCCAGCACAGAGGCTGAGATCTAAGTGAGGCCATCTGATTCCAGCTCCCTGACAGGTAAGGAGACTGAGGTCCTGCTCTCCTGGTCTGACCCTTGCCTTTTCCTGGAATCATTCTTCAACATCCCTTAGGAGCCTCTAGTGGAGCTTTAGTAGAGCCTTTGGGCCACAGTCCTGAGTTCAGATCCTGCCTCCAATGACTTACTGGCTGTGTGACCATGGACAAGCTGCTTAACCTCTCTGAGCCTCAAGTTCTGTTTCTATAAGATGGGGATAATAGTAGAACCCACCTCAGAGGATTGGCCTGAGGATGAAATGAGTTAGTACATGTGGAATGCTAAGATGAGTGGCTGGCTCCAGGTAAGCACTTAATAAATGGGCACCATTATGATTCCACACACACCAGAAATCTGCCAGCCCCTCTCTGCTCTGGGGCTTTGCCCTGCCCCTCCACATTCATTTGCCTCCTTCACCTGGCTAGCTCCTCCTCAGTTGTCACCTCTTTGGGGTACCTCCTGGCACCCTGGCAGAGTTAGGCACCTTCTCTGAGCTCCCAGAGAACTTCCCTGCTCCATGTTTCTATTGTATCATTTCTTAGCCTGGGGATACCCAGAGTCTCTGCATGAGGACTGTGCCCTTCTGGGTATAGTAGGTGCTCAGCAAATGTTTTCTGTGTCCCAGGCTTCCTGCTGCGCCATTCAGGGTAAATCTCAGTTGTCTACCCATCTGCCTTGGTGGTAGTGATTGTTCTTCCTGTTCTCCAATGGCTTAGAGAGGTGAAGTGATTGTCCAAGGTCACATGGACAGCCAGTGGCTTGAGGGAATTTGCACTATTGTCTTTTGGGCCCCAGGTCCAGTCTCCAGGAGAGGGAGTTGGCTCTGCCAACTAGAGCCTGAGAAGCACTCTCAGCCAGCTCTGCCAGCAGCTCTGAGAACACTTAAAACCACCCCAAGCATATGAGGATGGTGTCTATTTTTAAAGTCTGGATACCAGGAGGGCTGGGTCCTGCTGACCAACTGTCCAGGTGCCATGTGGCCAAGTGTTTCAGCTGAGTTGCCTCTAGGGTTTCTCTGGAATGAAACTGAGACTGTGTCCTCTGGCTCCTGGACGTGGGTGGTGACTGCAAATGGAGGTCCCATGCAGGGTGAAGGAAACCTTTGATCCCTGTTGTTTCTGGGCCCCGGCTCTGTGGGCAGGAAGTTGCTCTGTTCCCACTGAGACTCCAACAGTCAAATGGATAAAATGGGGAGTCTTGCAGGAATTCCCAAGCCATTTTTTGAAATCACAGTAGTATTGGTTGAGGAGCCAGGAGACCTGACTGGTAAGCTGATTCCCCAACTTGCTGTGTGGCCTTGAGCAGTTCCTGTAACCTCTCTGAGCCTGGTTTTCCCATCTGCCACATGCAAAGAGCTGGTTGTCCTGTTAAAACCTCCCAAGGATGTATGAAGTGGGGCAAAGAAAAATTCCATTTGTTAGATGGAAAACCTGAGACTTAGGAGTCAATCTCGCAAGATCACCTTGTTGTTAAGTGGTAAGACCACTTTATTTACTTAAAGCCAAACTTCAGTGTTCAAGCTCTTATGTACCAAATTATACACTTTCCTGTACACCTGCCACCACCACCACTACACAGTACACAATTGGGCTTTCTCTGAGTGCTGGGTGTTTGCAGGAACTCGGGGTTGTCTGAAAATGCTGAGGCATATTTCAGAAGGGTTAGCTTCTGAGTTTGGGTTTCCACACAGCTCTTTGGTGCTGAGCCCTGGCTCTCTGCCTCCCCTCCTTCCCTTGCTCTGCTCAGACCCTCTTCAGACTTGTCCTTTGTTGGGCCTGGAATCCCAGAGATGAACCCAATGGGCCTCTGTGTGTTCATAGCTTAATGGGGGCGACATGCTGGTGACTAAGCTTGCAGTGCAGTTTGAGAAGTGCTATAATGGAGTGCAGAGTGCTCTGAGAGAATCCTGCCCAGGAGAACCAAGTGCAATTAGAGCATGTGGGTTGGGGATAGGGCGGGGTGGTCAAAGGAGTCATCCCTGAAGCTGGGACATTTGAGTTGGGTCCTTAACAGATGAATAGGAGTTCAACAGGTGAAGAAGAAAGAGGAGGGCTTCATCTTAGGCAAAGGAGCACATCCCTTGGGTTGCCAGGCTCAGCTGAGTCTCCATGGACTGCTGCAGAAGCCCAGAGACCCTGCCTGCCTTCTCAGAAAGTGGCCTCAGCTGGGCAGACCTTGGGGTACATGTATATACCCCAGGCCTTGTCCTGGCTCAGAGCCAAACCTCCTCTTTCACCTTATCTCAGCTGCTTCTCCTGCAATGACCAAGCCTAGAGGTGGGCACCATTACGCTTGCCACTCTCTCCTCGCCTCCAGCCCAGCCTCCTTCCTTCTCTCAGCAGCTTGGGGCTCATCCAGTTGTTAAAAAAAGCTGACATCCACATGTGCCCTCCTGGTACCAGAGTCTCTGGGCCGCCATCCCATCAAACAGCAGGTCTGAGCCTGCAAAGATGAAGCTAGAATCCTTACTTTGACCCATTTTGCTGCAGGAGGCTTGGGGAATAGGGCTCTCAGTTGACTCACTCAAGCCAGAAAGCAAGGCTAGTGTGATTAGGCAGAGGGGTCTGATGGGCCAACAAAAGCCAGAGGCTTTTTCTGGGGTTGCCACTCTTTGGCCCCAACTTTGTGGCATCTCTCCTCATTGCTCTGTCCTGCCTTTACCAGTCTCTACTCTAAAGTGCTTGCAAGAGCCAGAAAATGGGTGCAAGGGCCTAGTGGGAACCCGGTAAACTAGATAGTGCATGTCCTACCTAAAGAGGGCAGCCACGGCTTCCCTCTAGCCAGTTATTGTCGCCATGGAACATAGGCCCAGTTGCATTCAAATAGTCTGTTTTCCAGAGAATCTGGAAATCAATACTTTGATGTCAACTCTCTCAATTTTCAAATATCGATAAATAATTCAAATTTGTGGAAAACATTGGCAAGGTGGACATGGCAGAGGCTGCCAGTTTAAGACTGCTCTCTCTCTTAATCTTGGCAGAGATAGGGCTCCATAATGCCCCCACAGGCCCAACTCTCCTTGGCCTTCCAGCTCAGACTCCCACTGCAATGTCAGATGCCCAGGACAGGGCATCAGGCCTCGCGGCCGTGCTTGCCTGTGGGTGGGTAGGGCTTGACTCCGATGTCCACCCAGGGTCAGGGAGCCCTGGCTGGGGACTGGCTGGCTGGCTGTCGACAGCAGTGCAGTGTCTGAGATATATGTGTTCCTGGCCCATCAGCCTGGCCTAAGGCAGTAGTTCTCAGAGTTAGTGCCTACCCCTCAGCATCATCCGGGAACTTGTTAGAAATACAAATTCTTGGGCCCCATCTCAGACCTAGTGATTCCAGAAGCCCTGGGGATGGGGCCCAGCAGTGCCTGGAGGTGATTCTCTTGCTGGCTATGGGTTGAGAACCACTGGTCTAAAGGCAGGGGCTGAGTCGATTTTCAGAGGTGGGAATGGGCAGGGCAAGCCCCTCTCCACCTGTCTGGTAGAGACAATATCTTGCTGACACCCCTCTTGGTTGCAGGGTGTCTGGTCGACCCTCTAGCATCTATCTGTGTGTGTGTGTGTGTGTGTGTGTGTGTGTGTAATGTGAATGGTGTAATGTGCCATCGTAATAGTGGCGGCGCTATTTACTGAAGACTTACTGAGCGCTCACTGTGTGCTAAGCACATTGAATACATTATCTCATTTTATCTTCCATACAACTCTGTGAGACAGCTGATCACCCCCATTTTTCAGACAGGTGAACCAAGGCTCAGAGGGATGAAGTGACTTGTCCGAGTTCACATTTTCGTAAATGGCTAAAGCAGGAGCCATCAGCTTTGGAGCCCTAAGCGTTTAGGCAATATGTGGAACCACACCTCATCTGCCACAGTGTGGCAGTTGGTGTCTCCCACACGGGTTTCCTTGGGGTAGCCAGACCGGGCCCACAGCCCACATAATCTCACGCCCTTGAGTCTTTGTATCAAGGTCTGTTTCTGGAGGAGCTCTGAGCTGCTTGGCAGTCCTCCTGTGCCCTCCCCGCTCAGGTTCATGGCCACCAGTGACCTCATGTCGGAGCTGCAGAAGGACTCCATCCAGCTGGATGAAGACAGCGAGCGCAAGGTGGTGAAGATGCTGCTCAGGCTCCTGGAAGACAAGAATGGGGAGGTGCAGAACCTGGCGGTCAAGTGGTGAGCGTCAGCCTCGGTGGGGCAGGCGGGGCACCTGGTCAGTGGGGGAGCGCCCCAGGTATCCCTGCTCCTCGGGGCACAGCCTCCAAGAGAAGAATCGCTGAGCAGCTCTTGGAGCCCCAGGGGAGTTAGTGCCTTGGTCTCGGTTCTCCCAGAAGTAGACATAGTGACAAGGACTCAAGTGGAAGTTGATGTGGGAAGTGAACCCAGGAAACTCTAGGAGGGAAATGGGGAAGGCAAGGAAGGAAGACAGCCAATAAAGTGTGTGTTACCAAGTGGAGCTTAACCTACTGGAGTCCTTTGGGACATAGCATAGGACCTACCCCTCGGAGTGTTACCTCCCCGCCAGCTCTCTGCCAGTACTTGGTTGAGGGCTGCTCCTGGGTTAGGGTGGAGGGTCCTGCATTCCCTGGCACGTCCAGCCAGAGAAAGCCCTCAAGCACAAATGCAGGAACCAGCAGCTGGGAGGTCAGGCTGGTATACACAAGAGTGTGAAAGCTCAAGGGACTTGGGGGGCTCCAAAAGCCTTTGCCCTAGGCATCATGAGGGTGCCTCTCTTTCTGGAAAAGTAGGAAGTCCCCTGTTGATCTGAGGCCCTTTTCCTAAGCATATGTGGCCCCAAGGGCATGAGGAGACATAAGGGGCAGCCTGATCCAGCCTGAGCCTGAGGCTTTTGAACACCCTCCCTCTCTCCCTGCTCAGCCTGGGTCCTCTGGTGGGCAAAGTGAAGGAATACCAGGTGGAGACCATCGTGGATGCTCTCTGTGCCAACATGCGGTCAGACAAGGAGCAGCTCCGAGACATTGCTGGCATTGGCCTCAAGACCGTCCTGTCGGAGCTCCCCCCTGCAGCCACAGGTACCCAGGTCACCCGGATGAAGTACTATGATGACTTTTCCTAGCTTCTGATTAAAGAAATAGACTCAGAAAGGTGAAGGGACTTACCTAAGGTCAGCCAGCTAGTAAGTGGCAGAGAATTCAGACCCGGATCTATAAAAGTTCATGACTGTATGTCGGGAATGCAAAAATCTAACTAATGACAACTTGAAGAGGTAGTGGTTGCTTTTCTCACTTAGTTCTGGAGGGATCAGCCACTCCATTTTTGCAGCGATTCATTTAGCAGCTCAGTTAGGACAAAGTTGAGGTTGCTCCCTGGGTCTCTTGCCTTTTCTAAGAAAAGCATGTTTCCCCAGAAGCCCTAAGAAGATTTCTGTCTATATCTCCAAGGCCAGAACAGGGTCACTGGACCCTTCCCAGCAGCAAGGGAGTCTAGAAAAGGAAGTGCTGAACTTTTCCTGCCTCCCTAGTAGGAGGCAAGAGGATGGCAGAAGGGATTGGGTGTGAGGTGAGTCAGCCAGCAGGGCAGCCGGCAAGTTTTTCAGCAACCCTAGCTGTCTTCTTTAGCTTGGTCAGACCCTGGGTCAAACCCTGGACCACTGGAACGCAGGTTTCCCCAGGTCAGCAGGATTCTCAGGGCCATGGGCTTAGGAACCCAACCAGAGCAAAGGCTGGCCTGAGGTGGAGACCAGCTCTGGGCCTCACGAAGACATTCTTGTGCTCTGTGCAGGCTCCGGCCTGGCCACCAGTGTGTGCCGGAAGATCACCGGCCAGCTCACCAGTGCCATCGCCCAACAGGAGGATGTGGCTGTGCAGCTGGAAGCCCTGGACATCCTCTCTGACATGCTGAGCAGGTGCAGGAGGCCAGTCTGGACAAGGAGGCCTGGGATGGTGGTGCAAGAGGACAAGGAGGGACTCAGATCCACAGAGCCGGCACTTACTGCACGCCAGGTCCTGTGCTTGGGGCTCCTTAATTGTACTGGCAGCCCTGTGAAGGAGAATTCGTTTGTCCCAATTTTATAGGCTCTGAGGCCTGCCCAAATGGCAGAACCCAGGTCTACCCATAGCTTGAAGCCTTGTGTTCATCCTTTCCTCATCCCCTTCTTTCTCCCTCTCTCTCTTTTTTTTTTTTTTTCATCTTTTGGGCTAATATAGCCAGGCTTTTGTTTTAAATTGCACTTGACATTTTTTAAAGTGTTCATTCAGTCTTCCAAGACTTGAGCACTTGTTCCGTGGCCCCAAAAATGTCAGGTGCTGGGCTGGTGCCGGGAATATAGAACTGGCTAGGAAGGAGCTCAGAGACACACAGATGATGAATGGGGTAAGAACAGTAAGGATGCAAGCAGTCCCTGAGGGGGCTCAGAGGAGGAGCCCCTAACCCAGCTGGTGGGTGGGCACCTTCCTAGAGAGGGTGCTACTAGCTGAGACTTTAGGGGCAGGCAAGACTTGGCCAGGCATGGGCAGGCATAAGAGGGTGCTGGAGGGGGAGACGGCCCTCAGCCCAGTAGGCAGAGGCTGGAGAAGACATGGGGTCCTGGGGAGGAGGTGTGCAGGGCGGTCATGGAGCTGGGGTGTACTCTGCAGGGATGGGTGTAGAGAAATGAGGCCTGAGCACTGGACAGGAGCTGGGACTGGGTGACCAAAGATTACACACAGGATGTAGGGAGCCCATGAGACGTTTGGGGGCAGGGGCTGAGGAGCACCTGCACGTGTTGTGTGTGGTCTTGTCTGTGTGTGCATGGTAGATGGGAGGGGGCTGAACGGGCTGGGAGTGTGGTTAGCATGCTTCTGCAGGCAGGTGAATTCAGGTTGTATTTAGGAGGTAGATTCCACAGGGCTTGGAGCTGGTGAATTTAAGGATAACACCAGGGACCTGGCTTTACTAACCAGAGGCACAGATACAGGGCCATTGGCTGTGGTGGGGTGGATTCAGTTTGCGGTGTGTTGAATTTGAGGTATCTGGAAGCACCCACTCAACCAAAAACTCCATGAGGGCAGGCTCTCAGGCTAAGAGTATGTCTTGAAACCCCGAGCTTCCAGGCACAGCCCGTCACATAGCAGATGAACAAATAAATAAGTGGAACCCAGGAGAGAGGGTTGGACAAAAAGATATGGGAGAGTGAGGTCAGTGCATTTGTGTGGAGTGAGAGAAAAGGTCTCAGGACATGTAGGGGACAGAAAATGCACAGGCCTCTTTTGAAGGTGAGGATAGAAGCAGCTGAGGTGGGCAGTGGGCTGCCTTTGACCTGTGCAGAAACTATTTTCTGGTTTGCCTCTTGCTTTGAGCCCAGAGCTCAGCTTATCCGAAGGGCACCTGGGGAGCCATTGAAGGAGTTAGGCAGAGGAGTGACCAGGTCCACAGGTAGATTTTAGACCTCTCTAGTCTCCATGAGGATAGACCTAGGAGGAGGGTGGACACTGAGGCAAGGCCCAGACTCCCAGGAAATGGTGACAACCCCACTGAAGGCCCCACATCCTATAACCATCAGGCCTTCTTCTGGGGCTGATAGCCTGGGCACTTGGGTTCAGGTCCTGGCCTTGCATTTCTTGGTGACCCTAAGGAAGTTCCTTCCCCTCTCCGCTTTCTCTCCTGCAATAGTAAATACAGTAATTACCCCCACACAGCTGCCAGGCGCCTTTCAGTCTCCTAAAGGCCATTGGGTTGCCATAACTCCAGGGAAGAGGCCAGGAGAGGATGGGGAGACGGGAGAGGAGAGGTATCTGGCCCAGGCTGCCCTTTTTGGTGAGCCCTTCCTGACGCCCCGTCTGACTCCCCAGGCTGGGTGCACCCCTGGGCGCCTTCCACGCCAGCCTCCTGCACTGCCTGCTGCCGCAGCTGAGTAACCCGCGCCTGGCGGTGCGCAAGCGGGCGGTCGGGGCGCTTGGCCACCTGGCGGCCGCCTGCAGCACTGACCTCTTCGTGGAGCTCGCCGACCACCTTCTGGACCAGTTGCCTTGCCCGCGCACGCCCACCAGCCTCGCCGCTGTCCGCACCCTGATCCAGTGTCTGGGCAGCGTGGGTCGTCAGGCAGGCCACCGCCTAGGTAAGAGGACGGGAATTAGAGCGGGGCCCGGGGGCGGGCCGCCTCCTGGGTGAGGGGGCGTGGCTGAGGCAGGGAGATGCTGGGGTGTGGCTGGGGCGCCTAGAACGGGGAGGGCTGGGCTTGGTGTTTCTGAACTTCATCTACCTACCAATCTGTCCCTATACTCTGATTATAATTATTAATCATGCCACCAAACATAAAATACGTTCTGACCTCCTACTTTAATACCTTAGTAACAGCCCATAAGTCAGGTTTGAATATTTAAAAATTTTACTGGGGGATAATGTACATACAAATAAACCATACTATTTATAGTGTACAGTTTTCAGTGTGTTTTAACCTTTGTATACACCTGGGAAACTACCACCACAATCAAGATGCCTAACATTGCCATCCCCTGCAAAAGTTTCTTTGTGTCCCTTGCAATCCATCCCTCCCACTGTCCTACCTCAGGCAACCGCTGATCTGCTTTCTGTCACCACAGGATAGTTTCATAGAAATGGAATCCTGTAGTAGTGTTTGAATTTATTTTCAGACACTCTGGAGTTCCAGGCTAGAACAAGGTAGCGCTTAGTGTTGGCCACGATCTGCCTTTCCCTTCCCTCTGGCTCTCTCACTACAAGGGACTCTATAAGCATGCATGGGGACCTCAGCCCACAGTCCACACTCTGTCCACATCCCCCCAAACAGCAGCCACCCTTTGGCCACTCTTGGGAGTATGGACCTGGGAAGGAGGCCTGTCTGGGACCTGGACAAGGGTTTAGGGTCAGTTGGTCAGGAAAACGGGAAAGGGTGAATCTGGAGAAGGGTTAGGGTGCAACCCTCTGAACCCTGGGACCAAGCAGGGGCTCCCCTCTTGCCCAGAGTATAAGGGCATTACCTGCCTCTCCCTTTTTCCCATCCAGGGCTACAACCTAGTGCGGGAGATAAGGCTAGGACATGAGAAATAGTTTCAACAAGATGCTATTTATTGAGTGCCTGCTCTGCCAGGACTTGAGCTGAGCTCTTTATCTGCATCATATCATTAGTCTTCACAAAACCTCTGCCTGTAGGCTTGTTATCCCTACTGTGAAGATGAGTAGACTAAGGTCTGAGAAATGTGATATGCCCAGCATCCCACTGGAGCCCACATCTGCTCAGCTCCAAAGCCTCTTAAGTTGAGTTTGCAGTGGTCAGGCTGCAGGTGCAGGGACAGGCTGAGTGCTGTGGGCTGGGGGAGCCCAGAGAGGGCTGGCCTGGCCTCAGTGACTCACTTGGCCCTGCAGGGGCCCACCTGCACCACCTGGTGCCCTTGGTGGGAGAGTTCTGCAACCTGGATGATGATGAGCTCCGGGAGTCCTGCCTCCAGGCCTTTGAGGCCTTCCTGAGGAAGTAGGTGCAGTGCGGGTGCCGGAAGCTGGGGCCCTGGGGTTTCTTTGGGAAGTCAGTGGGGATGGGTGGGGGCAGGGCGCTGGCCTCAAAGCAGTAAGATGTCAGGACTCACCACGGCCCCCGCCTCCACCCTGCCCTGCTCGGGTCCAGCAGAGCCTCCCGCATCCCGCCCCACAGGTGCCCCAAGGAAATGGGCCCTCACGTGTCCAATGTGACCAGCCTCTGCCTCCAGTACATGAAGTACGACCCCAACTATAACTATGACAGTGGTGATGATGATGAGGAACAGATGGAGACAGAGGACAGTGAATTCAGTGAGCAAGGTAGGTGGCCAACTTGTCATTGGGGCTGGAGGGTGGAAAGGGACCCAGCCCTCCTGGGAGGCCCCTCTCAATGAGCCAAAGAGAGGGCCACACCGGTGTCCCCATCCGGACCCCAAGTCCTCCTCAGGCTCCAACCCTGCCATCCACAGTCCGGATTCCCTGAGGACCCCACCCTCTGCACAGATCACAGTAACGATGGTGATTGTTGTCATTTATGGAGCATCTCCTGGGATCCTAAGCCCTCTCTTCTTGCCATGTTCCTTACAGTCGCCCTAGAAATCAGGCTTTTGTGATTATGGCCCTATTCAGACAAGGAAACAGAGATACACAGTTAGGAAGTGGCCCAGCTGGAACTTGGGAACCGTGTCTGCCAGGCTCCCTTAACTCTGTTACCGCCACTGTGCCTGTTTAGTAATGGCTTCCAAGACACAATGCTTTAACCCAGCAAAGTGAAGCTCTAATGGTGGAATGATAGGCAGGGACAGGGAGAGACATACCTGGATGGGGAATGGACTTGATGTGCCTGTGGTCCTGTCTGTCACTTAGACATATGCCCCTGGGCCCTGGAAGCAGAGCATTGAGGGAGGTAAGGGACCTGGGCCTGATGGGGCCCTTGTAATAAGATGGGATGGTCGGAGACAAGATTGGACAGGCATGTTGGGGCCTTGAATGCCAAGCCAGGGAAGGGAAAGATTGGGCATGTCCTTGTCGGTAGCAGGGAGCTGTGGATGTTCCGTCGTGGGTGGCATAGGGTGGAGGTAACAGTGTTCCATCAGAGGGGATCATCCGTGGCGCCCACTGTGTCTAGATGCCAATGCTCTGAGAGTGAGTCCTCTGCAGGGCAGTATGGGCAGGCGAAACATGCTAGCCTTTTATCCTGTGCCTGGTGGTGTCCCTTGTTAGGACTGTCCCCTCTCTGAGTCTCATGTGTGTCTCCCCAGGTGATATGGGTGGGCCTCGTGGGTTGGAATCTCAGCTCTGCTGTTTTCCAGCTGTGTGTCCTCAGAGGAGTCTCTCATCCTGTCTGGGCCTTATTCTTATCATCTCTGAAGTGGGGCTCAAGGCACCTTCATCCTGAGGTGTGCTGCAGACCTGATGAGTCTGGACTCTCTAGAATTTGAAGCATAGAAAGCCACACAAATACAGCTTTTCTTATTGGTAGCCCTGCTTGGAGGCCAGAATCAGGACCCTTGAGAGGCTGGGGGTGGGGAGGCAAAGGGTGGCCTGATTGCTTCTCTCTACTGCAATCCTAGTAATTGAAACATCGCACAGCCAGTCCTGAAACCAAAGGGCGAATTTTGTGCTCCAGATGGATTCTGTAAGTCCTCACTGAAGACTTGAAGTCAGTTTTTTCCCTGGTATAGTCAAAACAGCGAAGGTTCTGGAGGCAGAGAGGACCCTGATTTAACTCTAGCTGTCTTCCCGCTCACATAGCTCATAGTGGGCCTTTTCCTACTAAGCCCCAGTTTCCTCCAGTTTACAGTGGGGAAATAATGTCAGTCTCACCAAGTCATTGTGAGGCTGACGTGAGATTGTCGATTTGAAGTGCCTGGCGCCATCTCTGGCATGCAGTAGGTGTTCATTAAATGGAAGGTCACATTCCTAATAGTGCGTAAATAACAATCATCAAAAGGCGAAGCCAGGCCCCCTACCTCCTCTCTGCTCCTCACTTGTCAGTTCTCCATCGTGGGAGACAGCCTGGGTGAGGCTGGGTGGCTCCCTGACCTCTACTGCAGTGCTCAGGGCTCCATGGGTGTCTTGTTCCTGCCCCAGAGAGTGAGGACGAATACAGTGACGATGATGACATGAGCTGGAAGGTGCGCCGGGCAGCAGCCAAGTGCATGGCGGCCTTGATTGGCTCACGGCCAGACCTGGTGCATGACTTCCACCGCACCCTGGCGCCTGAGCTCATCCACCGCTTCAAGGAGCGCGAGGAGAACGTCAAGGCCGATGTCTTTGGAGCATACATTGTCCTGCTGCGGCAGACACGGCCTCCAAAGGGGTGGTTAGAGGCTGTCGAGGAGCCCACCCAGACCGGCAGCAACCTCCACATGCTGCGGGGACAGGTAGGCATGCCTTCACCTGTCTCCCATGCCTCCCACCTGCTTACAACCCTTCCAGCTGCTCAGCTGCCCATCCTTCCACCCGCTCCACCCTCTGGCCGCCCACTGAAAGTACATAGTAGGCACCTACTATGTGCCCTGTGTGTAAGGTATTGTGGTACAATGGGGACCACACAGCCTAGGGGCAGATAGCAACACAAATAGATCCCTGAGCAGGAGTTTCAGAGGGAAATTGCAGGATCCATTCATGTCTGGAATAGCTCACTCTGCTGTGCGGGGGATGGACTGTAACCGGGCAGGTGAGGATAGAGGCTAGAGACCTGTTCAGGTGAAAGGGGTTGGTGCCTTGGACCAGGGTTGTGGGTTGGGGGCAGAAAGGAGTGGGCAGACTCCAGAGGTAGATTTTGGGTCTTGCTGGTGGATTGGGTGTGGAGGGTGAGGAACGAGGTGTCATGTGGGCTCCAGGCTCTGACTAAAGCATGAATTGGCAGCTCCCAGAGATGGCGGAGAGGGGGATGCCTAGAGTTGTGTTCTGATCATTTATGTTTGAGGCCCTTGGACACCTGAGTTGAGAGGTCAGGGGAGCAGTTAGCACACTAGTCTGGCATTGGAGATGTCAACCTGGGAGGCATTGTTTCGCTGGAATCTGAAGCTTGGGAGCCCATGAGCTTAGCTGGGGAGAGAATCCAGCTGAGGAAGGGGAAGAGCCCCAGTGCTTCCCCCTCCTGGAGTGTAAGGGTGAGAGCCAGTTGGCCTGGCTGACCTTGAGCAAGTTACTTAATGTCTCTGCACATGTCTCCCCATCTGTAAGGTGGGCCCAGGAACAGTACCTGTCTCAGAGGGTCTGAGTACAGAATCAGGTGCCTGTTACGGAGGTTGTGATGGAAAGCTTGGGATGGAGTGATCCTCCCCACGCTGGGGATCCTCCATGGCCGTGTGTCTTGACAAAGTGCCCCTGCAGTGGGTGGGAACTGGAGGTTTGTTGGGGGTCACTAACTTCTCCCCACAGGTGCCCCTTGTGATTAAGGCCCTGCAGCGGCAGCTAAAAGATCGGAGTGTCAGAGCCCGCCAGGGCTGCTTCAGCCTCCTCACCGAGCTGGCGAGTGTCCTCCCCGGCAGCCTGGCAGACCACATGCCTGTGCTGGTAGCAGGTAGGATGGACCAGAACGAGGAATCTGCTGTCCTGGCCTCCTTTTAGAACCCAGATCCCTGCCCCCAATCCTCCCAATGCCCCCACAACAGAGGATGTTCCTCTTCTATAACCCACCGCCAACAGTGAGAACAAGACTAGGGTGCAGGCTCTACTTCCTGGCTTCAAATGGGTTCCCTGGCCTTGTGTCCTTCAGTCCTAGCCTTGAAATCTGCTGCATGAGAGCCCGGATGCCTGAGTCCAGCTCAGACACCTTATGGCTACTCCACTCCCATATCCAGGGAGGGCTGTGTTGGGTTAGAGTCCTAACCGTGGCACCCACCCTGCAGGCATTGTCTTCTCGCTGGGTGACCGCTCCAGCTCCTCCACCATTCGGATGGACGCCCTGGCCTTCCTTCAGGGGCTGCTGGGGACGGAGCCGGCTGAGGCCTTCCACCCACACCTGCCCACTCTCCTGCCACCCGTGATGGCCTGTGTGGCTGACCCTTTCTACAAGATCGCAGCTGAGGCCCTGCTGGTGCTGCAGGAGCTGGTGCGGGCCATGTGGCCACTGGACAGGCCTCGGGTGCTGAATCCAGAACCATACGTTGGAGAGATGTCTGCGGCCACCCTGGCACGACTCCGTGCCACTGACCTGGACCAGGAGGTGAAGGAGCGGGCCATCTCCTGCATGGGCCACCTCGTGGGCCATCTGGGTGACCGGCTCGGGGATGACCTGGAGCCATCGCTGTTGCTTCTCCTTGACCGTTTGCGGAATGAGATCACCCGGCTGCCTGCTGTCAAGGCACTGACACTGGTGGCCGTGTCTCCACTGCGGCTTGACCTGAAGCCCATCTTGGCTGAAGCACTGCCCATTCTGGCCTCGTTCTTGCGCAAGAACCAGCGGGCGCTGCGGCTGGCCACACTGGCTGCCCTGGATGCCCTGGCCCAGAGCCAGGGACTCAACCTCCCGCCATCTGCCGTACAGGCCGTGTTGGCTGAGCTGCCTGCCCTGGTCAGTGAGAGCGACATGCATGTGGCCCAGCTGGCTGTGGACTTCCTTGCCACAATGACGCGGGCCCAGCCGGCCACTTTGGCTGAGGTCAGCGGCCCCGTGCTCTCAGAGCTGCTGCGCTTGCTGCGTTCACCCCTGCTGGCAGCAGGAGTGCTGACGGCAGTGGAAGGCTTCCTACAGGCCCTGGTGGGGGCCCGCCCCCCGTGCGTGGACTATGCCGAGCTCATCAACATGCTCACTGCACCTGTTTATGACCAGGCTCTGGACAGCGGGCCAGGCCTGCACAAGCAGGTGTTCCACTCGCTGGCTCGGTGTGTGGCAGCCCTTGCAGCTGCCTGTCCCCACCAGGCAGCAGGCACGGCAAACCGCCTGGTCTGTGATGCCAGGTCACCCCACTCGAGCACGGGGGTCAAGGTTCTGGCATTCCTGTCACTCGCTGAGGTGGGCCAGGTGGCTGGGCCAGGCCCACAGCGGGAGCTGAAGGCAGTGCTCCTGGAAGCCTTGCGGTCGCCCAGTGAGGACGTGAGGGCGGCTGCCTCCTATGCGCTGGGCCGTGTGGGCGCGGGGAACCTGCCTGACTTCCTGCCCTTCCTGCTGGGGCAGATTGAGGCTGAGCCCCCGCGGCAGTACCTGCTGCTGCACTCGCTCAGGGAGGCCCTGGGGGCGGCCCAGCCTGACAGCCTGAAGCCCTACGCTGAGGACATCTGGGCCCTGCTGTTCCAGCGCTGTGAAGGTGCCGAGGAAGGCACCCGGGGGGTGGTGGCTGAGTGCATTGGGAAGCTGGTCCTCGTGAACCCTCCGTTCCTTCTGCCCCGATTCCGGAAGCAACTCGCTGCAGGTAGGGACCCCGGTGGACAAAGGCAGCCCAGATCCAGAGGTGGGCAGTTGGCCCTTGAATGTCTGAGTGGTCCACACAAAGTGAGCTAGTTAAGTGGTTCACTGTGAGAGTCCCAGTGTGGGTAAGATAAAGGCAGAGGAACCAGTAAAAACTGTTCCATGAGATATCCCGGCTTTCTATGCGAACCCTCTAGGATGGATGGATCAGAACCCTTAATATGTCCCTACAACAAATAAACCTGCTGTGATGCCACCCTGGTAATTCATGCTGTGCACAGCAGCCTCACATTCCAGGCGAAGGTTAATAAAAGCAGTTCTCTTGAGGGGCCAGGGACTGCGACCTGTTCTCTCTCCTAGAGTTAGAGGCAAGCCTTGGCGCCTCCCGACTCGTGGGTGCCCAGGCTGGGCCCTGCTGCTCACCACGCTGCTGCTTCTTGTCCTGCAGGCCGGCCACACACACGGAGCACTGTCATCACAGCAGTCAAGTTCCTCATCTCGGACCAGCCCAGTCCCATTGACCCCCTCCTGAGGAGCTTCATTGGTGAGCACTCCCTCCCCTCTGCCTCCAGCCCCATTCAGTCCCCTCCACTCAGCCCTTGGGCTTATTTTTCTTACACATTAGCCAAGAGGAGTTGGAGACCCAGGAGGCCACCTAGCCCCAACAACAGCAGCAGGCCTGGGTTCAAATTTCTGTATTGCCACTGAATCACTGGATGACCCCAGCCTCAGTTTCCTCATCTGTAAAATAGGGATGAGAATCTCTTATCTGCGTATTCTAAGGTGGTTTTGGAGACTTCACAGGTTACTGAGGAGAAAGTGCTCCATCAACATGCTGGCTCTTAGAAAACCACCAGCCCCTCATGGGTACTGGCTTCAGGGGGCACCAAGCTGAGGAGGGCTGTACCAGGGTGTGGGTAGCAGGTGTCCAGCTCATCCCCTGTCTCAGGGGCCTTCTGGCCTGAGGAACCTAAGCAGCCTTCATTGGTGAGCCCTCTCTTTGGGGTTCTGCAGAACCAGGCTTTTCCTAGAGAAGGCTGGCCCCTCACCTCTTCGGAGCTCCAAGCCTGCTGGCCTTTACTCCAACACTCGAGTCTGGCCCTCCTTCCCCAGGCAGAGCAGCCTAGGGGAGCATGGAGAGGATTTGGAGTCTGCCAGCCTTGGATTGGAAGGCTCGCTCTGCCACACTCTGGCCATGTGAGCATGGACAGACCATCTCATCCTCAGCCATAAAACGGGGGTGTTGATCCCCCCCCACTGGACACTGTTGCATGAGACCAAGGGGTCAGCAGATGAGACTGCATTATGGAGAAAGGTCCAGAGGCTACAGCAATAGTGTCAGCAGCAACTTTATCACATGTCCTGACCCATGATGTACTGCCCCCAGCCCTGATTTCCTCTATCTTCTCTGAATTGCCCATGGCTGGCACCCCTAGGACCTCCAGCTGGGTGTTTGGTTTTTGTTGTGTATTTGAACCACAGTTTTTGAGTGCTCATTGTGTATCAGGTGCCAGGCTAGGCCCTTTCACATACCTTATAGGAGTGCATCCTCACAGCCCCCTGCATAATATCTAGGACTGGTCCCATTTTACAGATGGGGAAACAGGCTCAGAGAGGCAATCTGAACTCAGATCTTGCCTGTTCCCCACAGCTGTGTTTTCACAGAGAACAGGGAACCTAGGAGCCAGCAGGGCACAGTAGAAGGGGCTCAGACGCTGCCTGCCCTGCGTTTGAATCCTACTGTGCTGGGAGATTTTCTGTTCTTCCCAGTGCTTTGCGTGAGAAGGCACATGATGGCAATTTGTTCCATGACTGGTGGTGCTAATTCTGATCACCTGGTTAAGGTGGAGACTCCCAGGTTTCTAAGGTTTCTAAAGTTACTTTTTTCTTTGGAATGAGTAAGTATTTTTGAGTCTACTGACACATCCTCTTCCTCATCAGATTTTTGCCTACTACATTTAGCATGCATGTGGTTTCTTGCCTGAATCAACAATTACTGACAGTGGCCAAATGGTGACTTTCTAATCCCAGCTGTCCATCCGTATTTGTTATTTTGCATTCTAGTCTCAGGAAGAAATTTCCTTCTCTATTTATTTATCTATTTGTTGATTTATCATATCATTATAGACTCATGGATTCTGGTTTCATTCAGTGGATTATAACCTATTACTGTCTTTATTTTGACTCTCAAGATTGTCTCAGACTTAGCTAGTGGGAGCCCTTTAAGCTGGTTGCTATGTTCTGTTGACATGTTTCCATCATCATTTTTGGAGCATATCTTTACTTTTTGGCACAAGAAGATGCTCCAGATTCACCTTGAACCTTTCCTGCCCCAGGCATGGAATTGGCCATTTCTCCAAGGAGCCCTGATTCCCTTTAGTGGAGAATGGTATTTAGAATCCAAGGTCTGGGCTCTAGGTGTGCTTATTGCTACGAGGGTGCTGTTGCCTGCGGGGCCTCTCAGCAGACAGACCTAGGAAAGGTGTATACATATGAATGTATGTACAGACAGGTACACATCCATTTACATGTTAATTCCTGCTCCAGCCCAGTGTTCTGGCCTTCTCCCTTCCACATGCCCTTCTCTTACAGGGAGAGACCTGTATCCTGTAACCTCCAAGATATTTATTCACTTAGTCCTGGCAAACACAGAAAGTAGTCTGAGAATTGCTAACTTTTATCCTGTGAAGTCACTATTTGTTTATGGTTCCATTGTCTTTAACCTGAGGGCATCTAGTCAAAATACTTTGGAAGTTACTTGGGTGAGTTGATCTCCTTTATACACTGGGTGGTTATGTTAATCATTTGAAATATAGTTAGGTTTTTTTTTAGGGATTCCCCTCAATTCTTGATTTTATTTATTGAATATGTAGAATGTTAACACAGTTATTAAAAGTAAGTCCAAACTATTCAAAAAGGTATACTCAGTGAAGTTCTGTGTGACTTTGTATACGTTTCTTCACCTCTCTGATCTTCAAGAGCTTCATCTGTAATAATATGACAATTAACATTTATGAAATCCTTCCTCTGTGCTAGACCCACAGCTATGTGCTTTGTATACATTACTACATTTTATATCTAAAAAGTCTAACAGTCTTATAGTATAACCCCCATTTTACAGGTAAGAACACTGAGGCCATCTAAAGTTTCCTAGTGAGGAAGTGGTAGAGTCTGGATTTGAACCCAGGCGAGACTCAAGTCCACATTCTTATCTGGGCTTTGAAGGCGTGTCGTGCCTGGTACAGAGTAGTTGCTCAGAACTTGTGTGGCCCATTCAGCCAGATCTGCACAGCTCACGCTAACCAGATGACCGAGGGTGGGGCGTGGAGGTGCTTTGCGTCTTGGCTGTGCTGGCCCTCACCCTCTAGTCTTCCTGCCAGGAGAGTTCATGGAGAGTCTGCGGGACCCAGACCTGAACGTGCGCCGGGCCACCCTGGCTTTCTTCAACTCTGCCGTGCACAACAAGCCCTCGCTGGTCCGGGACCTGCTGGACGACATCCTGCCCCTCCTCTACCAGGAGACGAAGATCCGCCGGGACCTCATCCGGGAGGTGAGGCTTGGGGATGACAGAGCCAGGGGCCCTTGGGCCTCACTGGCCATAAGGATTAGGGCCAGGCTCGTCAGAACAGGCGAAAGGGCCACTTGGCCTGGGTGAGGTCCTGCCCCTCCATTTCCAGGCTGTGTGCCCCCCTCCAGGGCAACCTAATCCACTCTCAGCCTTGGCTTCTCCTCACAGGCGACACGAGGAAGGGAAGCACGTTCACATCGTAGGGTTGAGAAGATTCAGAGTTAAGACCTATAGGTGCTCAGAACTGTTCCAGCACACAGTTGGCACTCAGTAAAAGATAGCTGATAGTGACCCTTGTTTTTTTATTATTTAGGTATCATTGATATACAATCTTATGGAAGTTTCACATGAGCAACATTTTGGTTTTAACATTCAACCATATTATCGAGTCCCCTCCGACATCCCATTGCAGTCACTGTCCATCAGCGTAGTAAGATGCTATAGAGTCACTACTTGTCTTCTCCGTGCTATACTGCCTTCCCCATGACCTACCTATATTATGTGTAGTGACCCTTGTTTTTAAGGGGCAGAGATTAAAGATGATTTAACAGCTAAGTCATCACATGATAATAAAAAGGTCTGAACCACCTGAACTCACTGAGGAGGAAGTGACTCTGGTTAGAGGGGTTAGTTTCCCAAAAGGGGATATTTCAGTTGGGTATTGAGGTTTAAGAAGGAGTTTGCCAGTAAGAGCAGAGGTTTGTGGTTAAAAGCTTCAGAGACCCAGGTTTTTAATTCTGGTTCAGCCCCTTACTAGCTGTGTGTCCTTGGGCAAGTTAATTAACCTCTCTGAGCTTAGTTTCCTCATATGTTAAATGGGCTTAATAGTCACACTTTCTAAGACTGTTGTGATGTTTGAGTAAAATGTCATCTATTAAGCCCTCAGCACAGTGCCTGGCATGTCATAACTGCTCAGTAGATTGTTATGATGTTACAATTATGATGATTAAAAAGGGCATGGCAGGCTGAGCAAGGCATGGAGACTTGAGTACAAGGCATGATTTGGGGATGGGGCATGGTACTGAACAGCAGAGGTGGTGTGTGCAGCAGGAACTAGGGGAGGTAGGTGTTCCAGTACCCTGGAATCATGTCCCCTAACCTTTTGTCATCCTTCCCCTCCCCCTGCAGGTGGAGATGGGGCCCTTTAAGCACACAGTGGACGATGGGCTAGACGTGCGGAAGGCGGCCTTTGAGTGCATGTACTCGCTGCTTGAGAGCTGCCTGGGCCAGCTGGACATCTGTGAGTTCCTGAACCACGTGGAGGACGGCCTGAAGGACCACTATGACATCCGGGTAGGACGAGCGTGCAAGGGGCCCATACCCACCATGGGGATGGAGGCGCCACTGGGGCTTGCTGCTTGTTTGACGCCCCCTTCTCTACCCCAAGCATCCCCATGAAAAAGCTGCATTGTTCTTTTCAATAAGAAAAAGAACCTATGTCTCCAGACCTTTGGTGGGAGTCTATACTGGACAAGCTCTTTGGAAAATGATCTGGCAATAACCAGAAAAATTTAGCATTCTCAGACACACCCTATAGCCCAGCAATTCTGTCTTCATGAACTGATTCCTAAACATGTCAGAATTGTTTGTCAAGATTGTTCACAGCTTTCTGGGAATTGGGAAAAGCTGATAGCTACCTAAATGTCCACTCATCGGGAGCTGGCTGGCTCAGTAAACCGGGTATGTCATCATAGAGTACCGGCAACATTTAAAATCAGCAAGATGGATTTCTGTGTACTGATGCAAAATGTGCACAGGACCCACTGTCAAGTGAGAAAAGCAAGTTGTTTTTATGGGAATTCTTCACATGCTTGAACAAGTCTTCCCTGTCTCTTGCTCACTCTGGCCACACACCCCTCTTGCATCTTCCAGGGAGCATAGGACAGGGCCTGGGCATCAGGTAACCTTTGGACCCCTGTGTCCAGGCCCCTTTGGTGCTGAGGGTGCATGTGACATCTGAGCACCTCCAGTTATCTGGTCAGGTGTTCACATTAACCCTTAGAGAGAGTGTTTATGATGCCCAGTTTATAGGGAAGAAACTAGAGACCTGCTAGTTCAAGGGCCCCAGTTGGGGAGCGGAGGCGCCCTGGGTCATAGCATGTGATGTCAGTGCCATGCTCTTTGCCCCTCTGGCCCAGTCCTTTTCCTGTGCTGTGTGGCATTGGGGGATCACGGCAGGGTGGACAGCTGGTGGGGATGGGAAGGTGTGTGGATTTCAGACAACCACCTTTCATGCTGTGTATTATTTGTAGGGACTTTACCATTTTCAAAAGCGTTGTTCTCCTACAGGCTGCATCCAGGTAGACATGTTTGGTTGGCTCACAAAGTTGTTTTGTTTTTAATCAGGTGCCAACATTTAAAATTTGAGAGATTTCACATGAAAATCAGGGTTTCTTTTGAAAATAGTCCATCGGCCCTGGGCCACATTCCCACCTCGCCATGATCAGCTGGAGCTGAGAAACTGCTGCCTGGGGTGGACTCCTCACTCTGTACCAGTTCCCACCTGGCCCTCTTCACTCATGGACAGTATCTGCCTGGCCCTGGGGGCCTCGGAGCTTGGGAACTGCTCCCTCCCTGGTGCCTCTTCTTAACTGATCCTGCTCTGGACGGCCAAGTGTAGTTGGCGTAGCAGACATTACCATTCACATTGTATAGAGGAAATTGGGGCCCAGACAGGAGAGACTGGCAGGTCCCTGGTGGGAATTAGTGCTAGAGTTTGGACTTGAACTCCAGGTGTGGGGTCCAGAGCCTCTGCTCCTCCCCTGGGCCATTCCAGAACCTTATCTCCCTCCTGAGCAGATGCTGACCTTCATCATGCTCGCACGACTGGCTGCCCTGTGTCCTGCGCCTGTCCTGCAGAGGGTGGACCGACTCATTGAGCCACTCAGGGCCACCTGTACCACCAAGGTAAGCCCCACCCACCCTGGGCCCACCTGCAGATCATGCAGTTAACCATTTACAGGTGCTTTATGAAGTGCTTCATTCAGTAATTGTGGCCACCTGATGAAGTACTTCTTATTGTTATCACTGTGTACACAGGGGGACAGAGGCTTGGGGATGTACACACCTGGTAAACTGCAGAGGTGGGATCCAAACCCAGCTCTCTCTTGCATTCATTGGACATTTCTCTGGTTTCAGACCTTGTACAAGGGACTGGGAATACAACATTGAACATGGTGGGTTCCCTACTGTCACATCCTAATTGAGAAACTGAGTCAGACTCTTAGAAGGGTAGAAATCATTGATTGGTTGACTGATAAAGGGCAGAGCTGCTGCTAAACTGGAAACGCCTCAAGAGTCGAGGGAAGGGATCTGTGATGGAAGGCCTCATGGAAAGCTTCAGTGTTGGGAACAGAGCCTGGCACACCAAGGGGATACTCAGTAATCACCTGTTGAATGAAATTATTAATTTGGGTTTTGAAAGGATAGGAATTAACCAAAAAGAGGGCAGAGTATTTTAGATGGGAGCTTACAGAGGAAAGATACCCATAAAGCAATGATTTTCAAGTAGCAAAACCTTTTCCAAAAAATAAAATCTTTTGGGGATAAAGTAGATAAAATTGTAAGTTTCAGTTTTTAAAACATGACTAGTATGAAGTCAACCAGAGACAGTGGTTCTGGAGGGCCATTGCAGTCTTGATGGTCTGTGGCCAAATCATTCTAGTTTTCTTTGAGCCACATGGCATCGGCACCAAGAAAAAATCTATTTGCAGGAAGGAGCTGCAAACGGTGTTGCAGCATCAGGACACACCTCCACTTGGTTAAGATGGAAAGAGTTTTGATCTGAGGCCACTCAGCTGGCTGCACAGAAGACGCCGTTGTCAGGCATCTTGATGAGATTTTAAATGTACGTCTACAATTCGTCACCCACAATTCTGAAACCTGTGACACTCTGGAAACCAAAAGCTTTTTACAAAAAAAAAAAAAATTTACAAGACTTGAACTGGCATGAGACTGTTTGTGTCCTTGATTCCCCTTGGGAGAATATCAATGTGTTTGAGCACAGGATATTGTAGCAGACCTATGTTATCTGCATAGTATCACTTTTCTAAAAGCCCTCTAAATCCTGAATTCCAAAAGCAGTTGGCCCTGAAGTTTTCAGAGAAGGGGGTGTGGACCTGGGTTAAGTCACCAGTCCTCTTAACAACCCTGTGGAAAGGCTCTTATTTTGGGAAAGGGAAGTGAGATTCAGTGAAGTGACTGCCTCAAGTCAGCTCTCAGGGCAGAGCCATTTGAACTCACAACTGTCAGACCCCAACGCCAAGCTCTTAACCACTACACTGGACTCTTTGGGGGAAGAGCTTAAGTTTTGTCTGGGCTAAATCATGGAGGCCCTTCAAAGCCCAGCAGAAGGAATTTGGACTTTATTCCATAAGTGGTTGGGGAGTTCCTGGGATTCTCTCAGTAGGTGAGAGATGGTCGGGGATTAGCAAACAGAAAGCAGGCAAGGCAGTTTCAGGCGTTTGCTCTCCAGCTGCATGTGCAGAATAGATTGCAGGGCAGGGACTTGAATGGAGGTCGGGAGGCAGAGGCCAGTAATCCATTAAGTCATGTGGTACTGAGAGTCTGCTCTAAGCACAGTAAGTAAAGACAGGCCAATCCCTCCTATCAAAGAAAGGAGAGAATAAAAGCAAACACTTCAGAGCAATTGTCACCATCATATCAGAGAAGAAAGGTGGGCAGTGTACAGAATGGCTGGCTAGAAGCTGCTTAAGTGAACATGTGAATGACCAGCAAAACCTATCCTTTGGGGAAACCAGCCAGTGTAAAAGCCCAGAGGTGGAAGAAACCCTCAGGAGGCTTGAACCACAGGACCCTGAAGCAGGGGAGTGTGCTGTAATGTAAGTGGGAAAGATTACAGGTGGTCCAGAGGAATCCAAACACCAGGGAGGTGGCTGTGGGGCGAGGCCAGGCTCAGAAAAGGATGGCTCACTGTTTCCCACTTTAGGTCAAAGCCGGCTCTGTGAAGCAGGAGTTCGAGAAACAAGATGAACTGAAGCGCTCTGCAATGAGGGCAGTGGCCGCCCTGCTGACCATCCCAGAAGTGGGGAAAAGCCCCATCATGGCAGACTTCTCTTCCCAAATCCGATCCAACCCTGAACTTGCCACCCTCTTTGAAAGCATCCAGAAAGATTCTGCTTCAGTACCCAGCACAGACTCAATGGAGCTCAGCTAGTTCCCCCTCCTCCCAGCCCCTAGGGGGGGCCCTTGCTCAGAGGGGGCCCACCCAAGCCCAGGCCTCACCTTCCCACCAGCAGGCACAGGCCTTTCACCCTTCTGTCATCTCATAGCGGGGACTCCAGCTTCTGGCGGGGCTTAGAGTGCCTTTGCAGGGGACCTCTACTCATAGGGCCCCAGCAGGAGTTGCAAAGGCTGCTATCAGTTGAGCCCTTCAACTCAGGAGTCACTCAAATCACAGAGTGTGTTTTCCACGCCTTCCACATGAAGATTGATGTTGACTTCACACTAGTCAGTCTGGTTCTTTCAAACCGGCGAGTCCCGCCTCACTAAGTCGTACTTAGAAATACTGTTGTGCTCACCACTGTAAAAGGTTAGGAGGCAGCGGGCTGGCCTTCCTGCCCACTGGCATCCCAGATTTGTCACTCACATCACTCCCATTTTTTCACTTCACTTGGTATGATCTGCCAAAGATCAGTCCTTCGGCTGGGCATCTTAAAAACTCAAAATACTATGGGTTACATTGTTGAATTCAAAATGCTTTATTTCTAATTGGCAGTGATAAAATCAGAAATTTGGTTTTCTGCAGGCAGAGGCATGTAAGCTAAGGAATTAGAGCTAATGTTCCATTTTCAAAACTAATGGCAAACTGGGAAACAGCAAAGTACAAATCACCTCATGTCACCCCACCTAGGCATAACCAGCTGGTCTGTGTCCTTCTCAGGAAGGCTTTGAACGTTTCTAGGTTTTAGTATTGAGGACACAGAAATAAGCAACAGGCCAAAGAACGTTCTGTGCTATCCCAGAATAATAAAGGAGAAAACCTGAATTGTTATGATGGTCTCTGCTCAATTCCTCTACTCAGTAAACCACTATTGGTATACTTACCTAGTCAATTTAAAGGAACTTGAAAATAAATTCACTAAACAAAAGGTTCAGACTAAGTTTTTAAGAGGTAGGTTGTAAGATATTTATCTACTGGAACTAAGAGAGTTAAAACCAGTCACCACTAGCATGCCATGAAAAAGTACAACCAGTGTAGTGTTTCTGCTTGGTTGACCAGGTTGGAAAAAGCATCCCAAAGCTTAGGTTTTCTGTTAAGGCACCACATGCCATAATCCCATGTGACCTACACTGTCACTTAGTATCATTTGTTAGTGGTATACCTAACCTTCTAATTAAAACAGCTAAATTCTGTTGTTGCCTGAGGTTTAGGGCTTGTTCAAAAGTAGCTCAAAAGGAAGCTTGATGGTTAAATTCTGAGCTCCAGTCAAAGGCCCCATTGTCACCATTTAAGAATCTCATACCTTCAGGAACTCTTATTCTTGAAGCAACAAGATGGGGAAAGGTTATGAAGGGAGGCTAAAATCTATCTTCAGACACCCAAGGCTAATCATATAGTAGAGGGATTTGTGTGTCATCCTGTTGTGTGTTTTTAGACAGAAGATACAGGGTGCTATTTCAGCACCAAGTAAAACTTTAAAGCCATCTGAATCCTTTCATGTACATTTTCTCATTCTTCATAAGAACCATGTAGGGCACCGTCACAAAGTGAGGCTAAGAACCACCACTTGCTCTGAGCTGCAAAGGTCCTTCAGTCAAGGGTCTTAGACCCCACTATGGTCTGAGGGCTAAGTCTCCCCTGCCCCAGATGGAGCTGACCAAGGCTGGTCTGGGCACCTGAGTCCTGTACCCTGTGAAGGATTGTGTGTCCTTTACAACCCTTCCAAATGGAAGATTCCACAGAACAGTAACAGGCAAAAGAACAATCTCTGTGGCAAGCTGTCTAAGAAACTGCAGAATAAAACCAGGAGGGAAATGCCAGATGGCAGTTTTACAGTTTTATTAACACAAATACAATGTGCACACAAGCTGTCTATTCATTTTCTTCGCTGCGCAGCCTGGCATTAGGATTGGTAACTCTGATGGCCAGCTGGGCTGCTCTTTCCACAATGGTTTTGCGGTTCTTGGAGGAGACATTGTGAGCAATCTCAGCACAGTAAGATCTGGAAGAGAATCGGTAAGTGGGTGAGGAGCAAGCCAGCCTGGAATGCACACACTTGTGTGTTCTATTGGGAAGGTAACTGCTTCATTCACTTCACCTCCAGAGCCACAGCACTGAGTAAAGGGGGTGCTGGGAAACAGCTGCTGAACAAGACCTTCATGCCCCCCCCCCAAATCCCGACTCCCCTAATTCCACTGTATTAGCAGTAAGGCTCTTCAAGTGTTTCCTGGTGGTGACAAAAGGAACTCTCATTTGTCCCCTCTCATTTCATCCCCACAGCAGCCTTATAATCCAGGTATTGCCTGTTTTACAGACAAAAGCCCACAAAGGTGGGAAATGAATTCCCAATTCACCAGTCAAGTAATGAAAGGGGCCAGGATGGTTCAGTCCAAGACTCCAGGTTCAAAGGTCCCCCGGAAGTCCAATCTGCCCAATAAAGGGCAGTTTCAAAGAACCTGGACTTGCCCGTGAAAGTTTTAGAACTCTTTGCAAAGCAACCAAAAACCCAACAGTGATTAAGCAAAGGGCTCCCTAGCCCAGACCATAAACATTTTACTTCAGTTTTGACTTCTGTGGACAAAATTTAAGTTGCAAAGTAACACTGCGTGAGGTCACCCAATGAGTAGCAACACTAAGACTTCCTGAGCACACGGGCACCAGCGACCATTCATGTTCCTTCCTCACAGCTACACTACGCCCCAGGCTGATAGCCAATCAGCTTGGTGGGCACGTTTCGGTAAGGAAGTGATTTATGAAGCCATCTACAAGGGATTAAGACAAGACAACTGTGGAGAAGTTTCAGCAAATAGACAAGTGAAGATTGTAAGGGATAATTAAAGCAGTGGGTATACAGATTCTTTTTAAGAACTCCTGTAGGGAAATAACCTATTAGCAAAAGACAAGCAAATCAACACTAACACTTTTTGTATAAAGGAATCCACTGCAAAATAACCACATATTAAAGTGTTTCCATAATCTTTCCCAAGACTCAAGTTAGAGTACATTTTCATCTTTTTTCACTTTTTTGCAAAAACTCCCCAGGTCTGTGTATTTAATATTCACAATCATAATGCATGTATCATTTTAAATACTGTCCCCTCTGCTTGGGCATTTCCCATACATGATGGTCACTATTAATGTACACAGGCACTACACCCAGAGTGTGCACTCCACCATTCAGCTATTTTATTTTCAACTATTCAGTCACTACTGCACTGAGTGGCTTTATCAACTTTCCCTACTTTTCAATTATTCAAGGTAAGTGCCCAGAAACGGAACTTGCTGATTAGAGACCACAGATTCAGCCATTACTATTGCTCTTGAAACAAACAGCCAAGCCACAATTTAAAAAAAGAATATGGCAACTGGCAACATTGGCACTGCGATCATTTTTGCTACACACGGGCATTAAACTTCATTTGTCATCAACCGGCTTACTGTGGTTTGGGCAGCCCCATTAATTCCTCTGCTCAACTTTTCACGAAAACTTCTAGCATCTCAAAGCCTGGTTTAGAAACCCAACCAATAGTGAGAATAGTGGTTTTTTTTGTGTCTATGATCTCTACAGATAAAAGACCTTTGTTAAATATACCCTTGTAGCTTCTGTTTAACAGAAGAAAGCAAATGATCCCCTGTTTAACTGAAAAACACCATTCCCTTTAAAGGGAATCACTTTCCATGATAAATTTTTTCATTCCACTGCCTAGTTTTAGCTTAAGCAGACCAAAGTATCTTATACACACACCTTACAATGTATCTAACTTTCTCAAATACTTGGAAGTGATGCTGTGAGCCCTCCACCACTCTTACATCTCTACAACTGTGTGTAAAGCAGTCCTCTCTGCCTGCCACACCTTCCTCCACCTTAGGTCACACTGAGTTTCAAATGTGGCTGCTCACCCCTCTATCCTGTAGCTTTCTGGAAACACTGTGGCCACAGCATAGTGCCCCTGGGGTCTGACACTACTTCTGACATCCCGCCTACCTATCACATAGATAAAGTAATGTTCTGGAAATTGCCAGGCTGCCAGGATAGTGAGTGTACTGTCAAAAAAGTCGTCTTTCCACGTCCGGGTCTGTACACTTTGCAGGACAAGTCCCCCAACTCTCCAGCAATGAAAACATTCTGAAGTCCCCAAAAAGTATTCTCAGGGAGTTAACAACTTGTCTACAGACATTCTGAAAGGCCTACAGGCCCCACCAAAAATGCAGACGCAAACTTTTGACACATGAACCAAGATGGTACCCAGCTTACTTGTTGCACATCAGCAGTACTTCAAGCTCCTTGACGTTGTGCACCAAGAACTTCCGGAAGCCACTGGGCAGCATGTGCTTTGTTTTCTTGTTGCTCCCATAACCAATGTTGGGCATCAAAATCTGGCCCTTGAATCTTCTGCGCACCCTGTTGTCAATACCTCTGGGTTTCCGCCAGTTACGCTGAAAGAAAACATCAAAGTGGTTCAGTGCCTGTGCAGATGACCAACTCTTCTCTTGGAGGGAAAAGAGGAGACCACATGGAAATATGTGGAACAGTAGTTGTCTTTGGTAACGGGATTTTGCTAACCTGTTTCTTTGGGGGAAAAAATATGAGGTTCCTGCATTTAACCACTAGGCATATAGACCCACATCCACACTCTTGGGCAAGGATAAAAAGACTATGTACCAATGGAATGTGAGGTTGTATATATAGTGTGGTGACGAGCATAGGTTTCAATATATACTCAAGCCTTACTTTTTCTTATCTGTAAAATAAGGATAACCTAGTGAAGTGTCACATATCATTTTCATTTCGATTTATACATCAAGACAGTAAGGAATAGTAAGGAGACCTGGGTTTCCACAGAGACCTCTTCCACGGAGGGGATCTCAGAAATCCAATAGCCTATTTAGGAAGCCCTTTCTCCACCCCAACACACACTTCCATCCCAGGCCACGTACCTTAATTTTGACATATCGGTCTGACTGGTGCCGGATAAACTTCTTGGTCCTCTTTTTGACGATCTTAGGTTTCACGAGGGGTCTGAGGGCAGCCATGATGCCTTCAAGAAAAAGGCAGGGACCATGTTAAAGAAGAGTTCTGAAAAGAGGCTTTCCTGCCCAGAGCTTGAACACTGTTGCAGAGTGTCTTCCAATCACCAGTTACTGAGCAAGCTGGGAATGGAATGGGTACCTCTGCCGTGCTTTCCCTCTCGTCTCCGAAGCTGGCAGAGTACTAGTTACTCTCCAGATGCGATCCTGGGAGGTCAGGGGTCAAACGCACCCATGGCAAAGCCGAGAGAATGCCAACAGTTGACTTAAAACAAACTGACCGCCAAACGTTCTCAGCTTGCAAGGGGCTGCAAACCCCACTCCACAAGGCACCCCAACCCCACGAGGGCCCAATTTCCTTTTACTTACGCAGACCTTGGGCAACCTACATAAACCCTAGTCTGAATTCTCATCTGTAACAATTGCACTAGGAATGCCTGCGGTGCCCGGACCAAAGTGGATGCTCGGAAAAGGTAAACCTGTATTTCCGCTAGGGTGCTGCTGCTCTGCAATACCCTCCAAGATACACAAAAGAATGACGTCCACCTAAAGTGCCTCTCAGCCCTTTAACATACCCCTCTACCTGGAGATCATCCGAATATCACCTTAAAATTTAGAACTTAGCTTCCTCAACGTGGCCTTCCCAACTACCCTAGTTTTTTTCTACCGCAGCACCTTTTGTTCTCTTCGCCTCCATCTGTCACTTTATTAGGCACATAGTAGGTGCTCGATGAACATGCGTTCAAAAACGAACGACACCCCCCCACCATGATTTCCTCAAAATATAAGGCCGCAGTTTCACATTTCTAGAGATCCTGGCCAGCCGAGTCAGAATTTCGGTTAACTGAACGGGTCGACTCGCAGGTCGTCGGTGTATGGGGTTTTGTTTTTGTTTTTGTTTTTTTTTTGACGGTCCCGACGCAGCAGTAACCCGAGCCATAAAATGGAAATAGAGCAGGAGCTTCGGCCGGCGGAAGCGTAAGAACACACGTGGGCAGAGATCGCTGCGGGAGGCGATCCGGAAACTGGACTCCAAAGGCCGGTAGGCCGAATCCCCTGGTTGCTCCGCGAACCGCAAGGGCCTCTCAGTCTGGCTCCAGACGGCGCCCTATGCCCCCTGAGCTCAAACAAGCTGTCCGCAGCTCTGACTGACCCCAGGGGGCCTCCGTAGGAGGGCAGCAAGCGGCCCTGGGAAGCGAACCTCCATCACAAGCCGGGCTCCTTCGCTCTGTTCCTGTACGTCCTCCAGACAGGCGACAAAAACAAAGGGCACCGAGATGACCGCTCAGGACCGGCCTCCTCACCAGGGGGCGATGGGGCCAGAAGAAGACCGCAGAGACGCGGATGGCCAACGATTGAGACTCACCAAGTAGGAGATGGCTACCACCTCCGTAGGCAGCGCCGAGGAAGGGACGGGAAAGTGGCGCGCGAAGGCTGATGGGACTTAACCTCTGGGTCCTGGCAGGGGGAAGACGAACCTTTCCTGCTCTTGATCTTTCAAAGAATATAAAGCCACGTCCGAGAAGTAATGAAGAAAAACTTGAGGGCTTATTGTGTTTTCCTAGACAACAATATCTAGGAGTAGTGCCGAACATTTTTCATACCGGCCGTTGGGACTATTTAGAAAATTTTGAATTATTTCTAAGTTTCTAGGACCTGGTGGGAGGGACATCTACTTCTGCCAGAAGTTGAAGCAGCTCTTCCGGCTTTTGGATTATTTCCGCCCGCGTTTCTACTGCTCCTAAGTGCACCTCTTAGTGGCCAGGAGGGAACAAAATCGATTTCCTGATAATTCCCTCACTTGCATTTACAGAGTAACTAGCTAGCGATTAGATTATAACTGTTATCATTTATTATCTTTACCAAAATTCGGAGAAACTTTCCCTATTTTACTTATGTGGAAAGCAAAGTTTGGAGATCTGACTCCAATATCCATATGTCTGATCATTAGGTTAAACTGCCTAGTTTTTAATTGTTATTCTTGGTTTGTTTTGTTTAGCTTTTGTTGTTAAGATTATTGTGAAAAATTAGATTTCAGGAGAAAAAAAATGCCCCTTAATTCCACAGCTCACAGTGCAGACGTCATCACTGATGTTAGAGGTAGCTAAACTGGATTGTGGTGTTAACTGCATGGCAAGTGGGAAGGGAAAAGAGAGTTGCCAGCTGCTCCTTAAGATTTCAGCTGTGACGGGAAGGGGAGTTTGAGGAGACCCAAGAAGTGAAATGTGAACTGTCTTGTCTGAGGTCACACAGCTAGCAAGCAGTGGGGTGAGACTGGAACCCCTTTGTGTCTGTGACTGTGCCACACCTCACGAGTCCTGCTTATCCTGCAGGCTGTGTGAAATCAGATGGGATGTGGAGCATGGAAGCATTATGTTAATAATAATAGCAGGCCACATCATGCATGTTGTGAAGGAAAAGGTTTTGACCCAGTCAGGTGGGTTATCAGGCAAAGAGCTCCTGAACCAGACAGCATGCCTCCAACTGCAAAAGACCCAGAAATTTGGAAGCAGTGACCCAAAGGGCTTAGACCTTGGGGGATGAGGGACATGCTGCTACCTTATTTCACAGAGAAAGGCACAGGAGTACCCACGCTGGCTGGCTTCCCTGTGGGCACTGAGTTCCCAGGACAAGCGGCTGGAGATGCCATACAGGCATCCCTGATAACATCCCAGGGAATGTGCCTGCTGTATTCCCTCAAGAGCAGCACCCCAGCTTTTAAAACACCCCTCTGGCCATAGCTCTGAGCAAGAAACCCCATGAGCAGGATCACAGAAGGCATGAGAAAAAACTCCAACCTGGTTTATTTCAAAAGGGAGAGGTCAGGACAAGGGAACACACAGAAACTGCAGCTTTGCCTGGACACATACACCCTCTGAGACACTGGACACTTTTGCTTGGGAGAGAGCAGGCCCCGGACCATCCCACTGAAATGATTTCTTTTGTCTGGCTCTTGGATATCCCCCTGGGTCTATGGCACTGGACTACTGGCTGCACTGACCCCTGGGCCAAGGATGGGTGGGTCCAATGACACCCAGGCCCCTCTAGTTGATGGAGAAGACTTTGGGGGCATCATAATAGGCACAGGTCATGTAGTTCATGTTCCTAATAGGCCACCAGTGGTTGGGGTGGTAGGTGGCTGCGTAGGCATGGGACAGGGGTTGGACACAGCTGAAAAGCGCCAAGCTCCGGTCCCTGGCCACAGTGGGCAGGTAGAGCCTCAGCTTGTCCAGGAGGTGACCCGGCCAGAAGAAATTGGGATGGGTTCGCTGTGGACCATGGGGCCTTTTCGCCTTCAGCTTCCTGAAAAAATGAGAACACGGGGAAGGTTGTGATGGTGGAGCAGCTGGGGCTCCTTCTCAGTGGGGCAAACCAGCTATGACCAGAGAGGAGGTGGAGCATGCTGCTAAGCACGCCGGTGTCTTAGCCTTCACCACAGTTCCATGTGGCAGGTTCTGTTATCCTACCTTTCCAAGGAGGACCCAGAGGCTTGGAGAGGGTACGTCACTTCCCCAAGGCTATACAGTGAGCAAGACGCAGAGCACAGGCTCCACTCTTAATCTGCTACTTCTAAAACCCCAACTCTTGAGTGCCCATGTGTTCTTTATGGGCATTTTAATGGGCTGTTCAGAGTGCAGCCTCTGGAGCCAGCACAGCTGGGTTCAAATCCCCAAGCTCCTGGGTACTGAGACCCAAACACTGAGCTAGGAGCACGTGCAACACGCAGAGTCCCAGGGACCTTGGCCAAAGTGAGACTAGACCTCCCTCCTACCCACCCCAAGAATTCAGTGGGTGCTACAGACCTGGTGAATTCCTCAAACTCCTTAAAGTGTATTTTCTTGATTTTCTTTGATGTTCTCCTAGTGGATAAAAAAGAGGGGTATCTTGTCAGGAGAGGGGAAATCCAGGTTAAGAGGACCTCAGGGAGTAGGTCAGAGGTCAGGGGATGAGCCTATCTCTGAGTCCAAACCAGAGCCCTGAAGGTAGCCTTTCTTCCACACGAGGGGGCGCCCTGCCCCTGCTCCCAGCCCCGCTTACTCCACTAGAACACACAGCAGGCTTGGGCACACGACCTTGCCGGCTGGGTGACTTTGGGCGAGTCACTTCCCCTTTTGGAGCCTTAGGTTTATCATTTCCCAGAAAGGATAGCTCCTGGGTAGTAGGAGAGATGCTCAGTAATCTGAGTCGTTTTGAGGCCCCTGACTCCCACTTCCTCCACCAGGGCCAAATACAGTTTGGGGACAAAGGCAGTGAAAATGAACTCCCCAAACCTTGGGCCTGGCAGACATCATGAATCAATCACAGAGCTCTTTCCCAGAAAGCCTGCATCTGACCTCAGACTCTTTCCCAACACAGTCTAAGTAGCAAGACGAAATCAATGGCCATTCCTTGCCCTAAGCGACCTTTTTATTCTTTATAGTGGTGACCTACCTAATCATGGGCAAGAGTCCCTTTTTCAGGTTCCCACCCTCTTCTAGGTTTGTGGTTCAGGAATTGGTGCCTGCCACCTAGGGGCTGGAAGGAGGTCACTAAGTGATCAGAAAGGACCTGCCTGGCCAATGCTCAGCAATTCCCAATGATAGTTGTGGACAGGCCTCATCTGCAGGCCTTAGGCCCTTTCCTGCACGGAGAACATCCTGATAAGGCAGCTTAAAATAGCAATAGTCATTGCCTCCGGACTGCTAAGAAGTTTATGTGCATTGTGCATGTCCTCACGGTATGCTGTAGGAGCTGTTAGGTCCTTTTTACAGAAAATGCTGAGGCTGAGAGAATGAGGTAACTTGTCCCTTTAACTCACGGCCTGTCTGATTTCCACTCGGCTCTGCTCTACTCATCCCAGCCCAGCTGTTCTGGATTTATGGCCCCCGTGGGCAGCTGGCAGTGATGACGAGTGTGGGCAGCTCCTGGGCCCCTCCCCGCTCATGGTATTCAGCTGTCCCCTCTTCCTCCCACACTGGCCCCATCCCTCCACAGGGACGCTGCTTGTTCTCCAGTCTGCAGTCACTGGAGGACGGCTGGCTTATAACCTGCCCATGGGCCACCTCCTTCTAGAGAAGAACAGTTTCTCAGAGAGGACTTGGGTTCATCTGAGGGTCAGGGACAGGCCTCAATGCTGAGTTCTTTCCTTTTAGGGGCTGCAAGCCTACCTCTTGCCAGAGAAGGCAGAGAAGAAAAGGGGCTGCCACCATAGTCCTCTGCAGGGCCCCTGACACCCACCCGTGGCTTATGAGAGGCCCCCCCAGTGTCTCTAAGAAGGCCCTCTTTTAATCTTTTCCTGAGAGCTCGAGATCAGGTAGGATATGTCTGGAGGGCAGCTGTGCAGGAGCGAGGCAAGGAAGCTGTGGCTCTGAGACAGGGGTGACAAGGGGGACTGGCCAATCCATCATGAATGGCTGGGTGGACATGCTGGCTTAGGACACAGACGGTGGCACAGCGTGACAACCCAAGTATGTGAGTGTCTCAGCACTGGCAGCTGAAGGGACAGGAGCAGAGCAGGAGGCAAAACGCAGGGGAGAAAGGTGGCCTGACACTCAGCTTGTCAGCCTTCCTAGCCAGAGACTCGCTGAAGCCCTGAGACCTGAGCAGGGCCTGACTTGGACCGAAGATCTTCAGGTCCGAGTAGTAGCCTCCTGGCTGCCGGATCGGGCGCACCTGGTCCTTATGGAAAACGATCTTGTCTCCCGGGTACAGCAGGGCTGTGAGCAGGGAGAGAGAAACAGGGTCTGTCAACTTGAGAACCCTCCTTGCCCTGAGCTTTTAGGGCAGAGGGAGACCTTTTTTTTTAAATCAAATCACATTTTTGTTTGGAAATATTTTTTCTTGTATACATTTTTAAACTTTTCATTTTCAAATGATATAGATTCACAGCCAGTTGCAAAAATAGCGCAGAGGGTCCCTTAGCCCCACCCCCAGATCTCCCAATGGCGACATGGCACATAACTGTTGTACGATATTAGGAAATGTGGTTGGTACCGGGACCCTGTTTATAGCTAGGTCAGCGAAGGCCCCAAGGCCTGGGTGGTTAAGAGGTGTGGCCCCACACCCCGCTTTGCAGGGCTTGTCCTGGTCAGGAGTCCCAGGAGGAGGAGGGGAGGATTCACCCCAGACTTCATAAGGTTTACTGAGATCTAGTTGGTGGCAGCTTTATCTTTGTTTGGAATTAGCCTCACAGAGACTTTTGTTAAGAACTGCAGAACATAAAAAACACTAGGCCAGGTCTCCATCTTCCTGCAACTATTGAGCCTAACTTCGTAACACATCCTTATCCTAAGAATGTAAACATGAATAGCTCGTGTTCTAGAAAAGCGATGGAAGGTTACACTCCCTCTTCCCAATGTCCCGACCACAGGCCACAGTGGCTTAACTGGATGCATGCGAGCTGAGTCGATGCCACCCTCACTCAGCTCTGGGCCCTCTTGGCATCTTCCTGAAGCCCGGCCACCAAGGCTCTTACCTTTCATGAGGACATCCTCTGTCAGCGGGAGGCCGTAGTACTCACAGAGCTTCCAGCACTGGAGGTAAGCCAGAAAGTTGTTACTGCGGTACATGTTGACGACCTCCTTCATCTCCCCACTGATGGTGGATGGCAGGCAGTGCTCGTCGAAGTGTTTATTCCCACTGCGCACCAGGCGGCACTGCTCCATGTACTGGATGGAGGGGATGGTGAGCTGCAGAGAGAATAGGGGCCGGCACGCTCTTCACTTCACTCTGTCCCTGTCCTCTTGCCCAGAAGGCAGACATACAGCCTCATCTGCCTCTCCCCACGAGGGCCCCGTGAGGGGCAATGGCAGAGAATGCACCCTGGGACCACGTTCAGGTTCTGAAGTCAGTGATGCAGGAGAAAAACCACACATGGTCAAGGTTACCCCTGAAGGGCACTTGGAAGGTCAATGCACGGGGTTCTGTGTGCACAGCCCTGTACCCAGATATGCACACACGGTTACATATGCTCACCTGGGTAAGTGCAGATGCCTAGAGGTGTCCTGCTGAAACATTACATTTCTGTGTTTGGCTACATGGGAGTTTAAAATGGGTGCCCCATCTGTGACTTTGAGATGGAAGCCACATGTTAAGGAGAGCAGAGCAAGATGGAAGAGGCCTAGGGAGTGTGTGACCCCTTTTGGCCTTTTTATTTATTTATTTACAAGGAAAGAACAATCTCTCTTTTTAAAGCTTCTAACACTAGCAAAATACAGCTCAGTGGCCACATGTGGCCCACCACCCATTTTTACAAATAAAGTTTTATTGGAACACAGCTGCCACACTCATTTGTTTAGGTGTCTGCGGCAGCTCTTGTGCTGCAAAGGCAGAGCCCAGTACTTGGGACAAAGCCCAGAATATTTACTCTACTGCCTTTCGTAGGAAAAGTCTGTCAATCCCTCTCTAATGTTTTGGGTTTTCTTGTCATAATCGAATCAGATCTTAGTAGCTATAGCACTTACCAGTACCTAACATCTGATTATGTATTCATATATATGTATGTGTGTTTGCATATACTGTTATATTAATATTGTAGGCCTCCCAGAATGGACTCCCTAGACCGGCAGCTTCCTGAGGACAGGGGCTACTTGTCCTCTGCAGAATCTGGACAAGGGGCACATCTCAGGCTCCTGATACATATTTATTGAGTGAATGAATTCATACAATCAATTCTTCCTGCCTTCACTGGTCATGGATTCCTGGAGTGCCTGCGGGGTGTCAGGCTTCGTGCCAGGTGCTTGGCTTCCAGCCGTGATGAAGCTGCAGCCCTGGGCTCAGGACACAGAGTCATCATTAAAGCACAGAAGGAGGGGACCTCGATTCCTCCAGAAATGTTACCTCATTTCATCTTTACAGAAGCCTTGCAGGGACGGTATTGTTCTTATTATACAGGTGAGGGGACGGGTGAGGGAACCCAGCAGTAAGAAGCCTGCTCCCAGGAGCTCTGCCGGCTGGAGTGCGTGCAGGTGTGGATCTGAACCCAACCTGTCGGTCACCAAGCCCTGTACCCTCCCCCAGTGGGGGTACCTTGTGCTGCCGCTTCCTCTCCCGGTACCGCTTGCCCACGTCTTCCATCTCCTCCAGGGTCATGGGCCGTGCCTCCATCTGCGTGTCCACCATGGGCACGGTCAGCAGGTCCATCTTGGGAGGCTGTGGGGCTAAACTCACCTTCTGATTCTTGGATGGACTCTCTGGGGAAGCTCTTTGCATGGCAGATCTATAATCTGGGGTTGGAAGGAAGAGACAAAGGAAGGAGGGACTGAGAGGGTGCCCAGCCAGGAGATCTGTCAGGCAGTCAACCACAGTCACGGAGGAGGTGCTGGGCCATCCCTCCTCTCACTTCCCACATGTCCAGTCAGTACCAGCTGAGGTGAACCTCAAAGGTGTCCCTGCTCTCCATCTCTTGCTGTGGCCTCCTTAGCCTCACCTGCCTCACACAGCCCTGGCCTTCCTGTTGCCCTCTGTCATCTCCTAGCTTCCTGTTTCCACCAAACAACAAATAGGACCTTAAAAAAATAAGCCAGGTCACCTCATTCCCCTGCTTAAAACTCTCTACCGGCTTCCCACAGCACTTAGACTAAACCCCAGAATCCTCTGCCTAGTCTACGTGGCCCTGTAGGATCCAGCGTCAGCCACCTGTCCATCTGCTTGCCCTCCGTCACTCCACCCAGCCGCCCTACCTTCATTCTGTCCCCTGGGGACCTCCCCACCTCAGAGCCGTTGCCTTTGCTGTTCCATCTGCCTTGCATACCCTTCCCCAGATTGGCTCCTCATGGGCCACTCAGGTGTCAGCTCCAGGGGCTGCCTTTCAGAGAGGACTTCCCTGACCACCCTCTCTCCACTCTGTCCTGTTGTCTTCAAAGCATTAATCACGACTGGACAGCATCTTGGTTAGCTCTTGCCATGGACTCTCCTGGGGAGGCAGGGGCACTGGCTCCTTCACTGCCATGGTCCAGATCCTAGAAGTGTGACCGGCACATAGTAGGTGCTCAACAAAGATCTGAATGGGTGACATCATTCCATTGCCCCTGCCTCGGCTCAGGCCTTTGTTGTTCCAGGCTGATGAAATCATGGCCCTGCCACCTTCTAGTTTTGAAACTGTGAACAGGTGGCTCAGCCTCTCAGCCCCTCTGAGCTTCAACTTCTTCCTTGTAAAGTGTGAATAGTAACCCTGACCTCAAGGGACTGGAAGGATACACCGAGCTGCTGCTGCGGGTAAAGCTACCCACAGAGGGTGCTCCCCAATGCTACCGTCTTCTCTCTTGTGAGATGGGTGCACAGACTGTTGACACTGCTGCGCTTTTAGGCAAAGTAAGAGATGCCCAAGTCCACTTACCCTACCCCCTGCCGCTCTCAGGGAAAGAGAACTCAGTGTCAGTGCCGAGATAGCACTGCTCAAGCAAACGCCTCCTCTTGGCTTCAAGTCTGTTTATTGGGAAACAACAGGTCCCAAATACGTTTGCTGTTTGCCAAATGACTTGCAGCCAACCCGCGGATAAGGATGAACTTTGGTATTTATAATGAAAATGCAAAAACAGCATGGGTAGGAAAGCACGCCCAACTCAAGCAATCCTGAGGATGTGCTGGACACAAAGGGAAAGGGGACTGTTACTGGGGGTGGTGACACGTGCAGGTGACTGTGGGCACACTCAGATTCCCTGGGGCTTGAGAGGGGCAAACACCCTGCCTGGGGGCGATGGTGCCTCATTCCTGGCTTGTTGAACCTGGAGGTGGGAAATCTTGTTGCCCCATGGTGCAGCTCAGAGGACTGAAGAATGGACTCTCTATGGAGCTGCCTGCTGCCTCCAAAAGAACCATAAGGAAGACCCTGAGCACCCAGGCTCTTGGTGACTGGGAAGTGCAGAGGCCCTGCCCCAACCACCTGTTAAGGAACCCCTTCACTACTCCCCTAGGGCTCTTCTATGACCTCGGGGGACACAGGGGATGCACTCTTACCCCCAAATGTGTCTGGAATTAAATTCCTGGGTGGGGACAAAGCAAGATTTGTTTCATTTAAAAAAAGAAAGATGTGGTTATATTTGAGGAGGGTTCAGGAATGATGGGTTGTGGTCATGGGAGGGCTCTAATTTAATCTGTAGTTGTTAATTTCTTTCTTTCTTTTTTTTTTTACAACAACAGTAACCAGAACTCTAAAGAAACACAATGCACCCTTGTGTTGTTGAGTAAATCCATAGCCAGAGCTATGGCTCATCCATTTCTGATTTGCCTCTGTGCTTTGTCTGGACAGACGTAGCTCCACAAGCACATGGATTGGCAAATGGGACTTGAGCTATGCACAACCTATACAACTGTTCACAGCAGCCCTGCCAGGATCCCTTAAAGTAGAATACCAAAGCAGACTTCACAGTAGACTACACATGTGCTAATTCTGGTTTCTGAATTTTAGTTAATTTTTATCAATAAGGTTTGGATGATTAGTTAGAAGGCCTTGAACCCACATACAGATGCAAAGCCTGCTGTTTGGGTCAGTTCTCAGCCTAGTGGGTGGGCTTTGGTAGGTTGGAACCACCCTTTGAGAATCTTCTTTTAAGGACAAGGGCTAGGCCCCTTTCATCTTTGAACAGGCATGGTCGCTGGGCACTCAAAAGAATATGTACTCTCTCTGGGCCTGGGAATTCCAGAGGCTTGGCCCACGTCCAGTCGGCCAAAGTTGGAGAATATCCTGAGGCAGTGAGCCAAGGCTCCTGCCATGCCTGCTGGGGGGAGAGTGAATGGAGGGGCAGGGGTAAGGGTGGATGCATACACTCCCTGGTGGTTGGCAAGGTGCTTCTCTGCTGATCCAAACACCACTGCTTGTAGCTGACGGCCAGGATATTCATGGTGATGGTGTTTTGCTTCCCCAGAGAGCTGAGATAGATCACAATATCCTCCACCTCCTGGTTTTTCAGAGGGACTCTGATCTGAGGAGAGAAGGGAGCCTTCAAGGCAGGCAGGTCCCAATCCAAGGCCTTGCAGGCCTGGCCCCACCTCCCCTTCTGGTTTCAGCGGCAGCCATGCCCAACTCACACCCAAGATTCCAGCCACAAGAGCTCAGAGCCATATCCCGGGCCTGTACTTTCTTACCCTTTGCCTTTACTCAGGTGTTTCCCCATCTCTGCCTGGCAAACTCCTATCGCTCCTGCAAAACCCAGTTTGGATATGCCACCATCTGTGCAGTCTGTCACTTCTACCTTTGGCCTCCCACCACATTCCATACCATTCTCTATGACCAGCTTTCCCCTGCTGGATTTAAGAAGGATTTCACATGTCTATCAGCCTTGACTAAGCCTCCCTTAGCTGCAGTATTTAAAGTAAGATTAGAAACATGATACATGTTGTTAGCAACTTTGGAGGAGTATAATGCTTGTCAGCAATATCAAATATTCAAGAAGAAAAGTTTTAAAGGAAAGATAATTTTGTTCCTAGTTTCTTTAGGCTGCAGTCATTGTTCACTGAGCTTTTCTTAAAGATCAGAACTCTCCTGGTACTAAAGGATTTAATGTTTTATCTTTTGGGTTATAATGATTAAAGACCCTTTATCTTTTTGTTGTTTTTAATGCTTTGATGACATTGCTCTGATAATTACATGCACAAAATGATAGTATGAAAACTGGTAATGATTTAAAACCATTAAACATGTAGCAGTCAGCTTTCGAAAGGTATCTTATATTCAAAGTAGGTAAAAGTTCAATTCATCCAGACCAGCGGTCAGCAAACGGTAAATATTTCAGGCTCTATGAGCCATGTGGTCTTTGTCATAACTACTCAGTTGTGCCCTAATAGCATGAAATCAGCCATAATAATACATAGAGGGATGAGTGTGGCTGTGTTCCAATAAAACTTTATTAACAAAAACAGGAGACAGGCTGGATTTGACTCGTGGGCCATAGCTAGCACACCCCTGCCAGACCAATAGAACTTTCTGTGTAGATGGAAATGCTCTACATCTGAGCAATCCAATAGAGGACCTGTTTACCACATGTAACTATGGAACACTTGAAATGTGGCTTATGTCACTGAGGAACTGGATTTTTTATTTTATTTATTTATAATTAAGTTTCTGAATAGCCAGTGAGAGTGTGGTCCATGGACCAGTACCATGGATATCACTGGGAGCTTGTTAGAATGCAGCATCTTGGGCCCTGCACAGAGATACTGAGTCAGAAACAGCATGTTAACAAGACCTCTATGTGATTTATATGCCCATGACAGCTGGAGAAGCTCTAGAAGGTTCTAGAGACAGGACTGAAGGCCCAGCAATCTCTGTGCTCAGCTCTGGGGTCTAATGGGCAAGACAGTGATTCTCCAGGTAGCTGGCTAATGATGGGGTCCAGATTTAAAGGCTTTCTCCTCAGGTAGGGCCTTTCAAGGTCAGACCCATGCAAGGGTGGTTTTAGGCGTCCAATGTGGGCACAGTTAAGCCACATTGTCCAGTTTGTTCTTACAAGTAATAAGGCTGATAGTTTGAGCTCCTTGCATCTACTTGTCAGTTGGTCTGGGACCTGGGTTGGGGACCGCTGTGGGGCATGCATGGACCCCTCCCCACTCAGGCCAGCCCAGAAGGAGCATGGGATGCACTTACTGACTTCAGAGCCACAATGAACTCCTCCCTGGAGATACTCTGGTTCTTGTCCCGGGTCACCTTGCTAAATATCTCCAGGATCTTGATCTTGTGGCCATGCAGGTAGGAATACAAGGCCAGCAGGGCGGAGGGCTTGGGCAGTTGGAGCTGGGGCACGGCCCGAAGGAAGGGTAGGCAGCATTTCTTCTGAAAGAGGCAAGAGAGTGGGGCACAGGGGAGAGTTCAGTGGTTACAGGCTGATGGAACATGATCCCCCAGGTGAGACAGAAAAGGGAGAGAGAGGCTGAGCACCTCAGACAGACAGGAGGAAGGAACGCAAAGAGCCTTGGATTCAGGGCATCTGCATTCTGCCCCAGAACACCCAAGAGACCACGTCTCTGGGCCCCCATTTTCCCCTTGGAAACAAGAGGTTGGACAATATGAAGAACTAAAATTTCCTTCTTACCCACATCTTTCCTGTCAGACCAGTATTATAATCCCACTGGACTCTCAGTATGCGAAATACGTTGTGCCTGCCTGGGGCCGGCTGGGGCTCCTTGCACCTCCTGTCTCCTAGCCTTCGCTCTGGCTGGGCCTCCTGCCTCAGACCCTTTTCTTCTTTCTCTACCTGTCCAAACCTACCCCTCTAATTCCACGTGAATGGAAATATTTCAGAGTTAATACTCCCTCACCTTGGCGCAGCACTTGACAGTTTGCAACAGGCCTTCCTGTTCCCTGGTTTATAGTTGCTTTGTGCTCCTGGAGTGTTTGGGACTCACCTCTATTAATGACCTGTAGCAAACTGTAGACTCATTAATCTGATGTGTCCCCGTCCCTCACTAATATGGCCACCTTGAAGGCAAGACCACGTCTTATTAAGCCATGTACCCCCACTGCCCATCCCTGTACTGAACAAAGCCCCCTGCCCTAGGCAGGCAGGCACTAATTAGTGGCTGTATGAATAAATGATCCTGTGAATTAGGTATTAGGTATTACTTTCCCCTTTTACAGATAAGGAAATAGATTCAGAGAGGTGAAATGACTTGCCCAGGGTCACACTGCAGGTAAGCAGTAGAGCTCAGTTTTAACCCATGTCCAATGCTTATTCACAGATACTGTGTTCTTTCAGGAAAGGGTGTTTAAGACTCATGGAATTTGGGTTTTGACTAAGATCACATCAAAGACTGACTCAGAAGTTTTGGGACATATCCAATGACATGGGTGAGGCTGCAATAATAATGAAAATGGCAGATATTTATTGAGTGCTCATTATGTGCCTGGCACTGTCCTAGGCACCTTATATAAATCAATCCATTTAGATGTCACAGCACTCCTAGGAATTAGGTGTAATGGTTATCCCTATTAAATAGATGAGGAAACTGAGACCAAGATCATACAGCTAGGAAGCAGCAGAGCTGGTTTAAACACAAGTTATCTGACCTCTTATCCATGTTTCTCCCAAACCAGGAGAAATTTCAAGTGTTTGTATTGCATGGAAATGTCACAAAGAGGCAAACATCTGGAAGGAGAAGACTTTGGTACTGACCGCCATTTACTATCCCTGTGGGTTTAGACAATCTATTGGCCTCACTGAGCTTCTATTTAAATATTTATAAAATGGAGAACCTTTTTCTTCCAACCTCACAACTGTGATCCCGACAATAGCTCTGTGAGCATGTGCTTGGCACATAAAGGTCCTCATGTGTCACTGAACAAATGAATAAAATGAACAAAAGTAAACGTGTCAGTGAACAAATGAACAAACAGTATTTTTAAATACCCCCTAGATGGGCTGCAGGAATTATCCCTCTGAGGGTGGCTTTAAGATGTAGCCACAAATTCGCCAACTCTCTTCCCTTTTGGAGTGGAGCCTGATTCCCTCCCCTTGAATGTGGACAGTACTTAATGACTTGCTTCTGACAAATCAAAGATGGTGAAAGAGAGAATGTGAATCTTCTGAAATGGAGCCCTCCTGAGATGAGGCCATAATAGGCGCTGCAGCCTCATCCTTGCTCTCTCTCAGACTGTTCGCCCTGGGGGAAGCTGGCTGCCATATGGCAGGGACATGCGGCAGCCCTGTGGAGACACCTGTGTGGCCAGGAACTGAGGCCTCCTGCCAACAGCCATGTGAGCGGGCCAGCTTGGAAATGGATCCTCCTGCCCCAGGCAAGCCTTCCGATGTCTGTGGCCCTGGCCAATGTCTTGATGACAGACTGAGCCAGAGACACCCAGCTAAGCTCCTCCCGGATTCCTGACTCTTAAAAACAGTGAGATGATAAATCTTTGTTGATTTAAGTGACTTTGCGGTATTTGTTATGCAGCAGTTAATAACCAGTACACCTCCCTTCCAGGACTGCTTGTTCTTCTGTGAAATGGTACAAATAATCCCCACTCCCAATGAGGGAATGACATGACAGCATGCTCCCAACACCCTCAGTGTCTTCATCTGGACTGAGAAGTCCCCTGCTGCTCACCTTGGTGGCTCTGATAGTAATCTGCTGGGCCCTCAGCTGGGGCTCCTGCTCTTTGTGGATCACCTGTAAGATCTTGGCCTCTGAAGGCGTGAGGCAGGGCTTGTGCTGCAGCCACCTCTCTGGGTTACCAAATGATTCCAGGTCCTGCCGAAGCTTCAGCCGCCGGCTCAGCCAGGTCCTCGTGTCCTCCAACTGCCCTTGGATGTCTCCAGCTTCCAGGACTCTGAAGGTGGGGGTGGGCTGTGGGGGACTCTGGGGCTGGGGCATGGGATTGACGGGCACTGGATCTCCTTTTTGTGGCAGGATAATGATCCGCCGGCGGCTTTGAGGCAGGTGGAAGCCCTCCTGCTTGAACTGCTTGAAGCAGTGAGCAATAACCAGTTGAGGATCGAAGATGGGGTCTTTGCTGGCATTTTCATCATCAGCCAGGGTCTCAGACTGGCAGAGCCCTTGGAGAGAGGGGTAAAAGGTGAGTTCCTTTCAGGAAGAGGGCTAAAGGAATTATATATACAATATATGCCTCTCTCTGCTGTACTTTTCATCCCTTTTGAAGCAATGGAATTGTTTTATAATTGGACATTTGTCCCTCTGCATCCCCTTCACCTATTTCACTCATCCCCACCCCACCCCATGGCAACCACCAGCTTGTTCTCTGCGTTTATGAGTCTATTTCTGTTATGTTTCATAGGTTGGTTTTTCAGATTCCATATATATGTGAAATCATAGAGCTTTTGTCTTTCTCTGTCTGACATATTTCATGTAGCATAGGGACATCATCTCTCTTGTTCTCTGCTGGAGCCCCAGCACCTCCACAGTGTCAACATGTAGAGGGAGCTCAGCAATTATTTGGTGAATGAGTGAATGACAAGTAGGCAGACCTAAAAGGTTGGCTCGGTGATTATTACCCATTTTATAGATAAGGACATAAGGCCCAGAAAGACACAAGGTCACACAGCTGATTAGTGGCAGAGCTGGAATGTGAACTTTGGTTTGTCCGGCCCCAGGGCTCAGCTCTTAGCCATTACTTGATATTTCTACAGGCTGTCATCGAATCCTGCTGAATCTTAACTCTTTCATGTCTAAAATGATATAAATGCTGCTCTAGCTACTTCCTGAAACTGTTAGGAAGATCAAATAAATAAGGAAGATCAAATAAAGAAACTGTTAGGAAGATATGGGAGTGTTCTGAAATTCAGAAGGGATATAAGATTATTATTAAAAATATTGTCACCATCCCTTCCTCCTAACCCTACCCCCTCTTCAACCCCTTCCATTGCTTCAGCTGTTCCAGGATAAAGTTCAGTCTCCTTAACCTGGCCCCGCCTGACCCATCCTGCAGGCCTCTCTAGTGGGCTCCATCTGTTCCTTCTTCCTCATCTTGAATTTGTACCCAACTGAGCTGACAGTGGTTCCTTGGTGACCCAGCCTGTCCCCCACAAACCATGTTCTTTCCTTTCTCTCTGGATTGCCCTTCTCTCTCCCCTGCTTCATGTGATTATTCCTTCCTGATCTTTTGAGACTCAGCTCAGGCATCACCATGCCCTTCCCAGCCTCTCCCTTATGGCTCCTCTCGGTCCCCATAACCCCCATGCTGAGCCCCATCATAGCATTTACCATATTTTTCTGGATGAAGATGCTTTCTGAGTCTTTCTTGCCCAGTAGCCTGTGAGTTGCGCAATGGCAAGGGCTGTGTCTCAGTTCCCGTGAGTCCCTGGTGCCCAGCCTGGCACAAAGTGAACATTCAGTCATTTATTATTATTAGGTCTCTTTGTGATGCCTATGTATTCCAGAAAATAAACTATGCATCAGAGTGGACAGAAGTGAGCACCTCTCTACAACCCATTTATCATTTCTTTAAGGTGCTGGGTACGACTGAGAATTCATTGAAGTGGTGTTTACCAGGGATGGCCCATGGCTTGGTGCTGGCCAGGTGCAGATCCAGACAAGGCTGGGTGCCCGACCGCAGTGCCCCGGCACAGAGCAAGGTTGGGTAATGGGGGGTGGGGTGTGTGTGTGGGGTAACAGGATGCTCTCAGTCAGGGGAGAAATGCTGATGGTGCGACCCAGGAGGCCATCACGGAGTGGAGGCACCGACATGCACCTTCATGAATGTCAGGATTCAAGGGGTAGGGGGGCCTGCATGGGTAAAGTTTGGGGTGGGGTTTGGGGACTTTAGGGTCACTAAATAGTTCCATAAGTTGGAAGCACATTTTATGTGAAAGAGGAGGTCAAAGGGTAGTAAGGTCGGTGTCATCTCAAATGCCATGTTCAGGGGCTTAAACTTTACCCTGCAGACCAGGGGACACATTCAAAATGTGCTCCTTACTGGCCTTGCTACTTGCGTTTGTGCCTCCCTATATCCCAAATCTGTGATCTCTTAGCCAGAAGAGTCACTCCACCCTTGTGGCCCCACTGAATGGCTTCTCATCGCTCTTGGGAAACACACCCCTCCCATGGTGGCCACAAAGCTGCCTGAGGGGCCCTGCTCCTCTCTCCTCCCTCATCTCCTCCCCCTCACTCACTCGGCTCCAGCTGCACTGGCTGCCTAGCTCTATCCTGGCTCTTTGTTTTGGCATCTTCTGTGCCCCCTGAAGGGCATGGGTTCCTCAAGCTTTCCCCCTGACTGAGTCCTTCTCATCATACAGTTCTCAGCCCATGTGTCACCCCCAACTGCCCTCTTGAAGGTCTTGTGGCCACCACACCATAGAGCTCACTTTCCAGTGATCTTAGAGGGCCTGAGTCCATTGATAGGAAAGTGAGGTGGGCTTTTATAATAAAAGAGGTCTCCATGCAATTGTGGGTACAGACTGTAAAAATGCTCCATAGGGATTTGTGAAGAAAGCTCTCTGAGGCTGGCTAGTCCCGTTGCCTACCCAGGTCAGGGAATTCTTTCTTTCTGCAATGCCCCTGGCTGATTTTGCTTCTGTTTGTCTAACTCCTGTGACAGGAACTTCTCCACTTAGCAGGACTACTCTGGGTGCTAGAAAAGACTTTCATATGTTGACCCAGAATTTGGTTCCCTGGAATTTCTACCCCTTAGTTGTAGGCCTCCCCACTGATACCCTAGGAAACACATTTTTTCCCGCTTTTCTGGGACAGCCCTTCAGGTGTCTGGAGACAATTCAGCTCTTTCTTGAAATGTTTTCTTTAAGCTGAGTTCAAATCTCTCCCTAAGTTCCATCCTACCTCTCTTGGCCATTTGTTCTTTGGTCCCTTACTTCCTGCCCAACCCTTGAAAGCTGATGCCTTCCAGGCTTACACCAGGACTCTCTCCTTTTTTTTTTTTTTTTACAACATCCTCCACTCTCATAATTCCGTGGCCTCTATATGCTGAGGACACCCACACAAATATTTATAAGTTGGAATTAGCTGTGACTTTCTCCATACAGTTGTTCCTAAAGCATCTCCACTTGGATGGCCAACAAGGATATCAAACTCAGCGAACCCAGACAGAACCTGTCCCCATGTCCCTGACCCCACCTAATCTGGTCCTCCCAGTAGGATTCCTGTCTCTCTGAAAGACACCTCCATTTACCTGGGCACCCTAGCTACCAACTGAGCATCATCTTCAATTGCTCTTTCCATAAGCCAATCCAATCAGCTCCCCAAACACTTTAGTCACCTCTGACCTGACTTCTCCCATTATTTGTGGTCTGGGCATTTGGGTCAGCCCCAGATCTCATCACCCCATTCCCAACATTCTGAGCCAGCCAGTTCAATCTCTGGATTTGCTAACACTCCCAATCCAGTCCCGTCATTCCCAGTGGCTTTCCCCTCTTCTGGCTCATAAAATCTTTCATGATCTTGTCCCTTCTGCTCTCTTTTGTCTCTCATCTCCACTGACACTCAAACTTTCTTGAAGGTACCACGTCTCTGGGCCTCTATGCATGCTGTTCCCTGGGCCTGGAATGCTTTTCCTCCCCTTTTGGTTTGGAGAACTACTTGTATCCTTAATTTAAGCCCTGGTGTAAAGATCTCTTCCAGAACCTTGGAACTGTTCCTCCCCATCCTCTACTCTTAGCAGACCTCTTACTCCTGGCATTCACCCTTTCTTCTCTGATTATCCATTTGTCTGTCTGTCTCCTTCACCTCTGAAGTTGCAGCCCTTTCCCACAGAGGGCTATAGCCAACAGTTGGAGGAGTGGCGGTCTCCTCCATGTCTCTTCTCCAGTAGCAAGTACATTAATGCCTGGCAGAGAAATGCGGCAAGCGGGGTGCCTGGACACCTTTCATTGCTCAGGCCTCCGGTTCTAAGCCAAGGCAACACGGCCTGTTCTTCCAATCTGGGCATGGAAATCTGAGAAATGTGCATGACCTGGCCCCAACTCCCTGGCAACCCCTCGCCCAGAGTGGGGACGGCACAATGATATATTCACACCGTCCTTGCCCTCACCCCACTTGCACTCGTCCGTGTAGGATTGAGGGCTTCCCGGAAGCGGGGCTGCTTCCCTGAAGCTTACCAAGCAGCAGTGGTTAAGAACACAGCCTGGTACGTTTCATAGAAATCGTCCATAGTCGCGGCGCTGCGAACAGGTGTGAAGATTGAGTGAATGTGTGTGTGTCCGTATGTGTTTGCTTGCGCGGGGGCTGGTGTATGAAAGATGAGTAATTCCAGTGTTTGCGAGAGTCACGCTACTCTGAGCTTGGAAGCGGCTGTTGCCAGGACTACGGACGCCCGACGCCCATTGGCTGAGCGCTGTCACGCACGGAGCCCAGCGCCACGCATCCGGCTCCTTTTGACGGATCTGGGAGGGGCCGAGACGCAGTTCCGGGCTCGGCAAAAGTCAAGATTCCTTTTCCCTTTCTCTGTATTTCGCGTTGTTGACACACGATGTTACATTAGTTTTTGCGTGCCCGACATAGTGATTGAACATTTATATACATTAGGAAGTGGTCACCGGGATAAATCTAGTAATTGTCACCATACAAAGTTGTTACAATATTAATTACATTCCCTATGTTGTACATTGCATCCCGTCTTAATTATTTTATATCTGGAACTTTGTACCTTTTAATTTTTAATTCCCTTCTCCTATTTCACTATCCCTCCATCCCTCCTCTTGGCTGGCAACTAACTACCAGATTGTTCTCTGTATCTTGAGTCTGTTTCTGTAGTTTGGCCCAGTGGCCCCTGAATCTGGAGTAGTGAATCCCTGCTTTCCTGTAAACCTTAGGATCTTCAGGAGGTTTCCACATCTTAGCCTGTGTTCTCATGCTCAAAACAGGCCCTGCCTTTCAGTCAGGTCATAGGAACCCAAGCAAGTCATGGCCAAACAGAGGCGTTATTTCAGTATGCTTTGCCCCCTTATGCCAGAGCGCCATGCTTTGGGATTATAGAACCTAAGAACAGGAATTTTAATAAAAACTTGAAATGTGCATTAATTGGCGAATAAACAAAGCGTGGAATAACAAAATATCAGTCATAAAAAGGAATGAAGAAGTGCTGACACATGCTACAATATAGATGAACCCCAAAACATCATGCTAAGTGAAAGAAGCCAGACACAAAAGGCCACATGTTATATAGTTCTGTTTACAAGAAATGCCCAGAATGGGCAAACCTATAGACACAGAAAGTAAATTGTTTGCCAGAAGCTAGAGAGGGATGGAAGGACACTGGGTTTGATTACTACCAGGTACAGCATTTCTTTTTGGAGTGATGCACATGTCCTGGAATTGTTGATGATTGCACATTTTAAATCTACCAAAAACCAGGAAATTGTACACTATAAAAATGGCTCTATGATGTATTTTGTTATAGGAATTTTGTCTCAATAAAAGAAGTTTTATAAATAAACAAGAAGTTAAGTAAAAAAACAAACACTTGAGTCTTAACTCTGTGTAGGGCACCCCCTTTGCTGAAATGGATTATCTTTGAGACCCTCTCAACAACCTGAGGTAGTCCCTCAGACCATCCCTACAGGTCACATTAACATAGCACTTTTAAAGTCAGGCTCCATTTAAGCAACTACATGCAGGAACGTAATCATAATAACCACGTGAGGCAGGCACCACTGCCACATTTTAAAGAGCTGACAAATAGGGACAGAGGTCAGGCAACCTCACTTGCGGCAAAGGGGAAAAGCCAGGCCCGGTTGTGGCCTGAGTGCCTCTGCTGCAAAGCTCCACGCAGACAGGGACGTGACAGCAGACCCTGCCTCCCAGCCCCGCCTGATGCCCCAGCCTTGGTGAGCTGGCCCCACCCTCTGACCCCAGCTGTGGCCCAAGGTTTCAGAGAACCCTCTACATTCTTAGCTGCAGTATCTGGGCATCCTGTCCCTGTGCCTTACCCCTGCTGCTTCCTTCCATTATTGTGGTTCCATGATGTTGCTGTTCTCTCTTCCTGTGAGCACCTTTTCACCCTTGTGTCTGTCCCCAGCACAGAGCTTTGCACTTACAGAATGACTGTTAAATAAATTTTAAAAATGTGAGGGGAAGTCAGGCAGTGTAGGTCTGCTTTGGGGTGTGTGTGTGGCCAGTGTTCCTGTTCTCTGGTCAGAATCCATCCCTCTCTAAAAAATGAAACTTGCTCACTCAAGTGGAAACAACCAACTAGCCCGGCAGCAGACTGTGTCTTAATTCTGTTTGCATTCCACCTTACCACAAAATTCATTTATTTTTTAATTTATTCAATTTAATCTTCAAATTACACCTCAAAATAGTGATTGGTAATTGAGACTTCATAATTTGGAATTTTTTGTTGGTTTATTTGGTAAGCTCTTTCTAATGTAAGTGTTTCAATATTTAAGCTACAACATTCTAATACCCATATTAAAAATGGGATAAAACTTAAGCCCTATCCTCCAGCTGGAAGGGAAGAGATGGGTAAATGCTCGAGTTCTCACAAAGGGATCAAGGCAAAATGCATGAGCCAGAAGCCAACACCCTGAAACAGAGCTACAGGCAGATATCCACACTAGGTTATCAGATGGATGCTAGGATCAAATTCCCAATTCCTAAAAGACAGCACAGAGTCATCAAGAACACATGATGACAAAATAATCTTATTTTTCCTTGGGGGTTAGTTGATTTTTTTCAGTAAAAACATTTTTATTAATTAACTGCCTGATAGACTTTGTAATATTTTTTCTTACATTTTTGGTAGCAACTCTTTGACTTCTTCTTCATATAACTGTGTAACATTTTTACACAAAGAGAACAGAAAATCTAATCTTTCCTCAAGAAGGTTGATAGCAATTTATTTTGCATTACTGGTAGTTTAGAAAGGCTTTTCACTTACAAATCGCATTTCATCATTGGAGAAGTCATATACATTTTTAGGACTGTGGTCAAATAACGATTTATTAAAAACAAAAACTGTTCAAAACATGTTCTAGTACATTCATTTAGCAACACTACCAGTGGCACACACATTAAGAAAACATACGTGAGGTTTCTAGTTGGGCTGAGTAAAGCCTACATGCCTGTAAGTTAGCTGGTCAAAACGGAGCTCTTAAGAATCAAATGCAAAGTAACTTGTGAAATGAAGTTTGAAGACTTCCAAGAGTTTTAAGACAGACTTAATTTTTTATGATTTTCCCAAAGCCAGTCATGATATTTATTTAACTTATGGTCTTCAGGGCGCACCTGGAAGAAACACGACATATTAGGACACAGAGGCCTTACGTCAGTTAGCCAGAAATACATGTTTAAACTTTGGGTTTTTAAAGGTTTGGTAGGGGAATAGAACCTTATGATGACATGTCTAAAAATTGTAACCTTTACCCTAATGGGATTCAGAATGTTTAAAATTGTCCCTTACATTAAGATAATCCTTTCCAATTTAGTGCTGATCTTCACCATGACACAGGGCATGGGGTGGTGATCACATAAGTATTAATATGCTATTTTCCAGAGTTAAATGGATTGCTCACGTCACAATAAAATGGCAAAGCAGGGATGGGCTTGGCCAGACCTACTGGCTGAGTGTTTTAGAGCAAGTCACAGATGAAGAGGGCAGTGTACTTGGCCACCTAGCCGTGGCCACCAGCTGCTGGGACACCTCCTGGATGTCTATGAACTGGGCATACTCAATAGAATGGGTAGCTGAGTAGGACCCAGTTATCACAAAAACAGTCTGAGACAACTAGGAGAACCCAACAAGCATGCATTCCAAGCCCAAACCTGCCTGCTTGCCTTCAGTGGTGTACTTTTGAAGGCCAGTGACTGTGACAGGAGGAAAACCACATGAGGCTTAGAGACCATACATGAATGGGAATGACAGAACAGGGTCAGAAGTGACAAACTGCTGGAGGTCAGTCAGAGGTCACGTGAAGCAAGACTTTACGGACTTGGGAGTGACAAGGATCCTTTCCTCCTGACAGTAATCCCATCCTCCTGCTGCCCCTTGAACTTGGAATAAAACTGGTTCTGATATGAAAAAACGTGTGTCCAAGAAGTAATTTTCAATAATGGTGGACTTTTGCCTCAGAGACAAAATGTGCTGGAGATATTATGGCTGGGACTCACCTGCTTCCACTCATTGATACAAAAAATTCGGTAAGAGTCATTGCCGTATTTGCCAATCCCGTGAAGCTCAATTGGATAGCGCCACTGCTTTGTTAGATACTCATCTGAGAATGCAACACCCCACGTATCAGGCCAGCTTCTAGATAGATACTTCCCCTAAATGTGGGGTGATGGGGGGCTGGATGGAGAGACCAGAAGGAGACGGGAAAAAAATCTTTCCAACACCCCCAGTTCTGACTGCGCTATCTTCCGAATTCCTGCTTAGTTACCCCGTCGCAACCGTTCACCTGCCACTTACGCACCATTATTATTTTGTGCTGTGCTAACCAGACATAGTAAAATCCTTGAGGTCAACTGGGCTTTTTGCTTCACTGACTTCTTTCTCTGTTCCTGCCCAGGCCATCCCAGTGCTAGGCAAAGACTTATTACCTTGGGTCAGTGGGAGACTGTGGTTTGGGGCAAGTGGACTGTTTTTAAATGCCTTCAGGGCTGGCTTGAGCTGAATGACCCGTTAACGAGCACCCCAGGACCTTAAAGTTCAAGGTGTAGCTCTCTCAAATAGGCACAGCTTATGTTTTATCCTTCGGGTGTATGGAAAAGTACCTGAGAATTTGATAATGGTTTTTGCTCGAAGATCGTACAGACCAAGAGGTTTAAGAAGTTCTGACACATCTCTCCAATCTGCAGCTCTTGCTACCTCAGCTGAAGGATACTTCTCCAGAAACTCCCAAAGCACAGGGATTGCCATTTTGCCTGTTAAGTAAAAATAACCATAATTACAAGCCTCAAGATGGGCTGGTTTTAAGTTCAGGTATTTCCTCACCTAGATAACCCACATAGAGCTTTTTTTCCCTTCTTCTTTTTAAAGCATTGAGGAGAAGCCATTACCTGAACCAGCAATCACTTTCAGCGTAAAAAACCAACACCATTAGCCTGTTTGGCTAACAGTCTAAATCATGCTAATACCTAGACTTGTGTGGTAATAATTTTTAAATTATCTGCACTTCAGATAATTAGTGTAAAAGCATATAGAACACAAGGTGCCAATGACATTAAGGAAAGCTTTCAATGAAAAAGAAAGGCTTTTATACATGACAGAGGGTGGAAGAATGTTAAGTAATTGATTTTCATTGATGTCCAAAACTAATTTGAAGTTGAAAATGAGTGAAAATCTGTTCTCTCGTGTGAAAAAGGCTGTTGGATGTTATCTAGTCTATCTCATTGGCAAAGAGTTTGAGGGCTGAAAGGGGAAAGCCTTACCTGAGGTCACACAGTCTCGAAATCAAACTTGAACCCAGGCCTCCTAATCAACCCATGCTCTTTCTCCTCATCACACTGTCTCTACTGAGACAAAGATGAAAATAATCCACAAACCTGAGGTCCGATTGAGAAATATAGTGGCAATGAGGAGCTTCCATGGGTCGTGGAAAAGTGTTTCTTGGACAAGATTAAAAGGTGACCGAGGAGGGGTCCACTTCTTAAAGGCTTTGCGTCGTGGGGGGCTAAGAGCTAAACACACACACTACATCAGAGCTGCACACCTGAAATAGATTTAAAATCTGATTTTTCTGATTGGGAAAGAGATACCTTCTTTGTTGTATTTGCTGGAGAAATACAGGCTTGTTTTCCTTTTTTCTATTTGGGTCTGTGGGATGGTATCTTCTGAAAAGGAAGCATGAACACTGTTAATAGACTCTACAGTTAAGCGTAAAGAAATATTCAGGGGTACAAATTATTGTCATAACATATTACTCTTACAAAACATGTAGTGTGTGCCAGGCACTGTTCTAAAAACTATAAAAATTAACCAATTTAATCCTACTAGTGACCCAGGAGCTAGGTATTATTCATCTCCACTTTACAGATAAGGAAACTGAGGGACAGAGAAGCTAAGTAACTTGCCCAAGGTCACACAGCTAGTGTCAGAACTGAAATTCAAATCCAAGCAGTCTGGCTTCTAAGTCCATGACTTTAACCACTCTGAACACTAGTTTTCTATACTTATGTTCAGAGTTCACAGTATTAAAAAGTTTGAAATAATACAGAGCATTGCAAATTGTGACACATTTGTACAATGTGGTCATTGAAATACTTTTAAGACTGTGTCATGATTATTTTCCCCCAGGTCACTAACTTTTAAGTGAAAAAAGCAATATTCTACATATGATCACAATTTAATAATAAAAAAAATGACAGAGATTGTATTGAAATACACTAAAATGGCATAATAGTCACTGTTAATTTTTTTCTCCTTTAACTTTTTATATTTTCCAAAATTTCTGCAGTGAACTCTTAAACTTACCAAAAAGGAAAAAAAAAAGAGAGAGAAAAAATAGAACCTGCAGAAAAATCTAAGATTTGGACCTTAGAATACCTAAGACCATGATCTACCTACAAGCTCAGTTAATTCAATAAAGACTATTCAACCAGGGTTACTGGGCTTCCCTTTCTTAATTCTAAAATTATCACATTTAATGTTTCCTGTAGCCTCTACATTTGAATGTCAGTTAATAATACCTTGCATTTGTACATCGTGAAGCTATCTTTTTCACTTCTCATTTTAGTTGACAATATTTTTGATGTGAAAAACAGGACTGGTGAAGGCTATTACCTCCATTTTACAGATGAAGAAACTAAAGCTTAGAAATTAAGCAACAATCCAAAAATGACAGGAGGATTGATTATAGATTGGGACAAGTATCCAGGTTCTCCAGATAATTAGTCTAGTGTTTGTCTGTATTCTAGTTAGAATAGGCAAAGCCTAGTAGAAAGTAAGAAAGTGTTAGAACAAAGGAAACTGCTTTTACTAGCTACCTGGTAATCTCTTCTGTGAGTTCCTATAAATATTAGCTATCTTCCCTTATTACAAGGAGACTGAAGCTCAGTTTATTTGGCAATTTCTAACTTAGTCAGTGGTAAAGTCTTACTGTTCCATGGGACATCTTTTTAACCTAAGGGTACTCCATCTCATGTTGAGAACTAGACTTCTTTATTGAGTGGAGAAATAGGACACTTCTATTTTAGTTGCAAAAGGATGTCTGTAATATTTTACTTATCCATTATACTACAATAAGTACATACCCTCAAGCTCAAAGTTAAAGACAGGCCTGAAGAACTGTTAACGTAGTTCCAACTTCTGTTAAACGTAGAGACATTCCAGGCACAGCAAAGGCATAAAATCATGAGTGGGTGTGACAGCAGGAATCAAGTCTAACCCCCAGTGCACCAATTTGCTCAGGCTGTCTCTCCACAGGACTTTTAAGTAAAATTACTATTCTTCTTTAAGGGAGTTATTCATTATACCATAATGACATAATGAATAACTAATACTGGGTTGCTTGAAAGGTCTCCTCTTTATCTCTTATTCACTGAGGTACTATAAAGGCAAAATTGCTAAGCTCTGAACTCTGTATTAAGAGCATATTACAAATAATAGATGAACTATGTGATTACCACTTTGAATTATTGAGAGCTCTTAAGTATTTTAGAGAAGCATTACATTATAATAGAAGATAAAAATGACTATGATACATACAAAACTAAATTGGAAGTCACAAATCCGTAATAAGTAATAGGAAGGGTGCAGAGAAGACACAAACTATTGTCAATCAGTTTATGTATAAAAGGAGTCTCCCCCAAAGCTTTTCATAAGTGAAACCTTTTCATTTTCCCTAAAGTTGTTAAGATTACTGGCTGAAAGCTGGAAAGAAGGGAAAGCACTGTTGGGGAGAGTACCAGCTGTTGAGCCAGGGGAGCTCGTGGCAGCTGTTAGTGGCACAATTTTCATTTGCTGGGGGCATCAAGGCAGTGGCCAGCTGAGTCCCTTTCTGCCACAGGAAGGGGCTTGAAGGCTGGCTAGAGGAGGTACTAGATCAACTGGTAGAATGTGCCGGATATTTGGCCCTATTTCTTTATTGTATTCCTATATCCTAACCGGGTACAGATGTGAAATACAATATCCAGGAGTATAAACTCCTCGTCACATGTTTAATAGCACTTCAGTGCAATGAATACCTTGACATGTTTTCACAGAAAGACAGTCTTTTTCGGTTTGTGAGCAGTTCCTGTCCATTTCAGAGCCACATTTTAAAGTGTCAATATGCAAATGCTCCTTCCTTTTGCCAACTTCTACTTCTGTTCTTATTTCTTCAGATTCTAAAAAGGTACCCTCACGCTTCTGGCTTTGTTCTGCTTCTTTGCTTGAACGTGATTTGTTGATGATGCTGGAAGTTATCTGTTCACAATGAAAATTTGATTCTGAACTCAATGATTTTTCTTCTACAAGTCTCTTTGCTTCATTGGTCACACTGAGGTTGCTGCTTGCTCTGGCATCAGAAATGCAGAGAGCTCCATCAAGGTGACTTTGTTGTGTGACAGATTCACTTTCAGCATCTTCCTTAGTATGCACAGTTTCTCTTTTTCTATTACTTTGAACAGACTCTGGAAGTCTCTTCCGGTGCCTTGTTTTAGTTTCCTTAATTTGAATTTCGTTCAAAGTAGTCACCTTTCCTTTGGACCTTCTCACCTTTCCAGGTTCAACAGCATGAACACCCTCATCTTCTTTCAAAAGCATGGAAGAAGGAATGGAAGTAAAGTTGGATAGTCCTCTGCTATCTTGCAATTCCAAACCACCACCTGGCAGAGGAAACACATTTTTTTTCCACCTGCTTCGTGTCCTGAGGTTCCGGTTTAAATTGTTACTTTTGCTTTGCAGTTGGGACTGAGTCAAAGCTGCCATGCTGCCGTCTTTATCTCTTGACTTCATGCCCCTTTTAGAAAGTACAGTAAAATCAAAATCTTCTGGCTTAAGTGAAGTCTCTCCATTTTTGTGAAGATATTTAGCAACTGAACTTTTGGATCTGAACTTCAGTCCCTGTGGGCTAGAAAATATTAAAGGACACTTATTGCTAGTAAATAAAAATGACTTAAAAATTGGATCACATTTCAGATTTTTAATTAATACTTTCCAAATGTTGCCATGGGCATTTAGCATTTAAAATAAAAAAATAGTGATAAAATAGTACTTTTATATAGTTTCCTATATGACAGTATAATTTACAAATAAAACTTAAGTGCAACCTTACCATTAACCATTCACAGGAGAAAATATACGTACTTGTCCCCAAGTCACTTAATATAACCAGTGACATTGAAGAATAGAATCCATAATCGTTTTATGGTAAAAACAAAAAGGCCAAGGTTCCTGCTATGTTTTCCTGTTACCTCTAGACAAAATTGTTTGGCCGTACTCTCTTACCACCTTGCACACTCACCTGATAAAATATACATCATATCTTCCTGCTGTTTTCCCAGATAACCTTTGCTTCACAACTCTTTCCCATCCACATGGGACAGACTTATGGCATACTGTCACTGCAGGATCATCACATTGAGCAGAATTGATGGATTCTTGAGGCAGGGGATTACACTCATTGCTTTTTATTACTGCTTGTTTATCATCGTCCCCCAATCTTTCCAATCCCAGAGCACCATCTTCCTTGCTGAAAAAACAAAGAACAAGTGATTAGCTCATTTAAAATTTATCTTCCTCTGCTGATTCAATTTCAATCCATGAATGGGCAGGAACTTCATGGACTACTTAGACTGTCCATGATTTCACAATCAGAATGGACCAATCTTATTCTATGGGAATGTCTTCCTACCTTCCACCCCCCCAATATCTTCCCATCCTCCAACATGGGTTAAAAAGGGTTGGAAATCTCTGCACGATGAAATGCTCAAGCTGTTTGCTAGAAATTATTTTTGGTTAATCATTGAGTAGGCTATTATAAAGATTTCTGGTGACACCTGGCAGTTGAAAAACATGAATAACTGAGCTCTTAACCTGGGGTCAACAGAACTGCTTAAAAGAGACAGTGGGACACCTTCCTCCTCCCCAAATATGTGAGGTAAAAATTTTATATATGTATGTATTTCTTCAGGGGGAGGGGATCTATTGTTTCATAAGATGTGACTCTCCAAAAGGTAAATAATTTATGATACAGAATTTTCAACTGTCTTTCATCCATCCTTGTGATAACCTTGTGAAGTAGGTAGGATAAGGATTACTCTCATTTATTATTAAACTGAGTGATAGGAAGATTAAGTTACTTGCAGAACTGATACCAGAACCCAGGTCTACTAAATCTTGGTCTAATATTTCTTCCCCTGTACTATTAATGAACAACTTCAGTAGGGTGTATCCTAATCACGAAATCACAAGTTTTAAAAGTTGGATGGGTCTAACTTTTTTTTAGAGATGTCTAACTCAACTCTCTTCTACAAACAAGGAAACTAAACAAGAGCTAGTGACTGACTAGAACTGGAATCAAGGTCTTTGAAGTAATTTGGAGTTCAATAACTTGGGAAATAGGTGGATCTTAAGAAATTATATAGTTCACAATTTTGGAGGTAAGAAAATGGAAACCTGGTGAAAACAGCGCAGACTAAAAAAGTCAAGAGACTGGGTTCAAATCCCGGCTCTGCCATTTACTAGCAGTGTGTCCAAGAGCAAATTACTCCAGTCTCTTCTCTTCGTCTGTTAAAAGGAGGTATACCTTTTTTAAGGCAGTTCTGAGGTTTAGATTTTGAAAGGAAAAAAAAGGTAAATTGAAAAAAAAAGGTAAATCATCTTCGCCCCATATCTCATGTATACAACTACTCACTGACTGTAGCTTCCTCTATTGCTTCTCATATGACCCATTTTTGGAGCTCCCCTGGCTGCTTAACATGACCTCTCCTCCTCCGAAGATCCTCCAACCCAAGCCGGCCTCTCCTTGCACCATTAAACCTCCCTGCTTCTCCTAACACCTCCGGCATTTCGGGTGAGCACAGCAGTCGGGGGTACCACGGGGCTGAACCCACTGCAGAAGAACCTGAGCTACAGCCCTACCTCCTAGTGACTAACACTGTGAGCCTCGATGTCTTTGTCGATCCTAGGTTATTAAGGCCCATCCACGTTCTACTTTCCTGCTCCTATTTTACAGTTGGTGAAACAGAGGTACGAAAGGGGGCAGTAACTTGCCGGAGGTGACAAGGCCGGTCTGGGACTAGGCGCTCACTGGCGGTGCCCGCGAGGGCGTCTCCGCAGTCTCCCAGGCTCGGACTCTCCATCCTAGCCGTGCTCTTCACGGCTCCGGCTGCAGCAACGAGCCAATTTGGTGCGACGCCCCGGGAGTGGAGCAAAGTAAAATGTGAAAAATTCTTCAGCTCAGAGCGCTAGGCTGAAAACGAAAGATGAAGACAGGTAAAGTTCATCAAACTCCACAGTAGCTTTCCGGCCGCCCCGAAGGCCATCGCCGCTAGTTCCACGACTCAGCCAATCAAATCCTTTGTCAAAGAAGACGCACCGCCCTCCGCCCTTACTGACCAATCGTACGCCCCCTAGTTGCGCAGACGCCTTGTAGGAACCCGTTCATCTTTGCTCCTTTCTGAAACTCCCTCTTTTGGACGTAAGCACTCAGAACTCTGCTGCGCGCGCGTACCTCACTGCGCATGTGCGTTGCCAGGGGTAGCGCGGGTAGCCAAAGTGGCTCGCGGAGCCGGGCGTGTTGCTGAGGCGGGGAGGAGGGGCCCGAGGTGTGAGGGAAGCCGCGATGCGGGCCGTGTTGACGTGGAGAGATAAAGCCGAGCAGTGGTGAGGAGCGGGACAGCCCGGGAGGAGCGGGAGGCCGAGCCCCAGCGGGGATGGCGGGAGCCATGGCATGAACTCCATGGTTGCCACGGGCAACGGGCCTGCGGCCTGGTTGAGGGCACCGAACCCGCTGTCTGGGCGACTGCAAGGTCGCCTTCCCACTCCTCTGCGAGTGCAGAAACTGAGGCCTGAAAAGGGAGCAGAGAGATGTGCCATGCGTGACGTACTGGCCTGTCGAGGCGGTTTTATACGTAGTCACAATATGATCTTGCTGCTCTCTTACTCGGAGTCCGTTCTGGGCTCATTTTATATCCACGACAATGTGTCTCAAACTTCCCAATTTTTTCCACATACACATATTACTCATACTCTTGTTTACTTGATTTTATGTTTTGCGGTTTTACAAGGAAACTTTATTGCTTGGTGAAATAATTAAGACTTAAACCAAATTGTTAATAAGTTGTAGCTACATACTGTTGCTATGGAACCTTGAGGCCTGAGGTCTACTGTCTCTCGAACTGCAGATTTAGCAAGTATGGTCAGAGAGGTGCTTGAGATGAATAGCATCAAGCCAAGACTTTGCTACGCTTAAATAGAAGGTTTGAAAGAGGATCAAAAGAGAATGACTTTCTCACCTTAACATTCAGTGTTATTTAGGGTCCTATTCTGTTTTTATCACCTAAATCCATCACACAACAATATATCTTGCAAAATCCTGACTTACTGGATTGTTCTCTTCAGCCTAGCTTTCAAAATCTTTCTAGATGATCTGTTCAGCCTCATTGTGAAGCCTCTGTTTTGGCCCCTGAAATAGGGTATTTGCCATTCCCTCTCTGTCTTTTCTTAGGCCCTTCTGTGTGAAGATATCATGCTTTCCTTTCCTCATCTCCTCACATCGAAATTCCGAACATCCTTTAAAGCTCCCTTTGAAGATGGTTGCTCTTTCTTTTGTATTCTGCACTAGTAATAGCGAATGCTTTGTGCCAGGCACTGGCTAAGAACTTTCTACCTTTTATATCATTATCACCTTTCAACAGCCTTCTGAGGTAGGTACTATAATTATGTCTAGTTTACATAAGAGGAAAGAAACTAAAGCACAAAGAGGGGTGAATAATTTGCCAAAGCCATACAGTAACTGGTGAAGCCAGCTTTCTTCCTCACTCCAGGCCAACGCTCTTAGCCACAATATTAATGTTTCCCCATGTTACAGAGGCTGCAAACTCAAATGCCTGCAGGAGTCAGGCAGGCAGCATAAATGGGAAATGCTTATTTGCATCTTAAACACATGGAATTGTCTGTCTTCCCTAGGAGTATTCTATTTACACCCCACTTTCCTTGAAAACATATAGCCCTACCATGTATGTTTCATTTCTACTTTTAAGGAAAAGATTTGCATAAAAATTTCTTTTTGTTTTTCTCTTAACTCTATTATAAAAGTACCCACAGCACAGGCTGCTAACTAGCAAATGAACATTTGCCTTCGATGTCAGAGAGTAAAAGGGAGTAGCAAGTAGTGTGTCAAACTGGAGAGCTCATGCTCTGCCTAAAAGGGGCAGCTGCTGCTCAGCTCCTGCCAGTTACCACCCTGCAGGAATTTGGCCTGTGGTGCTCAGATCTTCCTGCTCTCACCAGAAGCTTCCTAGGTTTCTGGGTTTTTATGTGAAATGTCCTAATTTTTAAATGTTGGAACCTAATCTAAAACAACAAAATGAAACTCCATGTGGGCCAAACAGAACATTTGCTGCCCAAGTACAGCCTGATTTGCTCCCAGTTTTTAACCCCTGACATAGAATTTTGTTCATTCTTCTCTTGTGGTACTTAACGTCTGTCTAGTGTAAGAGTTATTTGTGACCCTGTTAACCCAAGAAGTCTATAAACCCCTTAAAGCAATAGCTATGTCTTAATCATTTCCAAGGCTTATTTCTGAGCCTAGACAAATGAGTGGTTATTGTGACTATTTGATCTATAGATGGACTCATGAGTGAATGAATCAGTGAGTGAACAAATGATGAATGAAGATTGGTTATTTGGTTTTTGGCCCACTATAGGTTTAAAACAATCTATTAGAGTAAGACTGTAGGGGTTCTATAGACCAGCAATCCTGATGGCAGCTACATATGTCAGCTGATAGCCCACAATGAGATAAAACAAAACAAAAAGCTGTAAAAAAATGAGCAACAGAACTAAAAAATCCCAGATGTCAAATATTAGTCATCCACAACTGAACCAGCCACTATCTCCTGTTCTGCTCTTTTGCTTCCTGACTAGCCTTCATATAGCAGCAGGAATCCTCTTTTTCAAGTCCTGATGTTATGATCCATAACTGTACTTCTCATAAACCAATTACCTTCCACATCAAATTGTGCACTTAACTAGCTGGCCCTATTTGTACTCCTCCCACTCCCCTGTGCTTCCTCATGTTTAAATTTATGCTTTTGAGTTCATTTGAAAACTCTAATGTCCTATCCAAAGGCCCTTCCCAAATGCTCTCTTATTCTTCTCTGAACTCCCTTTTCTCTCTTAAAAGCACTGCTCCAGGTTCACTGCAACCATGACGCTTCATTTGGTTGTCACACCTTATTCCAGTCAGGCCAGCATCTGCTCTAACTCCCCACTCACACCAGCTTGTATGAACTGAGTACATGCTGTAGGCCAGACAGTGTTTACATGCCTTACATTGTTTAATTGCCACAACCACATGTGAAGTTGGAATTGTTACTCCTTTTACAGATGAAGAAACTGAGACTTAACAAGGTGATATCATTTGCCTAAGATTCAGAGTGAATAAGATTCAGAGGCTGGGTCAGATTGTACAGGGTTTGGAGAGGCACTTTGGGACTTCAGTTTACAGTGGGGTGGGCACGGGGTTGGCAGAGGACAACCTGCACGACTAACCCTCTGTCTGCAATGGAATCTAACAATGTCTTTTTCATGAAAGGAGGCAGGTGGAGAGAGAGAACCATCCTAAAGTACAATAGACTGCCTGTAGACAGGTGCGCTCCCCAGCCCTGGAAGTGTTCAGGTGGAGGCTGGATGGTCATCTGTAGGGAATTTCTACCCTGGCAGGGGAATTGGATTATATGACAAGGTTTAGGGTCTTTCCAATTCTGAGTTTCTGTCGTTGACCTTGAAAATAACCAGTTATTTTACCAGCAAAGTGAGTTTATTTGGGAATAACAGAGGAATTGCAATTCAGGACAAGCAAGCTGTGGTGAACCAGGCAAGTTGGGAGAACAAAGGAGAGGAACTCTCTTTAATGGAGGAAAGGGGGACTGTTGGGAGTGGATGTTAAAAACAAAAAGTCCATTGGAGTAAACTGGGAGTTGGAAATGTACTGCCTTTTCATTGACTGAGTTGTGACAGCCTCTTATGGGCGGGACTCTTGCCACTGAGAACATCTTCCTCCTGCTGGGGTAGTAAAGTAGGCTTCTTCCCTTTGGGAATGCAAGGTATCTCTCTTCCTGTTGGCAGTTGTGAGAGTTCCCTCTTCTGGTCTCCTGACTATTTTAAATGAGGTTTCCTTTATTCATTTTCACAATCTCATGATGTAATTAAAGTCCAAGGGGTTCAAGGTAAAATTTTGTCAGTTTGAGATAATATTCATTTTGTGTCAAGGATAATGCCATGCATCATGAGCCCACAATGTCTAAAACGGAGTCAAATCCTTTACATTGCATATGACTATAATTAAAGGAACAAGAGAGTATCTCAAACAATGTAAAATGTAGAAAGCTATATAATTCTAAGTACAGTGAGAGTTTAGATTGGGGTAAATCAGGCATGTATATTATACTTTGGGAAAGCAAATTTCAAGTAATTCAGAGAAAATGAATTTTCACATCTGAGAGGAAGATAGGTTAAGGCTTGCCTTAAATAGACACTCAGAAATGATTTTCTGATAATTCAACCCCAAATGGTCCTCATGAAGAAGCCACACGAGAACCACTTTGATGAGCTCAAGTATGTATAAGGTAGAAAGAGAGCCACATAACCAAGCATGACTATAAAAGAGGTACAGACCCCTTCCAGAACCTAATACCTCATCTGAGCAACCCACAGGTGTCTGGTGCTTGCACAAGGCTGGCTTGGGCTCCCTGGGACGTGGGTGGGCAGCTCTCTAGCCTTGTTTTGTAGGTTGAGCCAAACGCTCATACAGAAGGCCAGCTCTTCCGGCCCCAGCTCCCCTCTACATTGCCCTGCTTCTTCTCAGAGTGTGAAACACACAGGTATATTTTCCTCTAGGTCCAGAGAAAGAAAGCCTGAGAAGCAGGAAGGCCCGGGCCTGTTAGCACTTAATAGTGAGGAAGCTGAAGGACTCAGGATCTGTATTTGTTTTTATCAAGAGGGATGCCCAACTGTTAAGGGTGTAGCAATCGCCTTTGTTCCCGCTTTTCCATCAGCCAGCTGTGTGACTGCAGACCCGTGACTTGCCTCTGTATTTCAGTTTCTTCTTTGGTAAAAGTGAGCCAATAGTGCCTGGGCTGTCTATAGCATTATGTTATAAGATCAAATGACATGTAAGTTTATACTCTTCAACAACTCTTCACTGTTGAATATATGTGAAGAAGTGTTTTTCTTAGAGGAAGCTTCTGAGATCAGTGGAACCTATATAAAATGTTCAGAATTCTATGTGTAATGCCTTGAGTGGGTGGTAATACTTTTTTTCCCTTTCTGTTGATAAAGCATGGAAACTATTGCTAATTACTTTGTCAGCTATGACATGTGCTAATAATAATGAACTGAGGGCCACAGTGATAGTGGTTAGAGTTTGGGTGTCAGAGCCAGAGTGCCTGGGTTTGATTTTGGCTCCACCGCCACTCAATAGCAGTGTATTTTCAGACAAGCTATTTAACTTCTCTGTGCCTTAGTTTTCTCACCTCCAAATAATCCATAGGTATAGGATTATTGCCATGAGTGAGTTAATACATGTAAAGCATTTAAACTGTACTTAGCATACAAAGTAAATAAATGTGCTTAATAAATGTTAACTACTGTCATTAAAGAATTAAGGTAACAGATTTGTCATACTTGACAATATTTCAAGAAAATGGAAGGCAGTATACCGTAGACTCTAGAGTTAGATCTGAGTTGAAATTCTGGCCTTTTCCCTTGTTGGTTTTGTGATGATGGACAAGCTAATTGACTTCTCTGAGCCATGGTGTCCCCAACTACAAAATTGAGTAGTAATTCTTACCTCATAAAATGTTGTGAGGATGGTATAAAAATAATGCATTTAAAGAGCTCAGCATGAGATCTCTCTATAGTAAATGCTCCAAGTTCTGTTGGAATTGTTACTCCTTTTCCAGATGAAGAAACTGAGACTTAACAAGGTGATATCATTTGCCTAAGATGTATATTCTTCGATTATTAACAGGTACCAGGTAAGTTTATCCCATGCTACATCTTTACAATAGTCCATCTAGGTTGTGCTGTCCAACACATTCTTACTCAAGTTACCTGAAATCCTCTGCCTGGGGCATTCAGGAATCTTTCTAATGTGGCACCAGCCAGTTTTCCTAGCTTTATCTCCCCTTACTGCCTTGCACAGTAGCCAAACATTTCAGCCAAATTAGATTACTTAGATTATTCACTGTTCTTTACGTATGTGTCTTTGTTCTGTTTCCTCTGCCTGAAATGCTGCACCCACCCAGTCTCCTGCATGTCTCAAGAGCCCTACCTTTTGTACACGTTGTTGTCTTCATGAAGCTTTTTCTGATTCTCCAAATCAAAATACTGTGCCTTCCTTCTTTGAATCCTGTCATATATATTTAACATATCTTGTAAAACCTTCACACAGTATTATTCGGTATTTCACCTAAGAGGTCAGTGATTACAATATATTGTTTTACGTATCACTAAGAGAGCAAAAAATGCTGCCAGTTAAACAGACACAGGATCAATTTTAAGACATTCCAACCTTGGAGATGTTAAAATAGGAGAAAATGTACGTTTTAGAATTGATGACATCTGATAGTTCTTTGTGAATATGTCTGAGTCACGCCTTCCCACTGGATGGTAATTTCCTTGAGGAGAGGGAGGGCCTGTGATTTCCTCATCTTGTGTCTGTTAGTGTCTTGCATGTAAGAGACAGTAAGTGTCTATACTTAAGAGTAGTTGTACTCAGAAAGTATCTGATTAATTAGAAATAGCAATGATATTTTAATAAATGACCAACTTTTCAGAGGTGTGTGTGGATTTACTATTCCTTCCATATTCTCTGTTTGTCTAGCTTTTATGGTATTATTAGAAGAGTTAGTGCCCTCAGTTGTTGACCCTTTGAATCCTCTCTGGCGTCTGGCTTCTCCATAAGTGGAAATTGGGACATAACACTAACTGCTGAGTAAATTGTGATTGGATGGGCTGCCAAGGTATGGTGGTTGAATGGAATTTGCAACCATATGCAATTCTTAACCATTATTTTTCTTCCCTCTTACACAAACAATGTTTCATAATGGAAAAAAAGTTTTCTTTCCTGGCCATTAGCAGACCTCATCATTTTGGTTTTAATTGTCTTTTTGTCTTGTCTTGTCTCCTGTTTAGTATATATGACCTCGCATTTAAGCCTGATGGAACGCAACTGATTTTGGCTGCAGGAAACAGATTACTGGTACGATTTTGTCTGAGTTTCCTTTTTAAGTGCTTTTTTTCTCCGCCTCTTGTAAGTGCTCTGAAATTTGACCCCTTTTTTTAAAGATAAAAAAGGCAAAGGCGGAAAAACCAGTCATTACTTTTTAATAGGGAAGGAAATGGGCTATTTAAAACAGGTCAGTAAACTGTCTATCAGATAGGAACCCTGTGAACAATAACTCCTTAGGAATCATTAATCTTCCCCTTTTCACTTTGAGCCAACCATGAAAGACTTGAAAACAATTAATCAAAATGTCTTTGAAACGGGGCTGATGTCAGTTCACATTTTGTCCTCCTAAAAAATTCAAGCAACAGGTCTGAAGCGGCTCTCTCCATGAGAAGAAGCCAGATCGTCTGACCCAAACTTTCAGGCACTGGCCTACCTAAACAACTCCATATGGATGCTGTCCTATTTTCCATATTTTCAAAGAATGTAAGCTCCCCCTGGAACCTATCCCAGTGCATGAAAGTAATTTCCAGAGAAGTCTTTATGTTTGACATAAAAACCTTTGCACGATCTCTCCTTCCTCGTGAGTAAGTCCACTTCCTCTTGCTCTGTTGCCTCTAGATATGCAGACCAACTGATGTCCATTCTGTGTATGGTAACTATATAATCTTAAAGCCGTGGTTAAATTGTTCTGCAGACCTCTTCTCTCCAGGATAAACAATCCAAATCCTTTTAGGTTATTTATTTTTTTTCCATAGGTTATCTTTTCCAACACAGCTGCTTCTGGAGGTTTTTGCCTTGATTTCTCAGATGGTCTGTTTGTTAAATCTGCACATAATTTGTCGATGTTACACAGCTATAAAATATCCTAAATCCATGTTAGAGCTGGGTTTTATAATACTCTGTCTGATTTGCAAACCCAGAGTTCAGGTCTGTGACTTTCAAACTCTTAGTAGCAAATATGAAACATCTCTGTGATGTTGTTATTAGGGGTAGGGCTACTACTAAAATTTAATCATGTTGTAGCTGGCTCTCCGTATGTGCTAGCTTTATTTGGGAGGGCCTAGCTTGATCGGCCATATATCCAAATTCAACTAAGATGAGTGAACTTCGTAGAAAAGTTCCATAGATTTAACTTTTGTTTTGCAATGGTGAAGGACATGTTCCTGGCCACGTAAAGCATTTTGCTTCTTGGGTTTCCCAACTTTAAGTCACATTCTTTCTCATTTCTCTGTGCAGTTTTTACTTGATACAAATGTAAAATATTGACAGATGTTTTATTATGAAATAAAAATAGCAACCTTCAGGAATTCTGACTAATGGGTGCCACGTGGATAATCTGTACTTTTGTCTCTTTTTTGCCAGGTCTATGACACTTCTGATGGCACCTTACTTCAGCCCCTAAAGGGACACAAAGATGCTGTGTACTGTGTGGCATATGCAAAGGATGGTAAGAGGCTGTTCTGGGTTTACAGTTTCTGTAATGTCCTCATAGCTGTGCATTTTCCTCCTTAGTCACTCCTTAATTATTTTTAGTAAGCTAAAGTACAACTTGCAGTTCCAGAAGATAATTAGGTCTCTTAGACTTCAATTCAGTCATTCAACAAATCTGTTTTTAGGGGCCGGCTGTGTGCCAGGCACTGTTCTAGGTGCTTGAGATACTTCAGAGAAAGGTCCCTACCCTTACAGGGATAACGTCCTGTGAGGGAATAGGGTCAAAGGAGAGAGTACAAGGCAAGGTGTACGATAAACTGGGAAATAAGTAAGTTAAATGGTGTGCTGGAAGTAGGGCAAAAGAAGGGACATTGCTAGCACTGGACGGGGTAGGGGATTGGGTATTGAATAGGGTGGTGAGGGTGGGCTTATTGAGACAGGGCCAGGTGAGCAAAGACTTGAAGGTGGGCAGGCAGTGAGAACTTGACAGTGGGTATTGCAGGGAAGGGAGCCCCTTGCACAGGGAAGAGCCATTGCAAAGGCCCTCAAGTGGGAGTGTGCCTCCTGGGGCTAGGGCCACAAGAATCAGGGAGCAGTGGGGGATGAGAGTGGAGAGGTAACGGGCCTGGGTGGCCAGATCATGTTGGCCACATTAAGGACTTTGGCTTTGATTCTCAGTGAAAATGGGGAGCCACTAAGGAGTTCTGAGCAGAGGTCTGATCTGATTTATATTTTAAGAGGATCCCCGTAGCTGCTGTATTGGAAAACATCTTCAAGTGGTAAGGATTGGGGCAGGGAGACAAGTGAAAAATCATCGTCCAAGCAGGTTTTATAACATGGTGATGGTGGCTCAGACCTCAGTGGGAGGGAGCAGAGCAGGTGGTGAGCCATTGTCAGATTCTGGATATAATTTGAAGGTGGAGCCAGTTTCCTTCATTGCCCAGCGGAGTGGGTATAGGGAGTGAGGAAAACAGTGAGGGGTGACTCTAAGGCTTTGACCTGTGTGGAGGAAAGGCTGGAACTGCCCTCCACTAAGGTGGGGAAGGCCAAGGTAGGGAAACTTACAGTGGAGGATCAAGAGTTCAGTTTGGACCTGATGAATTTAACAGAAGCTGATGCTGTAGGAGGGAAGGGAGAGACGCACCAGAGCAGACTCACTGAGTGAGCAAGGGGAGATGGGGCCTAGGGCCTAGGGGGGCGTGGTGGTGAGAAGGCAGAGGGTGTCCCTGCAAGTGCCAGCAGCTGGGGCAGGGAGTCGTGGAAGTTGAATGGGAATTGTCTTCCATTCTTGCAGTGAAATAGGAAGCAACATTAGCTGACAGTGAGGATGGGAAAGGAGGTGTCAGAGAGTTGAGAAGGGAAAATATGTAAACCCACCGCCTAGGAGAGTGACTGAGTGAATGGACCTGGGAGGTATGGTGAAATCCCTAGCGACGTGAAGGGGCCACTTGAAGCTGATGATCATGTACTGAAAGTAAGAATAGTGTGATTATGTCCTTCTCTCCACCACTTTGAGCTGCATAGGTGCAGGGGAGGAGGTGGAAAGTTGGATTTAACCAGAGTGGTTAATTTGCAAACACCTCTGGGATGAAGAGGGCAAGGGGACGGAGGCAGTATGTGGTTACATACACCGGTCTTGAACTGTCAGCTGGGTAATGAGGGGTGAGAGGACTGCAAGAGGTGAGGGACAGTGGAGAGGTGGCGGGTCCTACTGGTGGTGAAGGATCACTGGCTTTAGAGCATCAGGTGGGGTGAGAAAGGACAGGTGCGGTCAGAGAGTGGTGCACCAAGTTGATATTAAAAGTTAAATAAATCCATGCATGGGATTAGTGGGAAGAACATGGGCTCTGGAATGATACATCTCCAAGTTCCAACCCCAAAAGCTCTATGACTTTGAGGTGGTCACTGAATGTCTCTAAACCTCAATTTTGTCCTGTGTTAAATGGATATAAGATTAGAGATAACATTCTGGGACCACTGCTGAGGAGCTAAAGAATCTGAGTGTTATAGTGCTTAAACAAACCTTGGAGATCATTCAAGCTCCAGCTTTTTAATTTCTTTTGGATGATGGACCTGTTTGAGAATTGGATGAAAGCTTTAGACTTCCTAGAAAAATGCACGTATTTCATGTATACACACAATTTCATGCAGACAGTTTTAGTCTGATCTAGCCCAATCTCTTCATTTTAGACCTCTATGTAAAGACCTAGAGAAGTTAGATGGCTTGCTAGGGTCATGCAGCAAATTAGTAGCAAAGAAAATGCCCATTTCTTGCCTTGTAGTCAGGTATTCTGTGCCACAGTAGTCATGTTTTTTAAGTGCATATTTGAGTTAAAGTTCAGAGTAATACACTGAGACCTGGGGGGCATCTGAAGTTTATAAGCCTAGGCAGTCTTTGGCCTGCAACACCATTAAACCCTTGAGGATGTCAGAGTGACTCTCCATCGGTGGGTTTGTCAGCACTTTGCAAAGTCCTGTCGCACACATCATCTCAGTTGCTCCTTTGAAGCAGATAAGGAAGGGATCACAGGACAGCTGTGGAGCAGGTACAGGTGACAGTGGCAGAGCTGGGCCAGACCCAGGTTCACTGACCACAGAGCTTTCATTCCTCCTAGTTTATCATGCTGCCTCTTCATGACACTTCTATAATGATTAAGAAGTCTTTTATTCCTCTAAACTGTTTTTTCCCCTTGAATCTGGAAATGGAGAAAATCTGAATTACAGTTTTGCTCTTTAAATCTGCTTGTTTCTAATTTGTAATTTCTTCCTTAAGTTTGGTATTTAATGAGCAACCACGAGACAGAGGTATGTAAGAGCTAGTTTTTTTGTTGAAGAAAAACACAAGACAATATGAAGAACTAATATTAATGATAATAGCTAATTCTGTTTTCTAGTTAACCTCTTACTTTATTCTCATTTGCTCTTTACAACAACTATGAGGTAAATGCTATCATTGCATCTATTTTTCAAAGAGGAAGTGAAAGTGTAGAGATGATCGGTAGCTTGTTCTGGGTCCTGCAGCTGGTGTCATTGCTGTGACTTCCAACTCAGACTCTGAGCACATAGCCCACTCCTCATCACCTGCTGCCTGCTGCTACGGGGGAAGAGTGACAGAAAAATAACCAGTAAAAGCAGCTTCTCTTTTTTTTAATTAAAAAATTTTTTTAAAATTTTGGTATCATTAATCTACAATTACATGAGGAACATTATGTTTACTAGACTCCCCCCATCACCAAGTCCCCCCCACATACCCCATTACAGTCATTGTCCATCAACATAGTAAGATGCTGTAGAATCACTATTTGTCTTCTCTGTGTTGTACAGCCTTCCCTGTGCCCTCCCCACATTATACATGCTAATCGTAATGCCCCCTTTCTTACCCCCACCCTTATCCCTCCCTTCCCTCCCATCCTCCCCAGTCTCTTTCCCTTTGGTAACTGTTAGTCCATTCTTGGGTTCTGTGAGTCTGCTGCTGTCTTGCTCCTTCAGTTTTTCTTTGTTCTTATACTCCACAGATGAGTGAAATCATTTGGTACTTGTCTTTCTCCGTCTGGCTTATTTCACTGAGCATAATACCCTCTAGCTCCATCCATGTTGTTGCAAATGGTAGGATTTGTTTTCTTCTTATGGCTGAATAATATTCCATTGTGTATATGTACCACATCTTCTTTATCCATTCATCTACTGATGGACACTTAGGTAAAAGCAGCTTCTCTTTATTTAGTCTTTGTTGCAATGTCATACAGCTCACCCGAATATCTACTATTTCAACCCCTGTGAAAGGAGCTTTATATGTTTTATCTTAGTTGACCCTCACAAGGAGCCTCTGTGAAAGATGTTATTACTCCTTTATGCTTCAGATGAAGACTCTGAACAGTGACTTGCCCAAGTCTAGCTTCCACCTGTCTTAAGAACAAAGTCTAAAATTTCTTAAGGTGTACAAAATCTGTCCCGTGCTCACCTCTTATACATCATCTCTCACCAGATTAGGTGAAGGCTCCCTGTTGTTTGCTGCCATGATAACCAGTTTCACTTCTAAGCACCTGCAAACCTAGAACTAATAAGTAATTACTTGTCCTTTGCCTCTCTCCAGCCTATTCTTTCATAAAGCCTAAGTAGTGTGAAAACGAAAATCTCATCTGTCTCTCTTTGCATAAATCCTTTCTTTGGGATAAAGAGCAAGATCATAGCTCTAGCCCCAAAGCCCCTGGAGATACCTCCCTCCCACGTCACCCACTGCCCTTGGTGTTCCATGCTGCCTGCCTCAGTCCCCCAGACGTGCCAGGCTTTGCCTGTCCCAGGGCCTTCGCATATCTCTTCTATCCATGTTGATGGGTCTTTCTCCTCTCTTTGTACCTGTCTAAACTTTGCCTATCTTTTAGGTCTCATCCTCAGAGAAACTCTTACCTCATCTAAATTAGGTCCCCTAGGTATTCTCTTTCCCAGGACCCACTTCTTTTTTTTTTTTTACCACACTGCATTTGCATTTGATTAATTTTATTTAATGCTTAGTTTTCCCACTAGACTAAATTCTATGAAAATAGGAATCGTGTGTTTTAATCACTACTCAGTCCTTAGCATGACACCTAGCACATGGTAGCCTCCAATACATCTTTGTTTACTCAGTGCCAGGCAGAGCAGGATTTGAACTCAAACTACTGCCACCCAGTACTGGTAAGATGGAGAAGTAGAGAAGCAGCTGACATTTAGTAGGTACCTTAAAGACCTAGTGTTCTAAACAATACTCTCTGGGAAATGCTGGTTTAAAATAGATGTGAACATCTTCTTTTTAAAACACTTAGGCAAGCGCTTTGCTTCTGGATCAGCGGACAAAAGCGTTATTATCTGGACGTCAAAATTGGAAGGCATTCTGAAGTACACGTAAGTAACCACTCAGGTGTCCAGTACTATTAGTTTGACTCTTAATTGAGCAACTGTAGCAAAAGCTTCTTAGGAAGATATAAGGAAGAACATTTTTCTCTGCAGTTGAAGTTAAGTTTTGGGTGGTGGGGTGTGGTGGGTATAGGAAGGTGGGTAATGAATAAGTGAATGAACACTTCTTGAGCATGACTAGCTTGGCCAGCATTGGGTTGGGTGTTTTCATGTAATTCAATTTAGTTAATCTGACAACACAGATTCTACCCTGCCCCAGCCTAGCCTCTTCAATGTCCCCAGCTCAGGAACGGCCTAATAGCCACCTGGAGTCAACAACCAGAAACTTGGGGTCAGTGTGTTCCAGGCCTCCTGTCGCTGTGCTCGTGTTCTTCCCCATTCCTCCACCTACTGCACCCCTACTCACTCTGCAGATCCCAGGCTCAGATGTTCTTTCTTCTCTGAAGTCTTTCCTGCCCCTCTAGTCTCAGTCAGGTCTCTTTCAGGGTATTTCTCACAGTTGCAGTCTTACATTTATTCTGGTGATTGATTGGTATCCATCATGAGCCGATAAGCTCCTGTAGCTGCATCTATTTTTGCTTACCCTTGTGTCCCTGGTGCCTAGTGCAATGCCTGGACCACATAAACTGCTCAACAAATGATTTTTGTTTCTTTTTCCTTTTCAATTGTGGTAAAATACACATTCCATAACTTTTACCACAATTTTACATGTAACATAAATGGTTAAATTAAATTTACACTTAACCATTGTGTTACACTTAACCATAAGTGTATAGCTCAGTAGTGTAAAGTACATCCATGTTGTGCAGCTTGTCTGCAGAACTTTCATCCTACAAAACTAAAACTCTATACCCATTAAACAACAACTCCCATCTCCCCTCCCCTAGTCTTTGGCAACCACCATTTGACTTTGTCTCTATGAATTTGACTACTCTAGACGCCTTCTATAAGTGGAATCACACAGTATTTGTCCTTTTTTGACTGTTTATTTCACTGAGCATAATGTCCTCAAGGTTCATCCATGTTGTAGCCTGTGTCAGAACTTACTTCCTTTTTAAGGCTGAATAATATTCTAGTGTATGGCTGGGCCACATTTTGTTTATCCATTCATCTGTTGTCAATACACATGGGGGTTGCTTCTACTTCTTGGCTAGTTTGAATAATGCTGTTGTGAGCATGAGTGTACAAATCAACCAACAGCTTTTGAATGAATGAATGAGGTTGTTAGTTTTACCCAGAAGTGAAGGAAAAAAAACAGGCTGACATGCCATGTGTGGTACATGACCTACTCAGTTTTCATTGTTGTCTCAGGATTTGCACGCTTTCAAATCTTGGCCTGTAATATCTTTATTGCACTCCATCCTGTATTTCCAGGTCTCCACAAATCAATAAGCATAACAGCCATTAATAAAGCTCTTCCTATGCACCTGGCACAGGGCTAGTGCTTTACATCATTAGCTGACCAGCTCACAAGCCAAAGGTGTCCAGCTTGCTAGTCCTGGAGGAGGTGGCATTTAAGCTAAACCAGTCTGATGAATGGGTCATATTTAATAGATGAAAATGTAACGGCCTAATAGCCACCTGGAGTCAACAACCAGAAACTTGGGGTCAGTGTGTTCCAGGCCTCCTGTCGCTGTGCTCGTGTTCTTCCCCATTCCTCCACCTACTGCACCCCTACTCACTCTGCAGATCCCAGGCTCAGATGTTCTTTCTTCTCTGAAGTCTTTCCTGCCCCTCTAGTCTCAGTCAGGTCTCTTTCAGGGTATTTCTCACAGTTGCAGTCTTACATTTATTCTGGTGATTGATTGGTATCCATCATGAGCCGATAAGCTCCTGTAGCTGCATCTATTTTTGCTTACCCTTGTGTCCCTGGTGCCTAGTGCAATGCCTGGACCACATAAACTGCTCAACAAATGATTTTTGTTTCTTTTTCCTTTTCAATTGTGGTAAAATACACATTCCATAACTTTTACCACAATTTTACATGTAACATAAATGGTTAAATTAAATTTACACTTAACCATTGTGTTACACTTAACCATAAGTGTATAGCTCAGTAGTGTAAAGTACATCCATGTTGTGCAGCTTGTCTGCAGAACTTTCATCCTACAAAACTAAAACTCTATACCCATTAAACAACAACTCCCATCTCCCCTCCCCTAGTCTTTGGCAACCACCATTTGACTTTGTCTCTATGAATTTGACTACTCTAGACGCCTTCTATAAGTGGAATCACACAGTATTTGTCCTTTTTTGACTGTTTATTTCACTGAGCATAATGTCCTCAAGGTTCATCCATGTTGTAGCCTGTGTCAGAACTTACTTCCTTTTTAAGGCTGAATAATATTCTAGTGTATGGCTGGGCCACATTTTGTTTATCCATTCATCTGTTGTCAATACACATGGGGGTTGCTTCTACTTCTTGGCTAGTTTGAATAATGCTGTTGTGAGCATGAGTGTACAAATCAACCAACAGCTTTTGAATGAATGAATGAGGTTGTTAGTTTTACCCAGAAGTGAAGGAAAAAAAACAGGCTGACATGCCATGTGTGGTACATGACCTACTCAGTTTTCATTGTTGTCTCAGGATTTGCACGCTTTCAAATCTTGGCCTGTAATATCTTTATTGCACTCCATCCTGTATTTCCAGGTCTCCACAAATCAATAAGCATAACAGCCATTAATAAAGCTCTTCCTATGCACCTGGCACAGGGCTAGTGCTTTACATCATTAGCTGACCAGCTCACAAGCCAAAGGTGTCCAGCTTGCTAGTCCTGGAGGAGGTGGCATTTAAGCTAAACCAGTCTGATGAATGGGTCATATTTAATAGATGAAAATGCTGGGTGGGGGCCAGTCCGGTGGAGGAGGAGTCATCCCATGCTTTCTGCTGGTCACTTGCGTAAGAGCTTATGGTATGTAGTCAGAGAGGCTGTGGGCTTATTAAAATCTTGAGTTGTAGCCACTGAAACATTTGTGGTTTGCTGCATAATAATCTATGGTTGTCTACTTCCCAGGCACGGTGATTCTATCCAGTGTGTCTCCTACAATCCTGTTACCCACCAACTGGCATCTTGTTCCTCCAGTGACTTTGGTAGGTTCTGATTGCTGATGTCTTATCTTGGAATAACTGAAAATCTGGGCAAAAAAATGCTGAAACCCATCTGGAATGTGGTGGTTTTGTCCCGAGAGCATTAATTCTACTTCTCACCCTTCGACGGCTGAGGGGAGGCTGACAATCTTTAGACTATATAAAAACCAAGAGAGTGAATGGGGACATTGAGTCTGTCGAGAAGGGGCTCAGGGAAGGGAGATGGTGGGCAGGATGGGAGAGCACAGGCACAACTCGGTGTTGCGCCTCCGGGAAGCCTTCCCCACCTCACCCAGCAGGGACAGCCCAGTTGTCTACCTGTGTGCCCCGACACCCATGCGTGTGTGGAGTTCTCACTGTGCTGGTTTTCAAGCACTTGTTTGGCGGCTTTAGCTGCCTTCCCTGAGGGGCCGAATGGCCAAAGAGTCCACTCTGGCCCCACATGTACAGAGAGCGAAGTGTCCATGAGGCAGGAGGGAAGGTGGGCAGAGCTTGTAGGTTATTTCTGTCCAAGGTGTGGCTGTCAGCTCACCAGTTGTCTTCCTTGCTAAGAGATAGTAGGTAATCAGAACAGCCATTATCGAGGAGAGACCTATTTCCTCTTAGTGTTTGACTTTTATCTGAAATGAGCGTGTTCCCACCTGTCTGTCTCACTGACAGAGTTCGAGGTTCAAAAGAGAGAATGTACTTGAAAGCACATTGTATAAATAAAAGGGGAAGGATCTGTCATTCATCAAAACAATTAGCATTTTCTCTATGTGAGGCACTGGTCTGTGTGCTTGCTTTTGAGATTAAAAGACAAAATGGAATCTCTGCCCTCAAAGAGCCTGTAATCAGGGGTGGGGAGGGGAGGTGGAATGGTAAAAATGTAGTGTTAAGTAGTATTTGTTGAATGTTTATGATGTACTAGGCACTGTGCTGAGGTTAAAAATGAATTCCTATTTGAGATCAGGTATCATTCTCACTCCTATTCCACTGAGAAAAAAGACCTGGGGCTTATAGTGTGGTCAGTGAGTCACCTGAGGCCGCCCAGCTGGTAAGCGGGGGAACCAGGGCTTGGACCTAGGCCGTGAAGTTGCATCTGCAATGTGCCCTGGTCAGCATTGCTGAGGGAGGCCTAGGAGGGAGAGGTTTCCTCTGGCTGGAGGTTCAGGGCAGGCTTAGGGGAGCATAGATAATATGTGTACAGGTTAAAATGTCTGGGGAGGCATTCTGGACCAGGGCAAAGGAGAAACAAGTAGTTTGATGGTGCACCTTGCTGTGTAACCGCATTTTTGCCCTAGATTTATCTTCTTGATCATACTTCTCAACTCAGGCAAAGTGCAGAACTTGCTAATTTTGCCCAGACATGCACCTGTTGTGGGCACTGAGCCACTGGCAGGAGGGAGCAAGTGTATGGTGATCAGTTTGCCGTGGACTAGGCATGGCCTGGATAGCGTCATGTGCTGTTGGCGAGGCCTGAGAGAGGAGGCTGGCTTTTCAGGAAGCCTCACTCCTTACTTTGAATGCTAAGTTGTACCCTGGTTGCAGTGTAATAGTTACAATCAGTGAAGTTGCCATTTCCTCAAGTAAACTCCTGAAAAGTTGGCTAGAAATTCACCAATCTATCTTCCTTTTTAAAAAATTTTTTCTCTTGAAATAATTACAGATTAGCAGTTACAAAAATAGTAGAGAGGTCTTGTGTACCCTTCATTCAGTTTCCCTCATGATACATCTTATGTAATGGCTATAAAATATCAAAACTCAGAAACAGGGCCTGGCACACTGTGTGTATATAGTTCTGTCATTTCATCACATGTGTAGATCACCATCACCACAAAGATCCTCCTTTAGCATTCCCTCCCTACCTCCTGTTATCTCTAATCCCGGGTACCTGGCAACCATTGATCTGTTCTCCATCTCTATGTAATTTTGTCATTTTGAGAATGTTATAAAATGGAATCATACAGTATATGATCTTTTGAGACTGGCTTTTTTTCACTCAGTGTAAAGCCCTGGAGATCCATCTAAGTTGTCATGTTGTATCAGTGGCTTGTTCCTTTCTCTTGTTGAGTAATACTTTAACCAGTTTATCTTCTTTTGTATTATTTTGCATTGAAGGCTTATGGTCACCTGAACAGAAGTCTGTCTCTAAGAACAAATCCAGCAGCAAGATCACCTGCTGCAGGTGGGTTAAGGGAAGCTCTGAAGGTAGGTTTATATTCCTTCCTCTTTCAGACTCTCAAAATCTCATTAGTTCACCTAGTAGAGAAGGTCTCATGTTACCTAGTTGGTTTGGGTCCCTGCATTTCCTCTTTTCTTTTGTGGTCTCCTTGATGGGAAGAACCTGTGCCTTTGATCAAGCAAAGGAGAACTACAAGTTGCCTTCATGCAGGTACCCAGCACCAGTCTCCTCTGCCTAAAGCTGTGCTCAGCGGAGGCTTACTGAGACAAGGCTGCCCTTGTCCAGATAGCCTGTGCATTGGAGAAAGCACAGGCTTTGGTGCTAGACCTGGATTCAAGTGCAGACAGGCAGTGACTGACAGGCTCTGTGACCTTAGGAGGTTACTCCTCTGACAAGAGGGAGAAAAGTCCTGACTTGAAAGGGCTGTGAAATGTACAGAGACTGAGTAGAAAGCAAGCAGCACAGTGCCTGGCATACAGTAGACACTGCATAAATGTAGCTATTCTTGCTGTGCAGCCTCTGAGTGTACCTTTTCTTTCATTCACTATCTATTAAATACCTGTCCTAGAGGCTGGGAATGCACCAAGACACAGAGTCTGTCCTTAGGTGCTCTCGGAGTGGGAGGAGCTTGAAATGGCCCAGCAATTCAGGCATAAGCCAAGGGCTGTCCTGGTGGTTTGCACAGAGCTGTGGGAGCACAAAAAAAGGAACTCCTTCCTTCAGATCTCACTATTAATTCTGGAAATAAATGGGGTTTTAAGTTTGGTCCTTCAATATGGACCAGAAAGAGCCCGACTATGGCTATTTCATCAGATTATATTTCAACCAAGGCACCATCCTCACTGGTTTTACCTTCTGTGTGTTCCTTTCCCTTTCCCCATGCCCTTTGTTGGTTGTATGAACAGCTGGACAAATGATGGTCAGTACCTGGCTCTGGGAATGTTCAATGGGATCATCAGCATACGGAACAAAAACGGCGAGGAGAAAGTGAAGATTGAGCGGCCGGGAGGCTCCCTTTCCCCAGTATGGTCCATCTGCTGGAACCCTTCAAGGTGATCTTACAGCTGTCCTTCTGCCAGGACAAATGTTATTATGAAGAAGGCATTCTCGGGAGGCTGAGTTCTTTCTGTCTTCCTGAGGTCTCCATGCATTCCAAGGCTTCTCACTCCATTTGACTGATCTGTTTTGGAACCCCTTCCATTTGAATGGAATTTTTGAAGAGCCCATCTTGAGTTTGGGAATGAATCCCAGAGATTTAGCTAAGCAGAAGAGCTATCTAAGCCAGCCCAAAGGGCGTGTGTGTGTGTGTGTGTGTGTGTGTGTGTGTGTGTGTGTGTGTGTGTGTGTGTTTGTGCACGCACGCATGCATGCATACAAAAAAGCCATGTCCTTATGATTAATAGCTCACCTCTTTGCTATAGCTTTATTTTGGTCTCTTCTGTTTTTCAGTTCTTCCCTCCAAGTCTGAGCAGAACTTTTTTTCTTTGCAATTTTTCTTATTTTATTATCACAGTGAGATGTATTTGGGAGGCAGGCTCTGGCTGGTATCCTGCTGCTGTAGTCAGAGTGGAGTGATGACCCCACCATGGGCCAAGAGTCAAGACTGGGTTGGAGAACTGGGACAAGGGAAGAGAAGGGGAGATGGGGCAATGGGGCAGGGAGAGCAGGAAGCCTGGAGCCCTGGACATCATAAATAGCTCTTTCATCAACCTTTTCGGCTACCCTTGCCTTAAAGTCAACATTAAGTCTATAAATGTCCACAAAGCCTATATAGTTCCACAAACAATTGGCATCTCCCTTCTGAAACCTTACTCGCTTTCCTTCCCATGCCCACGTAATTTTGAGGGTAGACAAATAGCTTTAGATGCTCTTAGTTTAACCCTATATTATCATTAAATCCCCAGTATTCCCCAGAGTCCTCTGAAGGTAACTTAAAGGACTTAATTGTTTACCAGCCCAGTATCATTTTATGAGTGGGGCCTACTTGATTTAGAAGGCTATTTAATTCCACTGGCTTTCTCATACCAGATTATTATGCTTCTTCCTGAATAATTTTGTTTAGCCCAGGGCTGTACCACGTATGTCTAATGCCTTCAAAAGCCATTAACCTACCCCCAGAGTTCCTGCTGTTTGATTTTGTGGCCACAGATGACTTTGTGGCTTCAGAGAACCATTTTTAATTCATGACAAGCAGGATGCCCAGTGTACCTGGTTGCTGTCCTCTTCCGGGCAGGGTTCAGTGGCTCCTTGACAGGTTTTGAAATTACAGCTTTAGTGTAGTTCTAGGCAATGTGATTGTGAACAACCACTTACTATCTACAGCCTATGGGAGAGTTTCTGGATGAACAGAGAGAACGAGGATGCCGAGGAAGTCATTGTCCACAGATGTTTTCAGGAAATCCCTTCCACTCTGGAGCCCACAGTACATGGTAGTCAGGGTAGTGAGGCAGAGGAGGAGGCAGAGGAAGAGGACGGCAGCCCCAGGGGTGATGATCCGTGCATGTGTCCTGCGGAGCGAGAGCCCTCCTTGGTGGGGGCCTGGGCTCCAGGGTAGACCTGCCGGGGCACATGCTGCTTTGAAGCTCCTTTCTATGGGGCCCAGGGTTACAGCCTCTCCAACAGGAGGGACACACCCTTAAAACTTGAGTGGGTTGTAAAATTATTCTTTGAGAAATTTCAGGAAATACTGAAAGTCTAAAGGAGGAAGTTCAACTTTTCTGTAAAACCCTGAGGAAACTGCTGTTAGTATTTCACTGGATTTTCCCTCAGCTTTTTAGTTCATTCATATAATTAACTATATCGTATCCTACTTTCTTTTTTTCCACTTACCATCATAAAGTAAACTCTTTCCATAACATTAGTGGTCCTATGAAAAACCTGATTTTTAATGTCTACGTAGTATGCCCTGCATGGATGCCCCCAGTCACTGACCACTCCATCTGTCACTGGACACCTTTCTTCGCCTGTTCCCGTATGGTATCTTGCCTTGCATTGGCTAGGACACGTATCTGAGAGGAAGCCCTCACATCCCCACAATCCTCACACCCGAATCCTGGCTTTTCAGACATCCTTTCTTCTCTTTAATCAAGATCACCCGTAGGGAAAATATTGGCAGGCTGGAGCGGTGAAAGCAGGGATAGCCAGGATATTCTGTTTGGGCAAAAAGTGATCTAGCTGAGACTTGCCAGACTGTATCCTGTGGTGCCTAGGGTTCCTTGGAAGAATAAGGTGGGAGGTGGGGAACAAGGAAAGGAGGAAAGGTGGGCTTCAGGTTGTGCTTCAGCCAGAGCAGCAGTCCATTTTATTTCTTGAGGCAAGTTGTTTTAGTCCTACTGCCAGGGGAAAAGGAGGTTGAAAAACACCAGTCCAGTGTGTGGGGACTGAAGCCTCTCAGAGTCATATGTGGCTTCCCCAAGTGGGCCCACTGCAGGCTGGGCTCCCGGACGGTGCTCTGAGAGTCACACGGAGCTCACCTGCAGGTCTCCTCCTAGTCACAGCCCTCTCTCTTTGTCTTTCTTTCCCATTATCATGAATCAGTGCCCTTGATATTTGCCACTTTGCCACTCCTGGCTGGACTTTGCAGATAAGGCTGCACCATGCCTTGCTTACGTATCTAATGGGGCTGCCAGATGGTCACAAGGCCCTGGGCTCTAAAAGCTGGAATTAATAAACAAAGAGGCACCATCAGGTGGGTTAAGACCAGGTCTCAAGGGCTGGGAACATGTCTGTCTTGAGCTAGATCCCCAAGTAGCCTGGTCGCCAGACTCAGTGGAGGAGGTTTCTCCCAAGGTACTAATCCTGGCAGGTAATCCTGGCAGGTACTCAGTTTCAGAGACAGTTGTTGGTCTTCAGAGAGTCTGCTATCTTTTTTATTAGCTCCAGTCACAAATCATTGCACCTCAACAAGAACTCCAACCTAGCTTTGGGTGTTAAGTTTCCCCATTCAGGAAGAGCAAGCAAGCTTCCCCTCTGTCCATTAAAAAAATCAGACAATCCATGCCTCCTCACGTCCCTGCCATCTCCCTACATTTATAGACCTAAGAGAAAAGCACTCTTTGATCTACAACCTGGCTCGCTCTTAGCCTCCCAGGAAGCTTTGAAATGAGCCTAGCCACAAACTCATGATAGGGCATTCAGTGACAATACAGATCCTGCGGCCAAATCCCACCTTGCTCATCCCGTTGGACCTTAGTGATGGGTCGGCCCACATTACGGTTTTGGCCTCAGCACTGCTGTACAACATTTGGCAATTTGACAGCCTGGCTTGGGCTCTGGTTTTCCTGTTGTTTGTTAAACCTCTGGGGCTACACTCATCAGCAGGCTGCAACCCCACATAACCTCTTTTGTGTTCTGTTGATTAGAGAGGAACATAATGACATCCTGGCTGTAGCTGATTGGGGACAGAAACTTTCCTTCTACCAACTGAGTGGAAAACAGGTATGTAGCTCTGTACAAACCCAGTGGGAGGCAGAGTTGTGGTCACGCCTGTTACGTCTATTTTCACTTTCGGAGATTGTGCTGCTGGTCATTCTACGTTACCGTGGCCAGCTTTTCTCATTGGCACCTCCTGTCACACCAGGTACTCAGTGCTGTGCACACTTTGCCTCATTATTTCTTACCAAACCCTATGAAGTAAGTACTTTATCAGTATTTTAGAAATGAGTAGATAAGACTCAGAGCAGTGAAATGAGTATCATGCCCAAGGTTTCACACTACTAGTCAAGGGTGGCATCTGGGACTGAAACCCAGATTGGTCTGACTGTGAAACCTGGGTCTCAGTTGTGACTTTATTCATCCTACACACATTCATAAGCAGCCACTTAGGCGGGCTCTTCACCTTTGTTAGGAGCTGCTGACACAGGCTGAGTACGTTAATGCCGGTGGCTCTGCAAGAGCTCACGGGCTGGTAGAGACACAGTAGACAGCCAGCAGTCCCAGTGAGGCAGGGTATGTGGCATGAGCGCTGTACAAATAGCTATAGGATCAGAAAGACAATGACGTCAGTGCTTGGGGGAGGCAGGAGATGTTTGTAGAGGTGACCATTGAGCAAAATAAGCAGGAGTTTGCTAGGCAGAGGACATTTGCAATGATATTCCTGACAGAGGAAATAGCATCTGCAAAGGCAGGGAGGAATGAAAATATACATCAACTCAGGGAAAAGTGAGTTGTTCAGGGTAACTGGGTCTGAGATTTGTGGACAGAAGGTGGGAGCTAGAAAGGAAAATGGGGACATGATTGTAGAGTACCTGAATCATGTGGATAAGGAATTTGAACATCATGTGCTCTAAGGATACAGGAGCCATAGACTTAGCTAGGGAGTAATTCGGTCAGATTCCTGTTTCAGAGGAATTCCTTGTTTCTGTGGAGGGTAGATTGGAGTAGAGGTTGCCTACTGGTAGGAAAACATGTTAGAAGGCAGGAGACACCAAGGAGTAGATTGAAGAAGGTGATGAAGGCTTATGTGCCACCAAGCAGGTAAGAAATAAAGCCTGTTCTATGGAGCCTTTTGCTTAACATCATCTTTATTCCTCACATCATGTCATACTAGAAGGGAGGGGTTTCAGGTAGGGTAGCCTAGCTTTGAGGCCATTGCTTCTACTTTATCTTATCATTGTCATTTCTTTTGTAGTTGAATAAAGACAAGATAAAGGTAGATAGTGTTTTCTGAGTTTCCCATGGCTGGTTTCCTAAAACCCTCATTTTAATTATCTTTCATCTAACCCTGACCCTATCTATCCATCCACTTAGTGTGTGTACATCCTCATTCAACAAATATTTATTGGCACTTCCACAGTGTACCAGGCCATGGGCGTGGGATTTGGCGTTTGCTGGGATCAAATAACCAGATTACACAGGAAGGGAATGGGTTCTTGTTGCTATAGTGACAGTAAAAAAGAGCTCAACATGGTGAGCAGGGCTATGGGAAATACTTGCGTGTGTGCAGCCCCAGAGCTCATGTTGAGGCCCAAAGTTCTGGAATCTGTTGAGATAACCCAACTTATTTGGGATAGTGAAATTGTTTCCTTAGTGGGTTAAGTGTTTCAAATCTGAGAAGATTTAGAATTAAATATAGGATGATGAAGTAAATCAAAACTTTTTTAATTGAAAATTAAGGGAAAAAATTGCTAATGCTGATGTTCGAGAGTTCACTGCGCATGCTTTTTTTCCCAGAGTTTTATGGTTTTGAGTCTTATATTTAGCTCTTTAATCCATTTTGAGTTTATTTTGTGGTGTAAAACTAAAGTGGTCCAATTTCATTCACTTGCATGTAGTTGTCCAGTTTTCCCAGTACTGCTTATGGAAGAGACTGTCTTTTCCCCATTGTGTATTCTTGCCTTCTTTTTCATATATTAACTGACTGTATATGTGTGGGTTTACTTCTTGGCTTACTATTCTGTTCCATTGATCTATGTGTCTGTTTGGGCCAGTACCAAATTGTTTTGGTTAAAACATTTATGTTTGTATTAGTCTTAGATTATTAAGTATCAACTAATAATAATTTGTGCATTTTAAATATTTGTAATGTTTAAGGGATCTGACTTAAATAATAGCTAACATTTATTGAGTTTTGGACATTGTATAAACTCTTTACAGGATTAACTCTTTTAATCTTTATAACAGCTCTATGAGGTAGGTATTATTATCACCACTTTACATGTAAGAAAATTGAGGCACAGAGAGGTTCAGTAACTGCCCAAAGCCACACAGTTTAGTTAGTGTCCAAGTCTGGTTTGGAACCCAGGCAAACTGGTGCTAGAATCCATATTAGAATATCTATCAAATTTATCTTCTGACAACCACTAAGAATTATAATTGAGTATGTAATATTTCACTTCTGATTTTAAACTGAAAGACATAAGAAATACTTTTAAATTTATACCTAAGCAATATTGTAATGTTAAAGAGATCACATTTTTTAGCTTGGGGCACTGCATAGGGGGAGGTCACTTAGCTTCTTGAATCTATATATTCATGTCTTTATTCTTTCACTAAATGTGGAACATTTTTGGTTATCATTTCTTCAAATAATTTTTCTTCTGCATTATCTCCTTTACTTCTGGGACTTCAGTTACGTATGTTAGAACTCTTGATATTGTTCTCCAGGTCACTGGGGCCCTGTGCATTTTTTAAATCTTTTTTTCCTCCTGCTTTTCAGAATAGAGGATTTCTGTTGCTCAGTCTTCAATTTTACCTCTCTTCTGTCATCTGTAATATTTGTTGAGCCTATCCAGTGAATTTTTGCATCAGTTACTACATTTTTCAGTTCTAGAATTTCCATTTGGTTCTTTTTTTCATATTTGTTCATTTGAGTGTATTTTCTTTATATCTTTGACCATAGTTATAATAGCCATATTTAAATTCTCATCTGCCGTTTCTAATATCTGGATCATCTTGGGGTCAGTCTTGATTGTCTTTACTCTTGAACATGATTCATACTTTTCTTTTTGGAATTTTTAGTTATATTCTGGACATTGTGAGTGATACAGGGTATGGACTCATTTCTGTCATGTTCCTCTGAAGATTATTGTATTGCTTTTTCAAAGCAGGTAGTCAGCTTTGCTGGGCTTAGCATTCAAACACCACCTTTCCAGTGTGGGAAGCAACTGCAGTCTTTGTTAGGTTCTTTCGCCTTGGTTACCCGCTGGGTACCTGCCCTATGCGCATATTGTTTAAGGGCTGCAGATACTCAACAGTGCATGGGCACAAATTAGGCTCCTCCTCTGCATCTGTCTCTTTTCTAGGATTTCCTACTCATTTTCAAGCTGCTGTGTTCATTCCATGATCATCCAGCTGGGTGCTGATGGGGTCCGCCCTCAGGCAAAAAGCCATTAACGAAATGAGGAATTCATCTAATGTCATACCCTTCTTCCAAATGCACACGTATCTTAAGTTTCTTTCAGTTTCTGGTTGCTCTCCAGAGCTGTCAGATAGTTGTAATTTATAGTTGGTCCAGTGTTTACAGTAGTTAGTTAACCTGCAGGAGACTTGATGGAATGGGAAGTAGTGAGCTATTACCAGAAGATGCAAGCCTTCCATGTCATGATGCATAAGATTTTTTAGTTTTCTTATTATATTTACTATCATCATATAAGTACAAGGGAAAGTTTTGGTTGTTAAGCAGTAGAAATCCTTATAAAGGAAAATTGAATATATTAATAATTACAGTTAAATTGGTTTATAGGAATTAACTAAGTTGTAAATTAGGCTGACTAAGGGTTTTAAAGTGTTCAAAATGTAATTCAGTCAACATTAATCAAAGTTCTCTTTTCAATTGGTTGTTTAGTTTTACTAGACTTATAAATGGGAAAGTATTTGTAAATTGAACTTAAACACTTAAGGGGAAACTAGGTTTTTAGCTATTTCTTTAGTGAATTTACTATTGGCTTAATAATGATAACCATAAATAGTCTTTTTATTCACAAAAGACACCTTAGGGGCAGCAAAAACCTCCAGTGAATAAGGAGCTTGGGTTTTGGTTGAGGTGGGGAGACAACATCCAATTAAAGCCATCCCTACAGAGCAGTTAGAGAAGTGCTGTGGGAGAGGCCAGCGAGGGGGCCATGGGGGCACAGGGGAGGCATGTCCGAATCGGGCTTTGGGCTGTGCTGGGAGACTGGGGCACACTTCCTGCAGGAGGTGACACCTGGCAGAGGGGAGAGGGGAAGGGCATCACTGGCTGGGGCTGGAGTGGTCTGGAGAGTAGCACCCATGAGGACATGGAGGCTTGAAAGAGTGTGGTTCACTTAGGAAACTATAAGAAGTTCATTTTGGCTGTGAGAAGGATCTTGGGAGCTGAGCTCAGGAGGGGATACCATCCTAAAAGCTGAGGGGACACCATCAAAAGTGAAAAGACAACTCCCAGAATGGGAGAACATTTTAAAATCATTTCTCTGATAAAGGAACTGTATCTGGAATATATAAAGAACTCTTAAAACTCAATAATAAAAAGACAGCCAATTAAAAAATGGAAAAAGAACTAAATAGACATTTCTCCAAGTAAGATATACATGTGGCTGATAAACACGTGAAAAAAGATGTTCGACATCATTAGATCCTAGGTAACTGCCAGTCAGAATCACAATGAGATGCTGCTTCACACCTGCCTGGATGGAGAAGTTGGAACCCTTAAACACTACTAGTACAAATATAAAATGGTACAGTCACTTTGAAAAAGTCTGACAGTTCCTCAGATGGTTAAACATGAAGTTACTATATGACCCAGCAATTCCACTGCTAGGTATATCTATCCAAAAGAAATGGAGACATATGTCAACACAAAATCTTAGACACAAATACTCATAGCAGCAGTATTCATAATAACCAAAAAGTAGAAATGGCTATCAACTGGTGAACTGATAAATAACATGTGTCCTATCCATGGAGCAGTATATTATTTGGCAATGAAAAGGCATAAAGTACCGACACTTGCTACAGCATGGCTGAATGAGTTACAAGGGCAACATATTTTATGATTCCATTTATATAAAATATCCCAAACAAGCAAGTCTATTGACACAGAAGGTAGATTAGTGGTTGCCAGGGACTGGAAGGAGGGGGGAATTGGGATTGACTGCTAGCATGTGGTTTTATTTTGGGATGATGGAAATGTTCTGGAATTAATAATGATGATTGCATAACTCTGAATATATTAAAAGCCAATGAATTGTACACTTTCAATGGGTGAATGTATGGTATGTGAGTTATATACCTCAACAGGTTGCTATAAAGAGAAGTAGGATGGATGTAGTTCCAGAATAGAGGACTATTTTTTTTAATTGGGTAAATTTAGCTCTGTGAAATACTTAAAAAAAAAAAAAGAAAGAAAAAAGAAACTGGTGGGAACCACTGAACCCTCGCATGGGCTACATGCAGAGGAGACCTTATGAGAGAAAGACCATCCAGGTCTGGATTGGCTAAGGAGCTGAGACACACTCCCAGAGCAGTGAGGTGGCACTTGGGAAATGCTGCTGCCTCTAGCAGTGGGGGATTGGCTGGGTGGATTGGAGGAGCCGGGTGCTCCAGAGGAGGCTGGCTGGTGTTCACAGTGGAATCACACAGGATATAAGGCTGGCCAGCTCTCTCCTGGCTTCCTAACACCCCCCATTAAAGTCAGTGGGGGAGAAACCCTTAAGTGGTTATTATGGATTCAGAAGTGTTTTTTTCCCTTGGTGTGTTGTTCTCTTTCCTCAGATTGGGAAGGATCGGTCACTGAACTTTGATCCCTGCTGCATCAGCTACTTTACTAAAGGGGAGTACATTTTGCTGGGGGGCTCAGACAAGCAAGTATCCCTTTTCACCAAGGATGGAGTGCGGCTTGGGACTGTTGGGGAGCAGAACTCCTGGGTGTGGACGTGTAAAGTGAAGCCTGATTCCAACTATGTGGTAAGAAGAGGGAGTTCATTCTTTGGGCCATTGCCTGAGTGGGCACTGAACATCAGCCATGTTTAGCCAGTCACATCATTGATGTTGGTTCCTGACAAATGACTCTCTCTCCCCAGAGAGCTGAGAATTGACAACTCTCTTTCCCTGCAGGTGGTAGGCTGCCAGGATGGCACCATTTCCTTCTACCAGCTTATTTTCAGCACAGTCCACGGGCTCTATAAGGACCGGTACGCCTACAGGGACAACATAACTGATGTCATTGTGCAGCACCTGATCACCGAGCAGAAGGGTAGGTAAAAGGCAGGCATGGCCCCTCTACCCTCCAGACATTGAGAAGAGGACTAGGTTGCGAGGGCTGTAGACAGGGCAAGTGAAATGGTAGGAAATGCCCCTTCTTGGCCTTGGAAACACACTGGACCACTGGTTCTTGCTTTTTCTTGTGGGGGTGGAGGGGAGGACTTAGACGACTTTGAGAATCTAATGAAAGCAAGAAACCCCCTCTCCAAAAAACAAAGCACAGACTCACAAAATTTTGCAGTAATTCCAAGGAGAATTTGGACTCCCCAAGCAAGGTAGGCTGATGTATAACAAGTCAGAGGCCAGGCGGCTGACCTCAGGGGCCTTTAGGGACCTATATCCTCTCTGGTCACAGTCACTTCTGGGGTGCTGCTCCCTCAGCTCCATCTCCACTTGCCTCCTGGTAGGTCCTCACCGCAGAGATAAGCAGGGGCAGTGGGTCACCATGGGCCCATCATAAGATCAGAATTCCAGGCCTAACACAGTCAGTCCAAACCTCAGTCTTCTCCTCGGTCTACCCAAGTGGCCATGCTGGTTAAGTGGGCTAAGAGTCCACTTGTCTCAAGTCTGTTCTTCTCCAGATGTGCTGGCCTCAGTGCACTGCTGTGTGCCTTGTGTAGGGAGCCAGGTTGCAGGCTGTCCTGTACATTCAGATGGCATGCTTCAGTCACCATCTGAGAGCACCTCAGTTTGAAGATTTCAGCTGTGTTGGTGAAGGTGTAGCCACGTGGGCAGCTCCTTAGTATCCTTTCTGGGGACTTTTTTCCACCTGGTCTTTAGTGAGAGTGTGAGAGCCTAGTGTGTACCAGAATCTGCCTGTGGTTCCGTGGTGGTTGGTAGCAAGTGGCCAGAGGTGTGGGTAGCCTCTCAGGTAGGCTCCTGATCATCAGGGGCCATTGGTACCGTGCAGAGGAGTTCAGAGTTATATTCAGCCTGTGATGGTAGCACTAAGAATTTTATTTTTTCTTTCTCAAATGTAAGCTTTAGACCACAAAGATTTATATGACTTTCAATCCCAGTGTTTGAGCTGATTGTACATATTAGACACTGTAAAGATTTTTTGATGAGAGTATCTCCTTTAATTGTCAGTAGCATTAAGCAAATGATAGCTTTTAATTTCTTTGCTTTCTACCTTACTTAACAACCTCTTGTAAGAGCTGGATTTTTTTTTCTTTGACAGTTCGGATTAAATGCAAAGAGCTTGTCAAGAAAATTGCCATCTACAAAAATCGATTAGCTATCCAACTGCCGGAGAAAATCCTCATCTATGAGCTGTCTTCAGATGACTCGTCGGACATGCACTACCGGGTGAAGGAGAAGATTATCAGGAAGTTCGAATGCAACCTCCTGGTGGTGTGTGCTGATCACATCATCCTCTGTCAGGTGGGCAGCAGGTTGGCAGGGGTGGGCTGGATCCGCTTCTCACTTCCCCCAAGGGTACCCAACCCATGGGTTTAAAATTGGTCACTAGGAAACAAGTCCCTTCCCATCAGTGGCTGTTCATTGCTTTCGTTTCGTTGACATCTAGATGAATCAGATTCTGTAAGTCATGGGCCATAAACTTTATAATACTTCTTTATATTGCAAAATACCTTGTTATACTGGGATTATATATGTTTTAACTTAAGGCATCAATTGATATCCCACAAAATGACGATTTTTTCTGAAAAACATACACATAAATATTTATGATATCTTTCAGTTAAACAACAAAAAAATGTATGATCTCAACTCAAAATTAGTAAAGGAAATTTTACTTCCTGAGAGATTTTTTTCACAGAAAAAATTTCCGCAGCATAGAACTTCCCAGAAAATGTTGAGGTCAATGCCAAGAGAAGTTTGGAATCTTTTATGGAAGTAGAGGTGGATTTGGTTTCATGAAAGTAGGTCTTTTGGAAGTGATAAAATGGAAGAAATTCTTTAGGAATCACTGTATGTAAAGTACAATTAAAATCTCTCTAAAAATCCAGAACTTCAAGCAATTTAGTGGTGCCATAAATTATAGGATAGATGTGGGAAAAATATGTGCTTTTTGGATGCTGCCTCTGGCTGTGGCTGCCTGAAGGTCTTTAAAGAAGATCTTGAGGCTGAGCTGGCTTCCATGAGAAAGACTTGGGTGAAGGATTGACGACGTCATCATGGGGTCTAGATAGGGTTTAATACTGAATTGTATAGGCAGTTTTTGTCCCTCAGGTGCAGGAAGACCTCCTTGGGAGGGCTGGGAGCACTGAATCTGTTTACTATCCCTGTGGAGCTGGGTTTGCTTTCTAGGAGAAACGGCTGCAGTGCCTGTCCTTCAGTGGCGTGAAGGAGCGGGAGTGGCAGATGGAGTCTCTCATTCGCTACATCAAGGTGATTGGTGGCCCTCCCGGAAGGGAAGGGCTGTTAGTAGGCCTGAAGAATGGACAGGTGAGTGCTCCCTTGTGTCTCCCATCAGACTGATGATCTGCAGGGCAACCAGACTAGTTAGGATGCTGAGATGGGTTCCTGGGGCAGGAAGAGGGCTCCTCCACCCGCCACTCCCACCGCAGGCTGTTTGAGGAGGACCACACCAGGCCCTCAGACCCAGAGTAGAGGCTGCATTCTGGCAGAGTTGGCACTGTAGCCTCTGGGCTGCCCGTATAATGGATTAGCAGGTTTAAGGTCCCACAGAAGGTGGGAAATTTGTCAGAGATGCAGTTTCAGCGGCTTGCTAGAGAGGGAGGCAGAGATCATTCCTTAGGTCAGATCCCTGTTCAGTAGTGAACACTTTAAGGGATGTATATTCTAGCTGTTCTTCTCGTATGCTGGTCCTGTCTGTTACCTGCTGCTGTAAGAAAATGGGCCCTTCGCTCAAATAGATGTGGAAAATCTAGATCATAAAGAGTTACACAGATTTTTTTTTGTGTGTGTGCTTTGCTGAAAATAAGAAAACTTCTAAGTGGGCTACATGGAAATTTGAAAGTGAAAATATAACTGCATCAGCCTGAGAGTCAGGCCGTCTGACAGATGGCTTGTGGCTGAGGCTTGTCTGGCCTTTCCTGGGGACGGAAGTCATGGAACTTGAGATTAGTGGCGGCCCTGGAGCAGCAGCACCTACAGGGAGAAAAGCCTGCTTCTTAGTCAGCTGTCATGTCCAGTGTGCAGTCTGAGAGCATGGACTTGGGGGCAGGTCAGCCAGGATCATGTCTGTCCTTAACTGCTATCTAGCTGTGTGACTAGGGGATCACATCATCTCTCTGAAGCCCAGGTTTTACAGATGAGGATAATACCACGTGTTCCACAGGCTGTCAAGAAGAGTTGCTGACTGACAGCTGTCATCGGCATCAGCAGCATCATTGTTCTGCTGTGGTTGTACCAGATGTCAGTGTTTCCAGTAGGCTTTTCCTGTGTTAGTTTGTGACTCGGGTCTCACTAGATGGTGTCTCCCAGCCCTGCAGTTTGTGTAATGTTGTTAGCAATTCCCAGTCAAGCAGACATTCAAGTGAGTGTGTGCGTCCTGGGGACCGTCATTACCTTGGTGACCTCTGATGAACTGCACTCTGGTCTCCTAAAGATGAACCCCCACTCCTTTTCTTTCGGTGAATCCTTTTTCTACACAGGGCCTCTGGTGAAGTTAGTGGGAGTTGTTTTTGCAGAACACATGGGATTCCAACAGCCTGGCAGTGTTCCAGGGCTTGGTTGCTATGGTGACTCACACTTTTTTACTGAAATTTCGCCAGATTCTGAAGATCTTCGTGGACAACCTCTTTGCCATCATCCTGCTGAAGCAGGCCACAGCTGTGCGCTGCTTGGACATGAGTGCCTCCCGCAACAAGCTGGCCGTGGTCGATGAAAACGACATGTGTCTGGTGTATGACATTCACACCAAGGAGTTGCTTTTCCAGGTAAAGTCCCAGAGAGTGTCCAGGATGTGGTCCTTTGATTAGAGACCCTCCTCTAGCTTCCCAGTCCCTGCAAGAGGTGCTCACACTCCGGCTTCCAGGCGGGTCTCTGGGAGGAGCAGACAGGTGTCAGGGCTGAGCAGGCATGCAGAGTCTGAAGGACCCCGGCATGGCCTGCCCCTCCCCCACCCAAGCTGCAGGAGCTGGGCAAGCATCTTTGAACTTTGGTTTCCTTGCAGGTAAGATGGCAAGTAACACCTTTCTTATGAGGTTACTGTGAGCACTAAATGAATAATAGTAAATCTAAGGAAGCTGGTTAAGGCTTTCTGTTCATGTGTTAATGTGATGGTGATTCTTTTGAAAATGCCTACTTCTCACCTACTGGAAGCTGACCTGTATCTCTCAGTGATCCAAGACACAGTAAGGAAACAGGACTAGTGTTGACATTTGAAAGAAGGCAAGGGATGGGGGAAGCCTTCCCTGTTACTTACTTCACAAGGGTGCTGTAAGAGCCAGCAAAATGTGAACTGTCTGGGGAGATAGGCATTGTTTACACACCATTTGGTCCTGTGGCTGGAGGAGGTTGATCTCTGGAAAAGAGAGCCCAGAGGTTCTGTGCCCAGTGCCTGGCTGGCTTTCTGCTGGAGTCAGCACCACTTTCTCCCCCTTTAGGGCTTTGTAAGTGTTCAGGGCCCATTTGTCCAAAGCAAGTTCTCTCTGAAGCTGAAAGCTCCTCGGACGGTCTTCCTTAGCTACTACAGGTCACCCAGTGTTATGTGCAGGTTGAAGTCCCCTTATCAGGGTTCCTCCTCATCCTCAGGAGTGGATTCAGCTGGACTAGGGAGCTGACTCAGTCAAGTGAAAGGGGTTGCCTGGCTACCACTAGCCCAAGGTGACTGCCAATTGATGACAACTTACATATTAAAGGCAACAGATATTCATGACCAAAAGAAAATTTCAGGCAGAGTGGTTTAGACAGACCCCGGCTCTAGTCCTGCCTTCATCACTTGCTGTGTGATCCCAAGCAACTTAGTGAACCTCTCTGAGCCTCAGTTTCTCCTTACCTCTAAAATGGAACTCGTAATTACCCCCTCACAGAATTGCTGTGGGACTAAACAAGAAACTGTAGTTCCTAGCTCTGCCTGGCTCAAAATGGGGCCCTAATGTTACTTGCCTTTCTCCACAGCCTCAACACCACCCCTGTAGGTAGGTAAGCAGGCCCACAGGTGTGAATCTGTATCTGAGCCTAGGCCTGCGTGGGAGTGGAGGGCATGTGTCCTTCCCAGTCCCCACTGAGGTAGGCGTGGGAAGCTCATTCTCAGGCCATGCCAGGAGCCATGTGCATTCCTATCTCTTCCTCCTTTCCGCCGCCCCTGTCTCCTGCAAATGAAAACTGCTGTATTGTTTTCTTCTCATTATAAAAGTCATCCATGCTCATTATAAAAGAATATAAGCAGAAAGGTATGGACTCCTGGTCCCTGGGGTTCCAGAGCTAAGCAGGAAACTCTGAGAGGAGGTGGGGGAAGGTGGAGCCTCCAAGGGTGACTATGTTTTTACAGTCTGCATATTGTACATGCAAAGACAATATATTATTTTCTAATTTAAAAATAACTGACTATTCTTTTTCTTACTATTAAAGGCAACAGATATTCATGACCAAAAGAAAATTTTAGGCAAAGAAAAAAACATAACAAAATAAAAAGCACCCACAATTCCACTCACTCAAAAACAATTACAGTTCATTTTTTGGAATATATCCCTTTAAACCTCCTTCTACGCAGAGCTGTATATACTCATGCTTTATCAGAAATAGAATCCACTTTGTTGATTTTCGCACTTAATATGCAGTGATTAATATTTGGAGATAATATCTTTTTCCAAAGTAATGCTTACTTATTAAAAAATTCTAACACACGCAAATGCATGGAAGAGCTTACTTCTATGCCTCTATCCGTTTCTTCTGCTTCCCTTTTCCTCTCTTTCCCTCCATTCCACTGTTAGCAATTTAGTGTGATCCAGGCTGTAAAAAGAATATTTGACTGAATGCAGGAACAGCTCCAAAGCCCAGGGTGTTTGTCACAGCATCCTCACCAGCCCTCTCCCTTAGGAACCGAATGCCAACAGTGTGGCCTGGAACACCCAGTGTGAGGACATGCTCTGCTTCTCGGGTGGAGGCTACCTCAGCATCAAAGCCAGCACCTTCCCTGTGCACCAGCAGAAGCTGCAGGGCTTCGTGGTCGGCTACAACGGCTCCAAGATTTTCTGCCTCCATGTCTTCTCCATGTCAGCTGTGGAGGTGCCACAGGTAACCCAGGGCACTTGTCAGCTCCCAGCAGTGACAGGGCAGACAGGACCAGGAAAGCCAGGCCCCTCACTGGAGCTGGGGGAGGAGAGGGAAGTGAGATGAGTGGCAGCTGTGATGTCATAGAGGGCACTCACTTGAACCTGAAACCCTATCTCCACTGCAACCTATGTGTGTTTAGCCAAACAGCTCAACCTCACTGAGCCTCCATTTCTTTCTGGTTCCCCTTTCCTGGTAGGGACGGGGAGGGATATGCAGGGTGGTCTGTCTGCAGAGTATGCTTCACTGAGAGCCGGGTGTGGGGCCCAGTGGAGCAAACTGGTAAGGCCGGGAGTCCAGGATTGTGTGCTCAGGCACGCAAGGTGGGTGGTGTGTGTGAGGAAGACACTGTGGATGAGACGGAGTGTGGGGGCTGAGATCTGTGAGCCAGAAGGGGAGCCTGAGACCATCTGCACAGGTTCCTCAAACTAGGAGGCCAGAACCGAAGTGGGGGCTTGGGATCTGAAGCCACGGAACAGGGGAAGACAGAAACAGAGAGAGGAGGGCAGAGACTGAGGACCTGAGTCAGGGCTGGCCACATCACAGCCGTCCCAGCTGTCTGTCTGCTCCCCAGTGAATCGTGCCATCGGATAGAGACAAGAACCAAGGAGAGACTAGCCCTCAGAATCCCATCCTCAACAGGGACCACTCTTAAACATTTTGAAATGTAGCCACCTAGACCTTTTCTATATATGTGCATATGTATAATATATGAGTATACAATTTTATATAAACACTTTTAAACAAAAGTAGAATCATACTATAAATATTTTGTGACTTTAATCTGTAAGTATCGCTCCTATAGATGAATCCTCAGATTAACCATACTTACTTTACTGAAGGTGGACCATAAATAAGGGAGAGAAATTTTTCATCACTTTCCCATATTGCCGTCTTCTAATTTAACATTTACATATTGCAGACCCACTACTTTGTATGAATTTGGCTGTCAACTAGCAATCTGGTTTTTTCACTCAGCAGCCTACTGGAAACATGGTTCCATGTCCGTAAATGTACTTCTCCAGCATTTGTAGATACTAAGCATTTAAATACTTAGCATTTAAAATACTATGCTGATTAAATACTAATACATACAGAAATCATACAGAGATCTTTTGTACAACTTGTCAGTTTCTCCCACTGGTAACAGTTGGAAAACTACAGTACGGATTCAGCACCTTCCTAGGATCCCGTGTGCACCAAGACCAGCCCACGAGATCATTATAACCACACCCACCTTCCTGCTGCCCCCGCCACATTGTTTTCAATGACCGCTTTTTGTCCTGTCATGTGGATGTTCCACATCTAACTCGGTCAGTACCTATTGTGGGACATTTATGCTGTTTATAGCTTTTTTGCTATTGTAGATAATAGACATTTTTCTAGCTAAGTCTTGACACCTCTTTCAACTTAGCTCCTTGGTGTAGATTCTTGGAACTGAAATTGTTGAGTCAAAGGCTATATACATTTGAAGGATGTTTAGACGTGTTTCCAGATTGCTGTTTAGCTGTGTTCCATTAACCTGTATTCCTTCCACACACCCCACTTCACTCACTCTCCCCAGCTTGGCTTCCTGAAGGGGTGGGGCTAGATTCCACTTCCTCTGCGTGATGGCACCCTTATTGCTCACTGCTGCAGGAATTACCAGAGCCTGACATACAGCAGTCATTCAATAAATGTTGGTGGGATTCAGATCTGAGGAAAAAGAGAAAACAAGAAAGCCAGAGAAAGCAGGGAGGGGAGGTGGGCGTGGCAGCAGGAGGAGGGGCAAGAACAGCCCTTGCTCAGCTGTTTCCTTGCGGTCCTCTTCTGCCCCCCATCCCGAGCCCATGCACCATACCACCAGGAACCCCATCTTCCTCAGCCATGCAAACCGCCTGTGCTGATAGAAAGGTTTTCTCCCAGGACTGCCGTCCTGACCCCTGAGAGAAGTGCTGTGTGCTGCCTCCTGACTTTGGCCAGCCAGCAGGAGCTGACAGGGCAGCCCAGGGTTCTCTTTGCCAAGCCCTCAGAATTCAGAAGCCAGAGCCCCCCCGTGGCTGCACCAGGGCTGTCCCGCTGATGTAGCAGGTCAGGACTGCCAAGGGTTAGGAAAGGCAGGCTCAAGACAAAGGCTACTTATCTCTTGCCTCTGCCTCCAGCCATCCTGTGGTCTTGGCCTGGAGACGAGGGAGAAGGCATCAGACCTACTCTGGGGGTTTCTGGTTTCCTTTCGAAATTTACATCATCTTATGCAAGATCTGGTTTGTCAGGGATGCCAAGTAGGGCAGCAAGCCCTGGTCAGGCTCCTCAGGGCAGGCAGTGACTTCATGCTTGGACTGCAACAACGAGAAAAAGTAGAGCTCAGAGCACATTTGTTTGGTTAGGATATTTTTAAAACTCCTATTCTCAGATTGTGTCTCCCAGTTGTTTGTCGTATGCCTAATTTGGATTGCCTGTCTGAGTCCCTCTGCCACCCTCGTGGGGCACCCAGCATGGCGAGTCGAGGGGAAGAGCCCTTGAGCTGTGCCCTTGAGCAGCTCCCTTCACTCTTTGGGGCCTCAATTCTTTTCTGTGTAGTGGGGTTAAATATACCCATCTTTGGGGTTCTGTCTGGCCAATTCCTACTATTACTACTACTATTATTATTCGTTTTAACAGTCTTAAAGAAGCAAATATTACAAAACAGAACTAGATTGGAACAGGTGTCACTGAAGGAGTTCAGAAAGGAAGGCTGCTGTGCACAGGGAGTTTGAGAAGGCTTCCAGGAGGTGGTGACGCTCGCTCTGAGCCCAGAAAGGACTGGAAAGGCAGAGGGGGCAGCAGAGGGAAGGGTGCAGGTGAGAACAAGTCTCGGAGCTCGGGCTTCTGAGGAGCTGGTGTTGAGGAAAGGCAGTGAAGGTGATGAGCATGCTCACTGTTTGCCAAGCACTTTGCCATTTTCAAAGCAATTTCTCCTGCCCATGTAGCCTGTGAGCTGTGTAGAGTGTCTGAAAAGAATTTAATCAATTTACCCAAAAACACCCACAGCTAGGCTGTGGCTGAGCTGGGTCTGGGTTCTAGCTCAACTGCTCCCCAGTCTGTACTGAAGGAGGAAAGGTGGGTGGGGTGACATGGTAGAAAAGATGAGCGCTTGGAAGAAGCCACATCTTGCTGTCAGAGGGTAGAATGGCTTAAAAAAAAAAGAAAATTTTCTTGAACTCTAAAGTTAAAAAAATGAGACAGGAAATTTCAACGATAAAGGCCCCAAATGGAGAAAACAGCACTTCCAGCTCACATTTGGGAACCATTAGCACAGAAGCACTGGCTGATTGATCTCCACCACCCAGGAATCTAGGAGAGATGCAGCTCCCTTCAGCACACTGACCAGCCTAAAATGCAGGCAGAGCCTTTCATTATTTAAGATGCCCAGCCAGAAATAAACCCACACTTATATGGTCAATTAATCTTCAACAAAGGAGTCAAGAATGTACAATGGGGGAAAGACAGTCTCTTCAGTAAGTGGTGTTGGAAAAACTGGACAGCTACTTGCAAAAGAATGAAACTGGATCACTATCTTATACCATACTCAGAAATAAACAACATGGATTAAAGATCTTGATGTAAGACTTGAAACCATAAAACTCCTAAAAGAAAACATAAGCAGTAAACTCTTGAACATCAGCCTTCGCAATTTTTTTCTAGCTACATCTTAGGCAAGGGAAACAAAAGCAAAAATAAACACATGGACTATAGCAAACTAAAAACCTGCACAGCAAAGAAAACCATTAACAACATGAAAAGACAATCTACTGAATGAGAGAATATATTCACAAGTGATACCTCCAATAGGGGTTGATACCCAAAATGTATAAAGAACTCGTGCAATTCAACACCACAAAACAAATAACCCAATTTAAAAATGGGTAGAGGAAATGAATAGATGTTTCTAAAGAGGACATACAAGTGACCAACAGACACATGTAACTATGCTCCACGTCACTAATTGGCAGGGAAATGCAAATCGAAACCACAGTGAGAGATTAACTCACACCAGGCAGAAAGGATAGTATCAAAAATGGATAACAAGTGCTGGCAAAGATGGAAAAAAGGAAACCCTTGTGCACTGTTGGAATGTAAACTGGTTGCAGCCACTATGGAAGGCAGAATGGAGGTTCCTTGAAAAATTAAAAATAGAAATACCACATGACCCAGTAATTCAATTTCTGGGTGTTTACTCAAAGAAAACAAAATGCTAATTGGAAAAGATGTATGCACCTTATATTGATTGCAGCATTATTTACAACAGCCAAGATACCAAGATATGGAAGTAGCCGTAGATGTCCATCCATAATAAAGAAGTGGTACATATACACAATGGAATATTACTCAGCTGCAAAAAAGAAATCCTGCCATTTGTGACAACAGGGATGGACCTAGAGGGCATTATGCTAAGTGAAATAAGTCAGACAGAGAATATATAAACAAATACCATATGATTTCATTTATATGTGGAGTCTAAAAATCAAAACAAGTGAACAAACGAAAAACAAAAACCTGGAAACAGACTCATAAATACAGAGAACAAACTGGTATTTGCTACAGGTGAGGTGGGTGGGGGGCTGGGTGAAATAGGTTGAGAGGATCAAGGGGTGCAAACTTCCAGTTATTAAATAAGTCACAGAGATGAAAGGTACAGCATGGGGAATATAGTCAGTAAGATTATAGTAACTTTGTGTGGTGACAAAATGGTAAGTACATTTACTGTGTATTAAATTTATAGTATATATTACATACTAATACATGTTATTGTATACTTGTATACTATATATAGTATAATATATATAAATGTCAAATTTGTATGTTACACATCTAAAACTATGTATTATATCAACTATATGTCAATAAAAAGGAAGGAAGGAAGAGAAGGAAGAAAAAGAAGAGAAAAAAGATGCCCAGCTCAGACTTGTTCTGGTACACACACACACACACACANCACACACACACACACACACACACACACACACACACACACACACACACACACCACCCACACCACCCACACCACCCCTAGGGCAGGTGTGCCTACAGCCTTTCTGGGTAAGCCAGAACAAACTTTTCGTGGGACAAGAGGATTTCTTGGTCCCCTTTGTAAGAGGTCACTGTGGGCTCCTTCCTCACAGTAACGTTGCTCACTCCAGCAGACACACAGAGGGCCTGCTGGGCTAAGATGGCCCTGCTGCTGCCCTTGGGTTGGGTACAGCCTTGTGGGAGAGATAGGCAGTCACAGCACAACCTAAGACCCAGACAAAGGGCAGAGGACACTCACACTCCTTTCCTGGAGGGGTCAGTGAAGACTTCCCAGAAGAGGTGACGTTGTAACAGGGCCTTGAAAGCCAAATAGGTACTTGCCAGAGGGTGAGGGGGACAAAGGCGTTCCAGATGAGGGTGAGATCTTGTGGTGAGGCAGGCCTGGAGGTGGGGAAAGCCACTGGCAGAGGGGAGGATGGGCAGGAAGTTTGTGCTGCTGGACACAGTGGTTTGGCTGTGAGGCGGATGGCAGGATGGAAGGCACATAGGGTGGGCTGGGTGAGACCAAGAGGGGCACTGGTTAATCACTGTAGTGTTGCTCTGCGGGCATGTGTAATTAGGTGGGTGCACACATCTAGAGTCAGGCTTTGTACCAATCTGACTCTGCATTGCCTAAAGACAATCGTCTTTCCTTTTGCTGAAATCCTGCAGTCTGCTCCCATGTACCAGTACCTGGATAGGAAAATGTTTAAAGAAGCCTACCAGATCGCCTGCTTGGGTGTGACAGATACTGATTGGCGTGAACTGGCCATGGAAGCTTTAGAAGGATTAGAGTTTGAAACAGCAAAGAAGGTAAGCATCTAGTCAGCATAAGCTGGAATCTGGTCCTTGGAGGGTCCCTTGAGGGGACAGAAGGGAGTCCAGGTGATAGGGAGAGGCCAAAGCATGTGGGCTCTGGAGTTGCCAGCTCCTGTGAGCTGTGGCAGTGACAGCCTTTCTAAGGTTGCTCATTTGTAAAATTAGGGTGATGAAGGGCCCCATCCTCACAAAGTTATAAGGATCTAATAATGCAATAATGCCTATAAAACCTCACACAGGAGAAGCTTCTGATAGAGTCTGGCTGTCACTCTTATTAGCTATCATTTATGTAAAGCACCTGGCTAAAAGCCTGGCACATGATAGGTCCCCAATAAATTGTAGCCCTTATTATTGGTATTGGGCCATTGATTACACAGTGCTGTTCTTGACACTCTGCTAATTACGGTGGAAGAGATGGTTGGGCTCTGATTCTGATAGCAGTGTCACTCCCCACATATCTTTTGGCACGATGCATGGTGTCATTTCCTGCCTCAGTCTATTAAAACTACATAAATGGCTGAAAACATTTGACCTCTTTCTGTGTACTAGAAAATGTCCAGCTATGTCTTTGGATTGGGTTTCCATCTGGAGCCTGAGGGTTGGGGGAAGGAACAGCCTCCAACCCCTTCTCCCTTATTCCATCCTTCCCTCTTTAGCTTCCTGCAGCCAATTAATCAGGTACTTGTTTTGCCCATACTGCTGAGCTGGTAGGGAAGGAGTTGTGGAGCTGTGTGATGTTCACCCCTTGTGAGGTTAGGACTTCTAGAAAGGAGAAGAGAGTGGACCAAGATCCGCCTGGGACTCAGAAGCCGGGCTGGGTGACCCTGGGCAAGCCACTTCTCTGGGAGCCTCCATTCTTCCATTTCTACAGGGGAGTTGATGAAAACTGACTGCCAGGCTTGCCTGGCACAGTGTTGTTAGGCCCAACCATCATGTTGTAAAGGGGATTCTAAAACTAGCAATGTCTACAAAATCTGGCTGTCATTAAAACAAGTAAAATTATCTTTATATAGTAATCATCTCTATTATATTTTTTGATCAACTAAGTATCAAAAAAGTAGTAATGGAAGGAGGAAGCATTTCCATGGAGGGAGCTTCCCTTTCCTGCCCCACCCAGAAATGCCAGAGGGATGAAGAATAACAGAGGATCCCTGCAGTATGTTTTTTGTGTTTGTTTTTGGCCTGGAATGAAATTAAGTCTTCCTTATAGATTGTCGTTTCCTTACACCCAAGAACTAAACATTGACCTCATCTTAGTATTAGCCAGCACTGCCTAGCATGGTGTGAGGTACTCAGCAAATGTTGCAGTGGATGAAAGCTGAACTGGAATGACACTCAGTGGTTTGACAACTCCCTTATCCTGTATCCGCCAAGCATCCTGTATCTCCCTGCGAATAGAAATTATTGTATTAAAGCTACAAGATTTTGACCATATTGTAGAATTTGATCCTTATCCGCATCCTGAATCCGCAGCCTTTCCTTTTCTGCTTTGCCAAGTCCCCCAGGCACACACGGAGGTGGAGGGTGGTACCCGGCGACAGGCCTCTGTTCCAGTAGATGGCAGCAGAGAGCTGCTTAGTGGGACGGCCGTTCTGAGCAAAACGGCCGCCGCTTCTCTGTTTCCACACTTCCCTCTGCTGAGGTTGTTCATGGCCTTGTGACTCTGACCACGCTGACCAGGGCAGCCCTGACTCTGCAGAATGTGCCAGAGCTGAAGGAGCTGGGAAACAAATTTCTCCAGGTGGCAAATCCTAGAATCCTCGTAAAGCAGAACCAGAAAAACCCTTGGAGAAGGCATCACTAGCTTGTGCCTTCTCAGGAAGAAGACGTTGCGAGCCTGGTGGTGGTGAAGTTGGCTCAGGGGTCCCCAGTTGGAAAGTCCCAGAGCTGGGACTCAGGCCTAGAGTGCACGGCCTTTACCTCTGCCACTTTGCCGGACATTCCTGGTGCTTTAGGGAAGCCCACATCAGACCCCCAGCAAAGAACATGGTTACTCTTGGCCCTGTACCCCTTTCTTTGCTCATGGGATGCATACCATACCCTTTCAAGAAGTTTCTCTTCAGGAATACCCATTTGCCAGGTTTGTACTCTGTGAGGCTTTACTTAGGCCTGCCTGCTGCTGCTTCCTTGGCTCAGGCAGTGAATCCACGTTCTCTAGGGCATGTAGTTCATACGTGTACAGCTCTTAGCTCAGGAAGATATGATGACCCATTTAATCTGTCAGCCTCTCCTCTTAGGGTATGGGTCCCTGAATAGGGGAGGGGGATAGGGACCAAGTCATGTTCGTGTCTAGGTCCCCAGGCCATGACAGGATGCCTGGCCCTGAGGAATGAAAGGATGAAGTACACTGTGGCCATCTATGAGGCAGCCAGAGGCCAGATGACTTGCTCATTTCCCCAAGTCTTTTTAGGATGGAGGATGTCATGCAGCTCAGTAAAGGTTGCAAGTGGCCAGTGTTGTTCTGTATTTCATATTCTAAGGGCTCTTGAACCTGCTGCCTTCTCTGGGTGTGTGTCAGCCCATTTCCAATGGGACTGTGAAAAGCTCAGCTGAGTAGAAATATTGACAGCAAAACCACAAGATGATCAGCCTGACATGGTGCATTACACCCCTTGAAACTCCTGGTAGAATCTGAAAGCAGCAAAAGAGACTTAGCATCAGTCTGTTTGAGGAAGGCTGCCTAGAAACTTCTAGCATCCATGGGTTAAAGTCTCTGGCTTTACTGGGAGTAAAAGCAATAGCTGCAACTTTTAAGATTTACATAAGAGTTTGCCTTCCAGCGACTTGGAGTGACTCATTCCCTACTTCCCCCTTCCTTCCAGAAACCATGTATATTCCTTCTCAGCTTTCCCCTCCTGCTCTCCCTCTGTGCTGGTACAGTGGGCTCTGGGTGTCCGTGTTTATGCACTGCCGGGAAGCATGGCTGTCTCCAGCTTTCTGTCCAAGTCATCGCCATATACGTGCAGTCTCTCCTCGGTCTCACGTCTCCCCTCTCCCACTCTGAAGTGCCACTGCCTCGGAGTGTCAGACTGGCTTGTTCCCCGCTTCTGTGTGGAGATTCCTCCAAGCAGGCACCCTCACAGACTGCGGTATCATGGTTTTGTTTTATCTAATCGCAAAGTGATTGATGCAGCTGGGACTTGCTGCTGTTCCTTGTATGAGCTAATCCCAGGGATAAAGCTGTGCTTCACTGGGTGGTACAACCCTCCTGAGCACATGGTGATTAATCAACACTTGCTTCTTTTCCCTCCTCACCGGCTCACTTCCTGAAGCTTGACTTCCAACCCTTACTTTTGAAACCAATCACCCACTTCTGAAACCCAGAAGGCAGCTGACTTTATTCTTTTATGTCTTCCCCTATAGGCCTTCATCAGAGTACAAGACCTCCGGTATTTAGAGCTCATCAACAGCATTGAGGTAAAAGATGAGGTGTTCTTCCTTCTCAAGAAAGCACAGACTCGCTGTCAGGGCTCTACAGGCAGCTCCTCCCGCGGGCGAGAGCCTTGAGGATGTGTTCGCGGGTGTCAGCTTCTAGGCCACGGCCTCGCTGGGGCACCGCACACGGCAGGAAGGCGTGCAGTCTGTCCTGTGGGAGCCGGGTGAGGCTGGCGGGGTCCTAATCTCTCTCAGCTTTGGTTTCTTGTCTGTAAAATGGGATGGGACCAACCTTACAGCCTCACTGGGAGGATTAAATAGGTTCTCAGCGACTGGCTTTCTTCCTTGTGGTGGTCGTTAGGTGGTTACCAGCCCCTAGGGCTCCAACAGTATGCCAGCATAGGAGGCATTTCCCAAACGCACATGATCTCCACCCCACCCACAGCAATGGGCCCTGGGGAGGGAGGCATGCAGACTGAGCGAAGCCCTCCCAAGTGTACCACTCCTGGTGGGCAACACAGGCCTTGTCAACCAAGCCCAGAGAGGGCTGGGGCAGGCTGAAGAGGCTGGTTCTGCATGCACCATTTGCTGGGTGACAGTAGACAGTATTCTTAATTCCTATGCATCTTAGTGCGGTCTGTAAAAAAGGCATACATATTTTTTTCCTGAACAGATTTATTGTGAGGCTATGGGAATGTGAGATACATTTGAATTCCCATATGGAAGCCGTGAGGAAATCAGCAACTGTCTCGTCCCTTCAGTTCAGTTCAGCACAATAAACACCTGTCATCGGCCAAGGCTTGTGCTGAGCCCAGTGAGCCAGGAGCTGCGTGGAAGAGAGGCCTGCAGAAGCTCATAGCCAGCTAAGCCTAATAATAGTTGCCATTTGTTGAGTGCCTACTCTATGCCCCACGCATGACTGATGTGGACACAATTTTAAATCCTCATGACTTAATGAGGCAGATACTGTTCTTATCCCTATTGGATAAATAAGGAAACTAAGGCTGTGTCATGTCCCCAAGGGTCCACAGGCCAAAAGCTCAGTTGGAATTCAGAGCCAGTCTGTTTCCTAGGCTCCTGCTGTCTTTCCTCTAGGCTTGGCTGCCATCTGGGAAGTCACTCCTGGTGCGCACCCTCTGCCTCCTCTAGCACCCTCACGAGCAGCGTCTCTAACCTCTGTTGCTTACTTACGTGCATGGGGAAGGGTTTGTTCAGAGCCATCCGTCCATGATGCCTGGCACCACCTGCTATCAGGGGCTGGCATTTATGAACCAGCTGGTCTGAATCTAGGGGTCTTAGTGGAATGTAGTTTTCCTCTATGAGGAAACTACCTCTGTGAGGACTGCCTCTCATCATTTATCATCTCTAATGAGTTCTGTCTTACCGCCTCCTCTAGGGTGCTGTGAGCAGGGAAGTTGGCTAAAGTAAACTGTGAGAATTGTCTCTTGAAAAAGAGAATCAACTGCCTTCAAGTGAGGATCCATCCTGGCTGCCCTGAGGCCATATGTGCATGTTTCTAGACATTCGGCCTTATTCCAGAGCACCAAGGTTCCTGACTAGGCAACTTTTGGGGAAGTGAGATGCAGCCGTACCCATAACAAGAGGAGGAGAGTCTGCCTGTGTAGCTACATACATACTGAATATAAGAGAAAAGAGAATCATTTTTACAATCATGGTGATATTGTGGTCTAGCATGGATATGGCCTAAATTCCCTGTCTAGTGAAACCTACTTCTTTATCTCACTGCAAGACTTTAATTCCCTTCCTATAATTAGGAGTTAGTTTATCTGGCCGATTAGCCTGAACTATGTGTAGGATTTTTTCTTTTTTTTTTTTTTTTTTAGTTTTATAAAATTATTTCTGTCAGTGGGGAAGCATGTTGCCTCCAGCTGTTAAAACTTTCACCAGCTTGTCTAGGACTTTGATTCAGTGTCTCATCTTCCTCCACTGTGATACACTTGCTAGAAAACAAGCCAAAGGAAACTGCTGGGGATGAGAGATTGGGTGCTATTGAGTGTTTACAAATACTTGAGCTGTAGCTTAATGAATGTTCCCTAACACAGGAGGAGGGAGTGTGCCAGTTAATTCTCTTCATCTTAAGTACTGTTGTTGGGGACTGTACTGTCACTTGTTTCCAAAGGTGGCATTATGGGGTATAAAGAGCATCTGGAGTCAGGCAGATGGAATCCCAGTGCCAGCTCTGTATGACCTCCACCTGCTGCTCTTCTGAATCTTGGCTTCCCCCAGTGTGACACTTGGCTGGTACCTCCCACCCTGGGGTCTGTGTGGGACGTATATACCCTGCAGCTGTGGGTGCTCCACATGTGGCATTGCTCACCTTCTCATTAGAGGCAGGGGCAGGATAAAACTCATTATCCTATTTTGTTGGTCTCCTTCTTGGGAAGAAACCCTAAACTTTCACCTTGTCTGCCATTATTATGAGTCACAACTCAGCAAACCAGGCCCAGTGACTTGGGAGATCTTGGGAGCCACAAATGAGCAGGCAGCACACACCATCCTAACTCTCTGGTTCTTTCCTGGGAAGACTATACAAGAAAGCAGCCCTGAGGAATTTCCATTAAACAAACAAAAGTTTGCATCTCTTTTGATCTTCACTCCTCTGGAAAAAATATCTGCTTTTCTTGTCAAGCATTCCCACCAGAAACCTAGGTGAGAGACACAACAGCCCAAGAGCCAAGCGGAGGTTCCAGTAGGAAGGCCCAGGGGCTTAACTTGAAATAGCAACATGGAACCTTTGTAAAGGCTGCTTCCTGCCATGGCTGCAGGGGCCATTTCCTGTGCTTCTAATTTTTCCAGGAGAGGAAGAAGCGGGGAGAGACCAACAATGACCTGTTTCTCGCAGATGTGTTTTCCTACCAGGGGAAGTTCCACGAGGCCGCCAAACTGTACAAGAGGAATGGGCACGAGAACCTCGCGCTTGACATGTACACCAACCTCTGCATGTTTGAGTATGCCAAGGTAACCACCCACCCCCGGGCCAGGCTGCCAGGTGGGGGCCGCCAGTGTTCTGATGCTGCAGTGCCCCATTGTTTACCCCAAGAGGTGGTGCAGATGGAAAACAACAATGGCTTCAGAAAAGGTGTGGGCAAACTGATAAACTGGTTGAAGCTGACCTAAAACTGACCTTTGAGGCTGAGACACCAGTGGGATGGAGTAGGACAGCTCAGACCTTTGTCAGTGCCAGAGCTGAACGGCCTGTGAGTCTGAATCAGGACAGTCCCTTTGTAGAGGGTTCAGGGCTCAGGGCTTCAGGGCCGTCTCCCACAAACTCTCTCGAACCTTTGTTAGGAGCCACTGAGTATCAGTGTCCTCAGGCATGAGTAGGTTCTCCCATCGTCACCCAGGACAATGTGGTTCACTTCAGCCTGTGGTTTCCTGAGCACCTGCTCTGTCATTGGTACTGGGCTTTGCACTCGCACTCTGAGATGCCATGACAGTCCCTGCGCCCCAGTGCTGGCACAGTGTGCCCCCTGTCGCCCCAGTGGGTGCAGAGTGGCTCCCACATCATCTGCACAGTGATAATGGAGATTTCCTCTTGCACTTGGAGGGCTTCTGTTAAGGTTAGTCCCCAACAGGTCTGGGTACTTGAGGGAGAGCTTCCTGGTACATGCTTCTGATGGTTTGTGTGAGAACAAGTTCCAATCAGGACATTGGCAGGTTAGCCCAATGCAAGGTGAAAGACCCTTGGGCGCATTGAGAAACGAGGCTCTGACCTCCACGGAGTTGCCTTTTTAAGCTGCCTTTCCTGCTTATGTCAGAAGAAGCTTCAGAACATTATTGAGTCATCAGCCACAACCAATTAGTAGCTATTAATAGTAATTATCTAACTCACAAGTTCAAGATGGAAAAAATCCTCCCCATTTTTTACCTCTCTACTGTACCCAAAGATGGCTGTGCTGCTTTATTGTCCTCCATCTGTGAGATCCTGGGGCTGAAGGTTGTGTCCGGGTTACTGTGACATGGCCCAGGACTTTCTGGTCCGCAGCACCTGGGCGAGAATGGGCCCCAGCCTGTCTTTTCACCATGGTGGTCCCTTTACTCCTTCCCTCAGATCCCAGTGCTTCAGGTCCCCCCACTCTGTCCTCTTCAGCCTCTTCACCCTCCTCAAATACTCCCCTCCCCCACAAGATTTAACACTGCTTTCATACTGAGAACACCTGAATTAGTGTGTCTCTTTCTGGGAATAACAACCTTTAACCTAAAGGGTTCCATCCAGCAGCATTTAGGCATTAGGAACAGCTGCATGTGGTTGTTCAAAGGGGCCCACAGCCCTTCCTGGCATCTCTGAGTGCTGCCAGTACGTAGCTGTGGCATAGTAGACCACACTTTGACTTGGTGTCCATACAGCGGTCCTTCTTGAGTCCTGGTCCTTCTTGCGGGTGACCTGGGAAAGACTCTTCAGTTTGCTAATGCCCTTATTTCCTTCTCAGAGGGTAACATAGCTACAGCGCAGCTTAGTTCTGGGAATTGCACAAAATGTTTGAGGCAGCGCTTTACAAATGCCAAGCTGTAGAAAGTTTAGCAAGCTGAGAGGGGCCAAGCGTGACCCAGAGAGGCCATCTCTCAGACCTTTCCCCAGCCAGCCCCACTCCTGCCCCCTCACACCTCAGGTGGGCTTTGTGGGCCCACAGCCTCCCACCAGAAATGCAGCCCATTTACGCACTCCATCTGGTCTGCTTCTCTGTGAAGGTAAATACTCTGGGGGTTGTTTTTGCTTTTAGTTTTTGATCACAGTTCCAAGTAGGTTGGTTCTGTTTCAATCCTCCCCCCGCCCCAAATAGTCTAAATGTGAGGAAATGTGTACATACACATTATGTCAGGGTGGGGGGAGATACAGTGCTTATTAACATGGCATGTTTTTGTTTACTTGAAAATTGCTTCCCAAGATTCAATCTGGTTTTCAGAAAATTTTTAAATTACATTCCCACGTACAAATAAATTGTATGCTTTCCGGATAAGTGACATGTTTATATGGTGATAAAGGGAATTATAATGCTCTTAACTCTTATGTGGTATGTCCTTATCAAAATCACCAAGCGTGGGAACACTGTTTAGTCTCATTCATCGCTCAGCACAGCCCCTTTCTGTCCACTCCAGGACAAAGTCTTTGCCATGGCCCCAGATAACATGTGAATTTGCTTTGTGGAACCAAAGAACCTTTAAAACCCCATTTTGCTGAACCTTGAAGGAGCCTTTTAGACTCAGCTTCAATTAGGTCAGAGCTCTTGGAGCTGGGCTGTTGGGCCGGAGGAGGCTCCTTCAAGCCTGTGGTCTGCGCCTGCTGCTCTCCTTGTTGACATCGCAAATTTATGTCTCGCTCTTGGCCTCTGACCCTTCTCATTACAGTCACCTCGAGTCTACTGAGCACTCACTTTGAAGGACATTTCTGTTCCCTTACGACGCCTGTTTTCTCCAGCTGTTAACCTCATTTAACCAAGCAGGTTAGCAGTTTCTGGCTTTGCACTGGCATAAAGAGTACGCATTGTAATAGCCCCTAAGAGTGGAAGCTGTGTCTGTAGTGGCCCAAACTAGGCATCTTCAGATAGTCAGTGGCTGCTTTGCAAGCCCCTTCTGCTGTGTGAACTCCAGAGGACCAAGGGCCAGCAAGGTGGGCCTGTCTTCTACTGGATCCTCAGCATCCGAGTAGATGATGCTCCTTCTTCCCCTTAAATGGTTCTCTTAGGCCAATCTATTATTTTGGGGGCTGCACAATTACTCTGAAAGCAAATGGGAAAAAAAGAGAGCTAATTGTTCAAGTGGGTTTTTAGCATACATTGACTGTACTTTCCTGACAAATGAATGCTAATCATGGGGAAGGAAGAGCTTTTTTTATACCTTTTGAGGTTGACACAGCGCACTCTCTGCAGGTACATTATTCCTAAGACAAACCACTTCTTTACTAGTAATGCAGATCTGGGCTCTAAGAGCTCTCAATTTCCCTTTTTCAAAAGCCCCACCTTTAAAAATGTCATCACCAAAGCTACCAAAGCTACCTCAACTATGGCACAGTCCCATATATGTACTTTGGGTAACTGTCCTGAAAAGAGGTGATTTTCTGAGGCTGTTTCTTATACATTCCAGGGCCAAACCAGGAAAGCTGGGTGCAGCCCTTCAGAGGCCCACTGTTGTGGTGGAAGGAACATAGGCCTCACTGCCCGACCCCTAACCCTCTCTGCAGGTCCACAGGCCTCTCTCTCTTCACAGGTTCCCGCCAGGCCTCTTCCTCCTGCCTCAGTTCCCCCGTGATCTCCTGCTGTCCCCACCTCTGCAGATCTGATCTCAGGACAGGTTCTGATACCATCCAGTTGAAAAGTAATTAACCAAAACCACTTGTGCTCCTTATCTGCCCTCAGCAACTAGCTGGGGGCAGAGCCAATGGACGAGCTCAGGTGACAAATGTGAACCGAATCAGAAAACAGATGAGAATAGCCCTTCCAGTATGGTGCTGATTGCAGGGAGGCACAGGGGGCCTCTCCTCGAACTCTGTAAGTCATTTTGTAAATTTAAGTTTAGGGGACCACGTGCTCAGCCTCCCTGGGGCATGTGGTATCCCTATGATGTGAACCAAGGTTATAGGTCTGAATATGAGCTATTGTGCAACCAGGTGATAGAGTCATTATAAAGAAGTAGTCACACATACACTGAACTCTATGTGAGAGAGAGAGGGACCAAGTGACCCAACTGTAAACCCTCCACACTGCAGAGTTTGTCTACAGCACTGCAAAGTCAGGAAAATATTGTTTAGCTGAAGAACAAATGTCCATTAATGGGAAGGGCAGGAAACGCTGGGGGCCATAGTCCTTGACACTCTCCCCGTACCCAGCAGGAGCACCTGTGGGCGCCAGTGAGCACCCCTCCCTGACACCTGGACCTGCCCCCAGTCAGCCTTGCGGGGATGGGCTCGCGCCTGCATCCTGATTGCCTGCTGTAGCCAAACAGCGCCCTTCCTTGCTCCAGCTTTCAGCAGCCTGATGTAATGCTGGCAGCAGGAAGTTCTCATCCGGAGTGTTTTTGTTTGTTGTGCTTCCTCAGGATTTCCTTGGATCTGGAGACCCCAAAGAAACAAAGATGCTAATCACCAAACAGGCTGACTGGGCTAGAAATACCAACGAGCCCAAAGCTGCTGTGGAGATGTACATCTCAGCAGGAGAGCACGTCAAGGCCATAGAGATCAGTGGCGACCATGGCTGGGTTGACATGTAGGTTTTCAGTCCCTGCCCGAAGAAGCATTTGACAGCCTGTCATGTCAGGTCAGCTCTTGGTTTTGGCTGACAAGGGAAAAATAGTGTTTCTCTAAATATCTAATCCAAATGTGATAGTGACTAGGTTTCAGGGAGACACAGATTAAATGAGACAGTCGCTGCCTTTGGGGAGCTTAGTGAGTCCCTGGGGGACAGGGTGGCCGGGAGTGGGGAGCAGGAGACACCAGGCATTGGGATTGGGGCTGCCATTCCCTGAGCCCCACTGTGAACCAGGTGGTGCAAAGCTTTGCAGGTATGTGGTTCTCCCTACCACACCCTAAGCGTTGGTGTTTCCATGAGGAAACCAAGACTCAAGGGCCATGTGACTGCACAGAGCCAAACAGCTGGGTGGTCGCGGAGCTGAGCTTCAAACTGACATGGCTGATCTCAGTGCCCATGGCATGTATAGTGGTAGGAATGAAATAAGAACAAGAACAGTTCTGAGCGTCTTGGGGATGGAGACATGAATCCTCAGGGGAGGAACTGTGGGGCCTTCTCCTGGGAGGTAGTCTGTGCATGCAGAGCCTTGACAAGTTTCAGGAGGTGGAGATGGGAGGAAGTGGAAAGGCATGTAGGCCAGAAGATCAGCACAGATAGCATGGGTGGCTGGGACAAAAGGTGTAGGAGTGGGAGGGTGATGGACAGCTAGCTGCAGACGGGGCTCCAGGCTGGCCACACTGGGAGATTCATCCAAATCTCACTAGCAGGTAGACCAGGGAGCTGGCTAGCGTGGCAGACCAGGGGCAAGGGTGGCTGAGGGAATGAAAGATATGGGAGAGCCAGAAGTGACAGGACCCAGCTGGACAGGGTGGTGGGGTGAGGGAGGTGAAGGCCTGTCTGAGCTCTGGCCTGGAGGTTGGTCATGCCACTCTCCAAGGCGGAGAGAGGAAGAGGAGTGGGCTTGGGGTGGGACAGCGCTGAGAGGGGACAGAGTCTCAGGACCCTCCCGGCATCAGACGTCCAGGGGGAGGGCTTTCGTTTCCCATAGGCAAGCGGGCTTCATGCTTACACATGCGAGCACAGATTTTGCCCCAAATAATTCTTTCACGGAGAAAGCCACATAGTTAGGGCCTTGCTCGCTCTCGTTTTTCACATCACTTTCATTTGTAACTGATATGCATAGGTTACCCTGGGGAAACTTAAATAGCTCAGGAAAGAGACACTCAGCATGTTTTGTCCCCTTTCCAGGTCTAGCTGTAAAAGGCTCCTCTCCTCGAGGGACATTCACTTTGATGGGGGGTGGGGGTGGGGGGCCTAAGGGGTTGCCTGTGCCACTTTTCCCTAAAAATGTGTCCTTTCTCTGCTGAGAAGTGTTATTTTTAGATGCCATTATTATTCTAAGTACAGATTGACAGGCCTCCCTGAGCTTGCCTGTCCCTGAGCCGGGATCTGTTACAGCTGCTTCCCCTGCCTTTCTCACAGAGAGCAAGCTGGCTAGAACCCCTTTCCCCTGGGAGAGCTGGCTTTACTCCAAACCCCAGCCCGACCAGAGGGAACAGGCATGCTCCATCCAGCCTCCATGCCCCCCAAGTATGGGAGGGCCTGTTCCCCTGGGAAGAAGTGGTGAGACAGTGGTCTTGGGCCCCTCACCGAGGCCAGCGCCTTGGCCAGAAAGAGAGGCACCGTCAAGATTTCCTGCAGGCTTTTTGTTCTGAGCCCAGGGCAGACCCCGCACATTGCTCTTCCCCTAGAGAGCCTGTCGCTGACTGAATTCTCACACCTCTGTCTCTATTTTCCTTTAAGAATTCCTGAAACAGTGTGGAAAGAGCCCCTGCCGCTTCCTGGCTACAGGGTCTTGGGCAGGTTGCCTCACCTCTCCTAGCCTTCAGTCTTCTTGTTTGTGGTATGGGACTAATAGTAGCTCCTCATAGAACAGTGACGATCCAGTGAACTCACACGGGTGAAAGCTCCTGGCAATGTGCTTGGCACTAGACTGGGAGGTGAAAGTAGACATTCATTCCTATCTCCACAGCCACTGCCTAGATGAGTAACTGCTGGAGGTGGGGGGACAGTGTCCTTTAGCAGGCAGCCTCTCCCGGTCACTAGGCAACTTCTGGAGTACGTAGTCACTCATTTATAACCACGCAGGGAGCACTGAGGCCTGGTACCACGTGGAGCACTGGGCTTATCAGTATGAATGGACACAGAGCCTCCCTGCAGGAGACCCAAGTGCCGTGGCACTTCTTTCTGTCAGGCTTCCCCCATGGGAGTCCATCTCCTCTCCCTGCTCTCACCTCTCCAGATTGATCGACATTGCTCGAAAGCTGGACAAGGCTGAGCGGGAGCCCCTGCTGATGTGTGCCCACTACTTCAAGAAGCTTGATAACCCTGACTATGCTGCCGAGATTTACCTGAAGATTGGCGACCTGAAGGCCTTGGTTCAGCTGCACGTGGAGACCCAGCACTGGGATGAGGTGAGGGCAGAGCATGCCTCATGGGGCAGGGGCCTAGGCCTGAGCCCTGGGTCACGCAGGTTTGGATAGGGAGCAGCTGCCCTCATTGTGGGCATAAACATTGGGCTGGCAGTCAGGAGATGCCCTTGAATTCTCTGAGCCAGAACATCTTGAAGGGATTTCTGATACTAGCTTTCCATTTATTCGTTCATTCATTGATTCCGAAGAGCTTTATGGACCGCTGGCTTTGTGCCAGCCTGTGATAGCCATCAGCGCGGTGGGTTAACACAGCGGTGCTCAGTGTTTGCCGCTCATTTGAGCTGCCTCTGACCAGCACCGCAGGCTGATGCATTGCTGATACAGACACACACCTGTGTGATATTTAAAACCTGCTGGTGGCATTTTCTGCCAAAGTGCCCCCCATACTTTCCAGATACAGGCTGCTAGAGCCATTTTAGGGGCCTGCTCCTCCTCCTCCTCCTTCACCACCTGCCCCCAGACCTGAGCTCCTATGGCTTGAGGGGCAGGTGAAAAGAACTGGCCAACAGCAGAGATGCTGGGATGAGGCTGGCAGAAGCAGCTGACATGCTGCCCCCTCTGAGGCTTGACTCTCACCTGTCAGCTCACTGGCTACCTGTGCCCTGGATTGCAGTTCATCCCCAAGAGTATTAGAGGCTGTGCCTGTGGGCCTCCTGGCTCCCCCCACCCCCTCCATCCCACCGCCGCTGCTGCCCACTGTGGTCGAGTTTACAGAGCCATAGCAAGGCCTTCTCTGGGAAAGAGCTGTCGATCTGACTCTTGTCTCCCCTCTGAGTGGCTCCACTTGGTGAAGTGACAAGGTCATTGATGAGAAAATGTGGGGCCAGGGACAGAGGCAGTAATGGCTTCTCAAGATAAATTTGTTAGGAGATTTTTCAAGCAGCATAAATCAGAACCACTCAGTCCTGGCTGTGCATCAGGCAAACTTTCTCCCTGTTACCACATGCTGACCCCTGTGACTCATTTCCGGTTCTCCTGGCTGGACAGGTGGTTCTGGGGCTTAGATAAAGCAGTTCCTGGTCCCATTCAGCACCAAGTACACAGTCAGTTTTGACAGCTAATAAGCAGTGACGATGATAATGTCAATTCTGTTTCCTTAGGTGTTGCCTACAATTAAAAGAAATCTGTTTGCAGCCCTACAGGCGCCCACGCAAACCCTCAAAATAAAATGTTTCCGATTCTGTGCCGCTTCTGTGGTCCAGAAACAGACTGTGTTGTTATTGAATCCAGTCACTTGCATATTGCTGTTAATTGCCTTTTGTTTTCAAAGAGCTGATTTGTTTTTGCATTTCTGGGGGTGGTGGTAGGGGGAGGCACTCTCCCCCTCTGAGTTGTCAGGCTGGCCAAATATGACATCTCTGATGGACTCAGCCAAGTGCCATGTTTTTATGGGGGCTGTGAGGGCTGCTTTATTAAGAATGCATTTACTCCTTCCTCTAGGCCTTTGCTTTGGGCGAGAAGCACCCCGAATTTAAGGATGACATCTACGTGCCGTATGCTCAGTGGCTAGCAGAGAATGATCGTTTTGAGGAAGCCCAGAAAGGTAGGTCACGTGGACTGGCACTTTGCCAAAGGAGCAGGAGAAGGCACTGCCAAGACACACATTTCATCCCCTCTCATCATAGGTCCCCAGATCATAGGGGCTGTGATGTGTTTAGTGGGGAAGGACTGGGTAGGAGCAGAAAGAACATGGGCTTCAGAGTTGTGTCCGTCACTCACTTGCCTCAGGACCTTAGGTTGGTCCCATCTCCCTGAGCAGAACATGTGCACTCAGATGTATTTCCCTGTTACTCCTCACCACAACCCTCTGGGGTAGATACCGTTTCATAGATGAGTAAACCAAGATCGGAAGAGGTGAAGGGATTCGCCTCAAGTCCCACAGCAAGGAAGTGGCAGAGACGAAATTCAGGCCAGGATGGGGTAGAGACTAAATGAGAGACCTCCCCTGCCACTTTTCTTTACCTCCAACAAAAACTTGAGTTCTGTTTCTGGCCCAGATAAACAAGGTGTCCTCTGCTGCTTGACATTTCCATTGGTAGAATGGGCTGCCCACCAGGTATGGCAGTCTCTGAAACAACAGCAAAAGAAAGAATAGAACTTTAACTGGTAATAATAGTTTTAACATGTGACTGCCTTCTCTGTGTCAGGCACTGGCTGGGCACTACGACATAACCTTGCATCTCGCCAGCATCCCTGAAGAGACACAGAGGTTAACTGTGCCCTACAAAGTCACAAAGCCAGAAAGTGGCAGAGCCAGGATTGGACCAGGATCTGTCTGCCTGGGGAACCTGATTCTTGACTAGGTTTTGCTGCCTCTTTGGGAAGTGTTCTAATTGCAGCAGGGTGTGTCCTATTCCATAACATCTCATTCACACTTCTATATGGTAACAGTTGCCACCTCCGGACACATTGCTGAACACATGTCTCCTTGCTGGAGCTCCTCAGCTCAGAGCCCCCACTGAAGGACAGTGTGTTCTCTACTGCTTCAGCATTTCCAGAGCACCCAGTTGCTGAAGTATGTGCAGGTTTGGGCAAAATACATCAACCTATCCATCTGTCTGTGTCTGCCCTTCCAAGAATCCATCGCCATAGTAACTTGGTACTCAGACAAGAGATTGGAGATGAGATTCGAACAAAGGCCAGACCTTTTCCTTCTTGAAAGCAGAAGATTTGGATCATTTGAGTGCCCGCACATGGGCAAGTGTCACAGCTAGAGGTACTTCCCTGGCAGCCTCCAACATCCCTAGGGGCTGGCCACATAGTAGGGACTCTGGAAAGTTCAGTTAAATGGAGATAGGAATGATTGAGAGAATCTTTGCTTATGCTCAGGAATGCTTGGTTGCTGGAACTGAGCTAGATTTTTCAAGGCTGTCATCACAAAGCTCTCAGTTGAAGATACACCAAGATCTTGAGTTGGGCTGATTCTGTGACCTTGGGGTTTGCCACTTCACCTCCCTCCTGAGAGCCTGTTAAAAGAGCCTTCATAAGTCTGTTGTGACTCTTCATTGAGGTAATGAGTAACAAAAGCACTTTGTAAACCACCAAGCCCATTACAGTGCCACCTGTTAGCATCCCCCTGGGAGCCACAAAGCCCTTGGAGTGGCGTGGCGGCAAATCCAGGGGTCTGCTGCCCTGGAATTGAGCACGGCTTTCCTCAGGTTTCACTATGCCTTTCCAAAGTCGGTTGCCTTTTCCCAGCCAAAAAGGAGTATATCTCACTGTACTTTTTTCAGGATGTAGCCTCGGTTATTTTTAGTCTTCGGCCTGAGGTGCGTGTCCCAGCAGTGAAGTGCTGCGGCTGCTGCGATGAGTGTCCTGCTCCCGCAGCCTTGCCTCTGACTCCGAGCTGTGCGTGCTTGTGTGCCCCTGCAGCGTTCCACAAGGCTGGGAGGCAGGCGGAGGCCGTCAGGGTGCTGGAGCAGCTCACACACAATGCCGTAGTGGAGAGCAGGTTCCGCGATGCGGCCTATTATTACTGGGTGCTGTCCATGCAGTGCCTCACTGTAGCTCAAGGTGAGTAAACATCAGCTGCTTGAGACTGCTGCTTCTCTCCGGCTCCTCTCTGGCACCAAGATAAACATCGAAAGAGCTGGACGTTTTAATGAAAGCCCTGGGCTTATGTATTGGGTGTGCTGTCCAGAACTCCGTCTTGTAGCAGTGTAATCTGGCGGGTCATCTTTTTCCAGTTTGCCCATAATTTTAAGGATGGCATGAGGGCTGTCCTGGGGTATGGTTGGGAGCTCCTGCCCAGTGTTGCTAATTCAGAATGTATCTCTCCCTTGCTACCCGGGGGCCCATAACTGGAGCTGGGTGAATGTGGTTTAAAAAAAATTTAATTAAAAGATGAAAAAGAGATCACTTCACAATAATGCTGTTCAGATCCTCACTCATCTCAGACCAGAAAACCATTGCAATGTTGCTTTCTTCCCCGGGCCTTCCCATGATGTGCTGAGGGAGTCCTGGAAGCAGAGGGGATGGGGATGTTCTTCACTGGACAAAGGCCTGCAGGCTGGGGTGGGAAAAGCACTGGCCCCGGAGGCAGCTAGGTACCTTGTAACAAACAAGCCACAGCTCTTCCCTAAGCTCTACCTCCCTGTGGGGTGGGGGTAATCCTGCCCTGCTTCCTTCCTAAGGCTGTCTGAGCCTCACAGAAGCTGTGGTTATATTTGCAAACTGTCAAGTCCAAGTGGAAGGTGCCATTTTTTCTGTTCTGGCCAGTGGGCTGTGCATTTGATAAGGAATAACAAACACACAGGAAGAGGCTTGAGATGAGCATGAATGAAGTTGCCATCTGCCCACCCTGCCCACCAGGTGCCTTTGGCATGTCTGAGTACTAGCAGTCACCCTCTTGCTGCAGTTGTCGCTCCCACCCCCACCATCCCAGGGGCATGACCTGCTTGGGTATAGCCGTGATATCCGGAGGACCTGTGGGAAATGTCCTCAGACTGTTCCTGGCCACGTCACCTGTCTCCGGATGGCCCCAGCCCCGACATAGAGCGCCTTTCCCATCCCCGCACTCTGCTGCCCTCCCCTCTGTAGGCCCCGTGTCGGGGGAGAACTGACACAGGCAACCATGCCCTTGCCTCGCCCTTCCTTCCAGACACAGTTTGACACGTCTTCTCCCTCCTGCCCTACCCCCCACCCCTGCACACCACAGATCCTGCCCAGAAGGACACTATGCTCAGCAAGTTCCACCACTTCCAGCACTTGGCTGAGCTGTACCATGGCTACCATGCCATTCAGCGGTACACGGTAAGGTGGCTGGGAAGGGGTGCCTGGTAGGGATGCTGCCTACTGAGCTAGGGGCACTGAGCTTGTCCAAAAGAGCAGCAGACCTCTGGATGAAAATGAACCCACTGGTCAGGGTGACCTGCTGAGTAATCCTGGTCTCCTGGTACACAAAATTTGGAACTTGGATTTCCCTTGATTGGCTCTTTGACATAGAGTGAGCTGTGGGCCTCTGAACTGGCAAGTCAGAGCTAGGATGGGCCTCTCCAGTTGCCTGCTTCAGGTTGGGATGACTTGGCAGACCCTGGGTTAGCCAGACAAAGTCCTATCACTAAAATAATCAGCATAGATATTCCACGGGGACCTCTTTTCTAGATGGGTGAAGGCCCAGCTCTAACCGAAGGCCCCAGGTGCCTCCCTGGCCCAGCTGCTGACTTGCTCTGTGACTCGAGCCATTTGCTTCCTCTCTCTGGCCCTCAGCTTATTTCTCTGTAAAACAAGAGGGTTGGCTTGATCTCCGGAGACTCAAATAGGTCTTTTTAGCCACTCCCTGGTTCTTTTGATTAAGTCATTTTAAATCTAGCTCCTGATATTGGGGAATAGGTGACAGGTTGTTATCAACCTGCTCATTTTGTGGGTCCTCAACCACTCAACAAACGTTGATTAAACTACAAGGTGAGCCTCTCTTGTGCTGCTCAGCAAGGGGGACAATATCAATAATGAACTTTTATCGAGCACTTACGTCACACATACCGGGCAGTGTGCTGAGGGCTTTGTTATATCAACTCAGTCAGTCCTCAAACCTTGCAAGATATGTGTTATCATCCTCATTTCACAGGTAAGGAAACTGAGACTCTGGACAGAGGCCTTCTATTGCTAGGATTGGCACCCAGCCTCTCCCTGACCTCTGCTCTCATGGGAGAAGGCAGACCCCTGGCCTCACTTGCCGGCTCTGCCACCTGCCCTTGGGCAGGGTGTATACCTTCCTCAGTGCCTCTCTTCTTCCCTGCAGGATCGGGGTGCTGACAGTATCTACTCGATGGGGTGGTTGTGAGGGCTAAATTAGTTCAAAATGGAAAAGCACTTGGAGAACGCCTGGCACAGTGACCCTAGATGACTGTCAGCCATTCCTGTGCCCCGTGCAGAGGCTTCAGACCCAGTGCCCATGGGCCTGCTCCCCCAGAGCAAGCCTCTCACAGTTCTTTGACCATCTCAGAGGCCCTGCCTTCCACCCGGGGCATCTCTTCCCCTTCCTTGGTGCCAAAATCTCAGCACATTCTCTGCCTCTGGGGAAAGCCTGGCAAGAGAGACTCCTCTGGTCAGCTCTGCCTGGACCAGCTGTCAGTCCATCCCCACACCAGGGCCAGCCTCAAGGGGCCTCACCTTGCCTTACAGTCTTTTCAGGGCCCCTCTTCTCTATCAGATGCTCACCTGGAAAGAAGCCACCCAGAAAAGACCCCAAACTCAACTCAGGCTTGGAAGTCAAGACCGCAGCTCAGCCTTGATTTGCCTCAGCCACCTTGGAGCCCAGCTCTTCCTCTTGCTCTTTGTCTTCTGGTCCGTCTGCAGCCACGGGCTCTCCTTTATGTCACATCTAAGCGCTGCTCCAGGACCTACATGCCGCTGTGAGCTTGTGGCAGCCCCACGCCAGCAGAGGCTTTGTTGGGCCATTCGACAGATGCCTACTGTGTGACAGCCCTCTGCCAAGGCCATGGGACACAGTGGTGAACAAGACATTGTCCCTGTCCCTTAGGAACTCACAGTCTAGGAGCTTCCTTCTTCCCTCAAGGGAGAAACTTAGAGGACGAGGGAGACTTCGTAGAGGAGGTGATCCCTAAGCTGAGAGGAGGGAGATAGTAGGAATGGGACAAGTGAGGAGGAGGCAGAAGAAAGACATTCCTGGCCAAGGAACAGACTGGAAAGGGAGCCTCAAACCTCTGCTGAGATAATGGCTCCTTTCCCAGCGGAAAGGTGCTAATCCCAAAGACTCCTCACCCTACTCTGTTCTTCTGGGCTACTTCTAGCTTCCATACCAACTGGAATATAACCAGAGGCAAGGCTTCTCCCTGGCTCTCACCCAGAAAAGGATGCAGTCTCATGTTTTCTTGGGTTATTGGAACTAACAAAGGCTATAGAAATTCAAGTGAAAACTAAAGAGAGAATACTGGGCTCAGAATCAAAGAAGAAGTATAAAGTGAGTCCTTATGAATTTAGGCCAGTTAGGGCCTACGTCGTGGTGACTCAGTGATGAGCATAGCCTAGCAATTAGGAAGCACCACTCAAGGAGGAGGGGTTGCTGCCTGCTTTGGTTTGCACACAGTATGCCAGATTTCTTCAAAATACAGTGTTCTTAACCTTTTATGGATCCCTTCTGATAGAAAATCCCCTATGGTCTACTGTGCTAAGCTTCCGACAGCCTCTAGGTACAGGAGATCTATTCATTCAACTAATGGATGTGGAGTGCCTGTCTGTCAGGGCCTGAGCCAGGTGCTGGGGGTGCAGGGCTGAGCAGCTGAGGAGCGCCACCGCATGTGCACGTTTGGTGGGCGTCAAGCAGTCAGGCTGTTGGACCACAGAGATGAGGCATGTGATTTCATGCTAGAAGGGGTTAACTGCCTCTGTTTATAGGCATGCTACATCGTGGCCATGTACTAAATTGCATAAAAGGTCTTCTCTTTTAGAGCTAATTGGAGACAACTTGAGGTCAGGGAAATGAAACCATTACCAACCCCAGAGGGAGTGCAGCTTGGGAGAAAGACGTTCTTGGGTTTTACAATTAGACCTGGGTGTGAATCCCAGCTCTGCTCCTTTCTAGCCTGCTGACTTGGGCAAATGATCTCTCTGGGCCTCAGTTTTCTCATCAGTACAGTGAGGATAAAAATGCATCTCTCAGAGGATTGTGTTAAAGACCACATGAAGCAGTGATATAAAACTCCCAGCACACAGTAGGTGCTCAGTAGGAGGATTCACTCTTTTTATTGCAATAATTCAAAGTGACTGGTGTTGGCCTTTTGATCTGGCCCAGCAGCTACTCAGCTGAGGAATTCCATCCCTGTTTGCTTTTCTCACTGCAGGAAGAACCGTTCAGTTTGCATCTTCCCGAAACCCTCTTCAACATCTCCAGGTTCCTACTGCACAGCCTGACCAAGGACACCCCCTTGGGCATCTCTAAAGTGTATCCTTTCTCTCCCCCAACCCTCTGTCCCACCCCAGTAGTCTAATGGCCCCTGAGAATTATTTCCAGAGCACTTTACTGGCAGAGCCCTCCCTCTCTCCAGCAGCCCTTAGGGAAGAGAAAGAGCTAGCTTGCTGCTGCTGTTTTGCTGTAGAAGATTCTCAGCCAGAGAGGCCAGAGGGCCAGTGCCAAGAGGAGATGAGTTTTCAGGGCTTTCTGGGCTGGGCCCAGCAATGGATCTCTAGCCGGCACTGTCCAAGCCCGCCCTCCCAGAACCACAAATGAGGGTGTGACTGAAATAGGAAGTACCAACTCTTAGGGCTTGGAATCTTGGGTGCTTCCCTGGAGAGGAGATGGGGGAGAGCTTGTTCAGCCCAGGTGGACGGAGCACCTGTGGATGGAGCGGGGGCCAGGCACTACGGGACAAAGAAGGGGAGGTGAAAAGTGTCAGGGCTTGGTTCAGTGGGATGTGTGCTGTGTCCAACGGTGGAATACAGCTAGGGTCAGGGCCATGGGGTCAGGGAAGGCTGTCTGGAGTAGGTGAGATCCATCCATAGGCTGAAGTGACCAGGGAAGATGGTTGAGTAGGTATTCCAGGGAAACACAAGACACAGAGACAAAGTGAGCATGGTATTTGGGAGGAGACGAAGCTGGCCCCAGATAGGAGCCAGGCTGGAGAGACAGCAGCCTGAGGCCTCCCTGTGAATTGACCTCTTCTTCCCTGGCCAGTGAGGGACACAGTGGGGCTGTAAGCAAAGAAGGGGCCTAAGGGCTTGTGCTGCAACAAACTTCAGGAAATGACCCAAATCTTGAAGATTCTGAAAGTCACAAGAGTTATAATCATGCCCTGTCCTCTTCTAAACCTCACTGTTCTCAGACCCTTCCCAGCTCCAACCCCACCCTCTGTCTGTGAGGGAAAGGTCCTCCCAGGAAAGGGCTCAGAGGTGCTGCTTGGTGAGAACTGGCTGCTTCCAAGGGTGTCAGGCCCATCATTTGCATTTCAGAGGAAGTTCCCCCAAATCAAGTGATACCTTCATTGGCTGACACCCCTGCAGAGGAGTGGTCACAACCATAGTTGTGAGCCCTCAGAAGGTGCACTCAACCTTTCCAGCAAGTTCTGTTCAGGTCAGCAGAGTTTGATTGGACCCCTACCCTGAGCTTCACCCTGTACTGTCCACTGGGGACCTTGAAAAGGCTCCTGACCTAGTTTCTGACTTGGAGGAGTCACAGTGAGACACAGACAAGGAAACACCTCCAGATGACTGCTGGGGTAGCAGGTACCACACCAGAGGCATGGAGGCAGGAGCATCCGTGGGGAGAGCAGGGAGGAGGAGGGAGCTTGGGCCCACAGGGTTAGCTGAGGCTGCCAAGGAGAAGTGGGAAGGGTGTTCCTAGGCAGGGGAGGGGAAGGAGGGAAGCCTGGGCCTGCCCAAGGACAGCCAGCATCGGAGATGACTATGGGAGATCAAGAACAAAGGCTTGGCCGTCACAGACTCAGGAGCTCCTGGGAGGGCCTCAGAGAGCCAGGGATGCTGCCACTCAGAATGGCTGTGGCCTTGGTAAAGCACAGGTAGCGAGCAGAGCTCTGCACCCAGGGGACTTTGTGAGCTGACCTGGGGTGGCTTCCAGGCAGTCAAGGACAGGCTGTATCTGGTGGGGCTGGAGCAGGAGGGCACTAGGTGCCAGGCATCATGGGGCCTGGCTGGCAGGCTGGATGAGGCGAGGGAGAGTCATTTTGGCTAGGTCAGGGTACAGGATGAGCCATCAGCACAGTCAGGGAACCTAAGCTAGGTTAAAATATTAATGGAAGCTGCACTGTCTGTCTCTGGAAAAATCCTTGGGCCTTGACATCCGAGAAATACACTTGCATCCACAAATGATCAGGGCAGTCCTCAGGCTCCTGCCCATGCCCTCCTGGCACCAGCACAAGCTCTGGTCGAGCACACGGTTCACCCCGAGGGTAGGCAGTGCCAGCTCACAGGCCCCAGGTGGCCTCTGCTGTCCTTAACCCTGTAATTGGCAGGAACACGCTCTTCACTCTGGCCAAGCAAAGCAAGGCCCTGGGTGCCTACAAGCTGGCCCGGCATGCCTACGACAAGCTGCAGGGCCTGCAGATCCCTGCCAGGTTCCAGAAGTCCATTGAGCTGGGCAGTCTGACCATCCGCTCCAAGCCCTTCCATGACAGCGAGGTGAGGGCACTCCCCCCTCTGGGTTTCCTCCTCCTCTTAGATGTCTCTTGATACCTTCTTACCCAGCCTGGGTTCCCTTTGAAAGGTGCCACTCTGCTCTTAGGGCTCTGCCCTCCTCCCCTGCCCAAGCCATGGCTTGTCAACTCATTCTGCTCCTCTTTGTCCACCTCCTCTCTTCTCCACTCAGCCTGCTGTGCTCTGGCTGCAGCCCCGGCCCCCTAGAGACCCAGAGCCCCACCCTCCCTCACTTCCTACCTGAGGCTCTGTCTGTCATGGCTCTACCCACGCTGCCCTGCCCAGAGGGTTACCAGCATGCCCAGAGGGCCCGCCTTCACTCACTGGAGGAGCCCCCACCCACTTCTGGAACCAGGCTATTGCTCCCCAGCAAATCCACCCCACACATCTGCAGCCTGGTCTCTGCCCCCTCCCTCTCTCCTCAGCCCAACCAGCCACTGTCTCCTGCACAATCCCCTCCTGCAAGCTCAGCACAGGCCTGGGTTCAACTCCTAGCTCCACCATTTCTTAGCTACACTTCAATCTTTGGGAGCAGCAGTTTCCCCCCCGTCAAACGGGAACACCTATGATAGCTGTCCACCAGGTGGCTGTGGGCATACATGAGCCACACAGGTCGTATGCTTAGCACAGAGCCTGCCTGCTCCTAGTAAGTGGCTGGTACATGGTGGCTACCATTGTCATTCCTGTCCAAACAGTGCTACTGAGTCCAGCTGTGAGGAGGCGTCTGGGGCGGAGGGCAGGGACGTGTGCCCCCCAGCCATACCCATTTGGCCCGTGGGCAGCTGTGTTGCTTCTGTTTGTAGGAGCTGGTACCTTTGTGCTACCGCTGCTCCACCAACAACCCATTGCTGAACAACCTGGGCAATGTTTGCATCAATTGCCGCCAGCCCTTTGTCTTCTCTGCCTCTTCTTATGGTGAGTCCCACACACGTGGACAGGGTAGCCACTGAATGGCTGGGTTCCTTTCACTGCTTATTGACCACATGTGTCCTCATCTGTGAATTGGGGTCAGTGTGATACCCATCCTGCCTGATGCACAGTCACTCAGGGTTCCCAGAGACGGGGCCAGTGCTGCCTGAACCTGAAGTACTCACACCTCAGAACCCAGTGGGGTGCTTTGCATAACAGAAGTGGCCCCGCAATAGAGCCCTCTGGTCAGGCATTTGGTCTGGGAGGCTTAGAGGGCACCTAAGTCCCAGGTTTTTCATGTAGACAAAGGACCAGAAGCCCCTTTGCAGCAGTTGGGCAGAGGCCTCGCCTCTTTCCTGGAAAGGATCCCATCCAGCTATTAGGGGGAATAAAGAGGGATGAAGACCCCCAGTTCTCAGCCATGTGCACATGCACACACACCCGCTCACCCCTGCTTGCTTTCGGGAGGCCTGTCGCTGGGTGAGGAAGGTGCTCTGTGATTCCGCCTCGCCTCCTGCTGCCTGGTGAGAGCTGCCCAGCCCCACCTCCTGCCCACACCGGGCTGGCCTGCCGGCCTCCAGCCCCACCCATGCCCTGTGCCCTTCAGAGGTGCTGCACCTGGTTGAGTTCTACCTGGAGGAGGGCATCACTGATGAAGAAGCCGTCTCCCTCATTGACCTGGAGGCACCAAGACACAAGCGTGAGAACAAATGGCAAGAGATCACGAGCAGCAGTATCCTGGGTGCTGGCTGGAGCCCTGTATGTGCCAGTGCAGGAGGTGCAAGGCAGGGGACCTTGAAGCAGGGCTGGCCTGGGAGGCAAGGGCATGGCAGCCCACTGCTGAGAGATTGGGGAGGCCCACGTGGGATCAGGGACGGGGGCCAGAGATGGGCAGAGAGCTGGCCCTGGGGCAGAGGTATAGGAGGGGGCAGTGCAGGCCCCCAGGCCTAGAAGTGGCATGTGGCAGACACGGGAGAGCCTCCTGCTCTCCCCTGGTGCCTAATAGGTGCTGTCTGCGCTTGGCCATGCAGATGGTGTGTCACGCCCGTGCTGGTGGCCCCAACTCTTCCATTCACATCCCTTTTATGGCCAGGGACAAAACCCACAACTCAGAGCAAACTGAAAGGTGTAAAGCCAGTTACAGAGGAATGCACAGCTGGATCTAGGTGCTCTGTGGGTGCTGGGAGAGGCTATCCCCTGCCTCCTGCCTCTGCTGGCCTCTGGGTGGCTTTGTTCTTAGGCAGCACCTGCCCCATCCCCCCAGCAGTGTCAACCCCACATCCCCTCAGCCTTGCAACCCCTCAGAATGTGCCAACACTCCTCCTAGTGTGTCGGCAAAATACCAGGGCTTGCCCTCACTGGAACACCTGGGGCCAAGGGCCACAGCTCAGTTTAACCATGTGGCCAGGGCCGTATTCATCAGCCTTGCTGAGCACAGGAGGGGGCCTTCTGCGAGTGAGTGTGCACACTCATTACCCGGGGCAGCTGGGTCGGCAGGTCTGGGTGGGCTGGAAGCCTGCGTTTCTGTAAGCTCCCAGGCAGTGCCAATGCTGCTGGTCTGTGGACCACACTTTGAGGCACAGGGAAAAGAGGAAAACCCAGTTGTTTGCTAAAGAAAGAAGACAGAAACCACATCTGCACACACACAGCTGCTTAGGCTGAGTTGTGGCTGCCATGCGGGGTCATGTCCTGTACCTGATTTGGTGCCAGCAGCCTCTGTTCCCTTGGGGTGGGCCATGTCATGGGAGTCCCGCTTCCCTGGCCCCCCACAGCTCCTCCACCACTGCCTGGCAGAGGGGATGGCGTCCTGGGCACCTTCCCTGAGTCTGGCTGGCCTTGGGATCTGGAGGCACTCTCACCCACTGCTCCATGAAATGTCACCTGTGAGGCCATCTCCAATGCCTACAGACCACCGGCAGCTGCTGAGACTTTTCTCCAGGAATTGCTGGGTTTGCTGACATGATTTCTGGCTAGGGCTATCATTTCTACTCCTACGCACACAGGCCTGCAGGCCTCTGTTCACATGATGCTTCCAGCCGGCAGGCCTTCATGAGCCATGCTGTGGTCTGTGTGGGACAGCAGAGGGCCAGTCAGACCCTTGTCCCTCCTTTCCTGCTGTGCATTGGGGTTTGCGTTAACCATCACCAGGGCTGTCTCTTTCCCACTGCCATTCCCTCTATTCCTCCACCTGGAAACCTGCTCTACTGTTTGCCAGAGCCCGGATAGAGCTCCTGTGAGTCTTAACATGTTGGGCAGAGGGTGGGGCCTATTTCCCGCTCAGCGTCAGGTTCCATCCTTGACCAGACCCCTCCAGATTCCCAGACTTTGAGGCTGGATGAGACCATGGACTCCATGGGAGATGATGACCCGTTCATGGCAAAGCTGAGCTTTGAGGTGAGGGCACCTCTCTAAGTGCTGAGGCACGCAAGGCCTGTGGATGGGCGGTCTTAGGTGTCTTCTGTTCACACTCCCTGGCATGAGGAGGAACTTGTTCCCTGTCAGGGGTGCTGGAGGAGGAGGGGGTGGGCACCCCATCACCAGAGATGACCAGCAAGGGCTATATGAACTGGCAGGCTTGCTTAGGTACCCAGCAGGGGAAGTCTCTGGGGTCCTCCCCAGCCACCCCCAAAGATTCTGGGACCATGACCCACATACATGTGTTGCCCATGGCTGAGTGAGAGCTCCAGTGCCCCCTGCTTCCCGCCTGCCCATTGAGCAGCAAGGCGGCTCGGAGTTCGTGCCCGTGGTGGTGAGCCGGTTGGTGCTGCGCTCCATGAGCCGTCGGGATGTCCTCATCAAGCGCTGGCCCCCGCCCCTGCGCTGGCAGTACTTCCGTTCTCTCCTGCCCGATGTCTCCATCACCATGTGCCCTTCCTGCTTCCAGGTACTGGGCCCTTGTCCCTCCTTTCCTGTAGCTTGTGGGTGGTTCCCAAATATCCCCTTGGGGAGCCTGGGCACCTGGGAAAAGCACAAGTGATCCCCCCAGTGGCCAAGACCAAGGCTTCAGGTTAGGAAAAGAGGCTGGGCTGTCCTCAGGCCCTCGCCTCTCGTCTGCCTTCCATGTGCTATCTGGAGGCAGCTGACCCCTGTGCTCTCTGCACCTGCCTTTCATCCAGGAGGGCTGGGCAAGTGTGGTGTGCCTTTGACCTTCATTTAGAAAAAGAGGGGCCTCAGACCCTTCTCAGCCTCCCTTCTCAGTCCTCAAAGATGTCCTGCACCTGGTGCTTCTAGCCCTGACTCACTGCCAAGTCACGTCCCCATGAACAGCAGTGGTCACTGCCAGGCTCGGGGCAGGCAGGCAGCCAGAGCTGTGGCTCAGGGGCATGGCTGTGTCTTCGCAGATGTTCCACTCAGAGGACTATGAGCTGCTGGTGCTGCAGCACACCTGCTGCCCTTACTGCCGGAGGCGCACGGATGACCCCGGCCCGTGACCCATGACCGTGGCAGCATGTCAGGGCTACCTGCTCCCTCCCCGGCTGCCTTGCATTCGGCTGCTCTATCAAAGAAAGGAAGAATTAAACTCTTAGCGTCTTCTGCCCAGATCAAGTCTGTATTTTAGGGAGGGGCCTTGTGCAACCACGGAATTCCTATTATGGCATTTTGTGCCTTGTAAATAGCACCAGGAGATGGAGAAGGGAATGTACATATATTTTCAAAGAAGAAAAATCTGTTACTTTCAGAAGGGCTCTTAGTTGTTCACAGCAGCCTGCTGGAGTCCACAGATCTGTCAGACCATTAACATGTACACTTTGCGAACAGATTGCCTCAATAATTACAAATAAAAGGGCTACTTATTTTCATCAGTGTCTGCATTTTAGCAAATCTTCATATTGTCTGCAACTTAATTTCCTTATGCAAAAGTGCACCTGTTTCTAATTTGATCTGAGAGGAACATTACGTTTGTGTGCTCTTAAAATTTAATCTAATTGAAATGGCAATATGGGAATGGGTAGGGGACCGGCTATTTTTTAAAATTTATTTTGGTTTAACGGGGCTCCATCTTGACAGGAAGATAAGATACCTGCCTCCAAAGAAGATGGCAAAGAGGGCGCCTCCCCATAGCTTCTGGAACCCACATCCTGCCGGCTAGGGCCAGGCCCCCTGCACCTGGTTCTGCTAGCCACACAGAGGCCCCAGCCCCTCCTGAGGCCCCCCCTCCCTCCAGTTCCTGAAGCCAGTAGGTTCCATTTGAGGTTCCCCTAAGGTCCCTTCCCCTGAGCATCAGCAGCGCCCAATTTGGCAGCTTGAGGGCAAGGGTGGGTAGCAGATGGGAAGCTGGAGGAGAACTGACACTTATTGGGGACCTTTCCTGTGCCAACCGTGTTTCATATGTTGTCTGAGTTCTCACATCGGCCCTGTGTGATTATGATTTCCATTCTATAGCCGGAGGCGCTGGGGTCCATGGTGCTCACCCAGTCCTGGGTGGGGAGCCCCTGATGTATCCTTCCCGGAGGCCTTCCCTTCGCACTCCCCTCTGCCTGCCCAATCCAGCGCTCTATGCAAAGTCCGGACATCAGGAGGAAGGGAACTGGGCTAGAGGGCAGAAAACACCTCCCTCATGATTAGATATTGGTACTTCACAGCTCATCTGTGAAGTGGGCAGAGTGGGACCAATGTCCCCACTGGAGGGACGCAGCCACTGAGGCCTGGAGAGGAGCAGCTACGTAGGCCACCCAGTGGTGAGTGTGGGAGCTGGGCCCCTGGCTTGCCCCTCGCCCCCCACCCCCTCTGCATCTCCCTTTAGAGATGATGGAGGAAAATAAAGAAAGGAAGGCAGACAGTTGTGCCAACAGAACTCCTCCGTTGAGTGTCTAATTACTTAGGATCACGCATGCTCTCTCTCTTGCTAAACATTTATTAATGTGTTAGGGTTTCCATTAGCGCATTACTTGAACTGAAATCATTTGCATATGGCTGGGAAAAAAACGGGTGAGAGAGAGAAAACAGCCCCAGCCACCCTCCAGGCGTCAATCACAGTGACAGATCAGATGGTCCGGGCTAGAGGCAGTGGGAGGGGGCCCAGCCCAAGACTCCAGCAGGCGGCTGCATCTTCTCAGCCGAATTACACACAAATAAGTTGTGCCGCACCCGGGTTCGGCTGCCCCGGGGAAGCTGCGCTCCGGAGGCCTGTGTCTGAGAAACAGCTGCCGTAGCTCCATTAAACCCAGCCAGCCCCCGCGCTAAGTACCTTGTGTGCAGTGCATCATCTTATTTAACCTTCAACAGCCTCCAAGGATGCCCGTTATGCAGATGCTGAAACAGACTCAGCAGCGTATGGATTCAACAAATATTTGTTGAGCCAAGACAGGACTCACACCCAGCACAGCCATTGCACCTGAGCATTATGTTCTGCTCTCCCGTCCCAACTTGGATGGGGTCTTGCCCAGGTCCATCCCCTCTTCAAGGCTTAGCTTCCCCCTGTGTACTAAAGGGCCTCTTCCAGCTCTGCCCTGAGGTTCAAGCCTCAGTCTCCATCTGATAATGTGGCGACCCCTCACTGCCATGAAGACACCACAGGGCGCAGCTCACTAAGGGGAGCCTGAGGCCTGGAGGGAGAAGCCCCTGCTGAAGCTGCACAGCTTAGAAGTGGTCCAGACTGCTGCTTGATCCTAACCTCGTCTCCAAGTCCTCAACACTGTACCCACGTTCTCGGATAGAAAAAGTAGGGAAGAGGAGTATTAGGTGTCCCAGAAAGAGCCCTAGGCCAGACCTTCAGTGGACCTGGATATAGCCTGACTTCAGCTAGCTGGGTGCCCCCATTCACCCCCAGCAAGGCTACCAAAGCTAGGAACCCCTTGTGGCTCTTGGACAGGTAAACAGGTACTCATTCTCTGGGGTTGCTGCCTATGGCAGACAGCAGGTGACCTTCCACTTGTGCCAGCCTAGCCTTTGGCGCAGGTGTGGGCCTCAGCAAAGAGGCCTGCACTGGGCGGGGAGCTCACCTTGGGCTGGACACTTCCCCAGTGTGCCTGGATAGCCCTCCATCCAGACTCCAGAACTTCTTCCTGGAATGAGAACCTGGTCATGCCCCTCTCCTGCTGGGAACTCTCAGTGCCCCCCAGATCCCCAGGCCTGCCCTTCTGTCCGTGCTGGCCCACACCCCCTGCCTAGGCTGAGGAGCCTCCCACCTGCCTCCTGGCCCCCATCTTGCTCCTCTGGGCCCCCACGGCACTGGGGCTGGGAGCAGATTCCCACTTCCCCTGGCTGCCCCCGAGACTGGGAGCTCCCGGAGGGCAGGGACTGTATAGGGTTCATCTCAGTGTCCCTAGCTCCCAACCCAGCTCTGGGCACATGGAAGATGTTCGACAAAGGTTGGGGGAGGACAGAACAGGGGAAGGAGGTGGGGGGAGGAGGGGAGGAAGGAAGTGAGGCAGGAGGAGAGGAAGGAAAGGGCGGGGAATTGTCTGTCTCCTGCCTTTCTTTCCCCTTGGCATTCCCAGCTCAGCCTAAGGCCTCCCTCAGCAGTGGTGACAGTGACAAGGCCAGGTGGGCTAAGCCAGTGAAGGGAGGCAGGAAGGAGGAAGATGGGGAAGCTGCTGAACCAGCAGCACCTCCACGCAGAAGCTTAAGAGTTATTTGTGCGTCGCCGGCTAAGACCCTAATCCTCCACAGCCAAGTCAGGGCCCTGCACCTGGGCTCGCAGGGGCCGTGCTCCAAGAAGCCAACCCCAGGACCGCCATCCCCGCCCCTCCCAGCTCCTCACAACTCATCCCCCACCTGAGCAGGGGGCAATTGCTCAGAAAGTCACCCACACCAGGGCCCAGCCGTCTGCATGCTCAGTGGCCCTCTATGGACCACCCAACACAGGAGATGAAAGAGCTCAGGCTGGGGGAGGGTGAGATGGCCCCGGTTCAATTCCAGTTCCGCAGAGGAACATCAGCTGTCAGAGGGAGAGGGCAGGGAGGCCTCACGGGGGCCAGGAGGAGTTATTCATTCAGTCACATCTTTATTGAGCACCACCTCTGAGCTTGAAAGCTCAGATGTGGCAAAGAACAGACCTGGCTGGCCCTGCGTTCTAGAGATAGATGGGCAATGGGCCGCCAGTCAGTAAGGGGACAAATAAGACTGGCTGATAGTGATAAGTACCAAGTGGGAAATGATTGTGATGGGGTGGAGCTCTGGCTTGTAGAGCTGGGGGCTCTACAAGGGCATGAGTTATAAGCTAAGACCCGAATGAGATTCAGTAAGAGGATAACTGTCAGCAGCATGCATTGATCACTTACAGGTAACAGAATAGGAAACAGAGGCCCAAGGAAGCGGGGGAGGAGGGGTACTGGGCTGCCCCCAGGCTGTGTGACCTCAGAGCCTCAGTCCGTGAAGGGGCCGTGCCTAACAGGAGGGAGAGCTGTGAAGCCTCAGTTGTAAGGTCTGAAGATCTATGAGCTGGGCCGTGGTGGAAAAACAGGTCAGGTTTACCCTGTAGACGAGGATCCCAGGGGTTTCCTAGTCCCACACTGAGGCTAGAGGGCGAGCGGGACTTCCCTGGGTCTTCAGGTGATTCAGAGCCACAGGCTAGAGTCCAGTGCTACCCCCTCCCGCTGGGGCTACCACTGCTGCCCCAGGCCTGTGTGACTTAGTCTGGCCACCAACCCGGCGCAATGCTTTCTTTGACATTTATACCATGGGGTGAATGACTGGTAGCCCTTTCCCAAGAGCTGTCTTTGGAGTGGGAGCAAGGTGTGGCCAGGCAGGTGATAGCCTGGGTTTGTCACGTGGCATGGACGACTCAGGGCCAGCTCTGGACCTCAGCCTCCCCACTTGCAAAATGCAGCAGGGAGAGTCAGAGTAGGTGACCTCTAATGACTTTCCAGCTCATTCCATGAGCCTGTTGCTCTGAACAAAGAGCATTTTTTGTTGAAAAAAATATTCTTTGTCATGCCTTACAGAACAGAGAGCACTGTGACCTCAGTGGTGCCTTTCATTCCCCATGACCACAGCCCTGTGAGGTGGGATTATTCAGCCCTCTTCCATAGGAAGAACCTGAGCAAGACAGCCCTGGCCCACCCTCGTGGGCTCACATTACCGCCCGGATGATGGACAAAAAACACAGGAACAAAACATGAATTAAGCCAGGGCAGGGCTATGTGGGCCCATCACCCCCCAGCTGGCTACCAGGGGCCAGCTCAGAATCACACCCTCCACCTTGACCTCGTTGACGTTGCGCTAATCACTGGGCCAAGCACCTTAAGTTGTGAGGGGTCACACCCCACCCGGGTCCCACCCCCCCTGCCTCCTCGCCCATCCACCAACTCGTGTTTCATCGGCCCTCTGTGCACAAGCCTTGACATGCCTAGGACGGGCCAGGCTGTGAAACCCCGGGGGAGCTGGAGGGAAGGGAGTGACTTTTCTGAGCAGACGGGTCTAGGAATCTCAGGCAGGAAGAGAGAGAGCTCAAGGGATGGAAGTCTTGGAGAGAAGGACACTTCCCTGACCAGCCCCTTCCACCCCCGAGATCTTATCCCAAACTCCACCCTCTCAGAGAGGCCTTCCTGGGCTGGGAATGGGTCACAGTCTCGTCCTGGCCGTCCCCTGGCTGTGGGCAGGAGTTTGGGCCTTTTTGTTCACTCTGCTCCCCAGAGCTGAGCAAGCGTGTGGAGCACAGCAGGTACTCCCTCCCGTTTGTGGCTGGTCAGTGGTCATCAAGCACCCCGGGCACTCCCAGCTCCCTGCCTCTTCCTGGGAGGTTCCATTGGCCTCCTTACACAGGTGGGGGAGCCAGTGAGTGTTGAGCCTCCATTTGCCCCCAGAACCTGTCCTCCTGTCCCGGGACCCACCCCTTGGAATCCAAGGCCGACTGTCCCAGCACGGCATGACCAGGCATCCCCAGACAGGCCCCGTGTGCCATGGTGTCCACCCAGTCCTGCCTCCAGGCTTGGCCTCCCCTTCACACTGGGGGCCCCAGGTGGCCAGGACCATGCCTGCCTTGCTTGCTGCAGTAATCCAGTGCCCAGCACAGCACCTGGCACACAGCCTGCCTCCTGGATGCAAGGCCTTGCTTCTGAACCCCCGAGAGCCTCTGTCTCCAACCTAGTCTGCTCACCACACCCTCCTCCCTGGCCCTCTCCTCCATCCTCAATCACTCCAGCCATTTTTGGGGGCATTTGAGCCACCTTTTTGCCCTGAGATATGCCAAAGCCAGGTTCCTTAGCTTGGTGTCAAGACCCAGCAGAGCTGGTCCGAGCCCAGGTACCGCTACACCCCAGGCAGCCTCCAGGCCCGCTCAGCCCTTGCCTCCACTCTGCGCTGTCATCCCCACTGGGCAGCCTGGCAAAGTGCTCCCCTCCCTCAAAGACCAAAACTTTGCTGCCCAGACACCTCCCCTAGGCAGGCAGTCCCTCCTCCTGGGCCTCAGGGAAGCCCCTCCCTGTGCAGGAATCTGCTTCTCCCACATCAGAGTCCTCCCCAGCCAGCAAGCCCCTCCTTTCCCCACCTTTATACCCCTACTAGCCTGCATGTAAGTGTCTGGTGAGCTAGGAAGTGGGTGCCTTGCATTCAAGAACTCACTGAGCTCTGGGGCTGTGCCGGGCTGAGTGTCTGGGGAAGGTCAACGCTAGCAGGGCGCCACCCCGACCTCACTGGGCTCAAAATTTGGCGAGATGGACTAATGTCAGGGTCTGGCACCTCAGAGAACCAGGAGGTGGCTTAGATGGGGAAGGAACACGCAAGGCGCTGGGGGAGCAGATGAGAGGCTGAACAGGTACCAGGGCCTCTGGCCTCTGGGAGCTCATGGCCCAGTCATGGGGAAGACAAGGCCAGCTGGCACTGAGGGAGGGGGAGATGGGCATGGAGTCCCAGTGCCAGGCCAAGCCGCCAGAGATTCCTGGGGGGCAGAAGAGTTGGGGGCGGGCCTCTTGCCCTTTCCCAGAGTCACCAGCACCTGCCCTCCCCAGCCCCAGGCCTCCACCTGGAGTCACCTTGTCCCCTCTTGGAAGCCAATTAGGAACCCCAGTTGCAGCAGTGGGGATTAATATGATTAATAAGGCCCCCAATCTCCCAGGTGCTGATTCAGCTAGGAGCTTAGGGAAGAGAGGTCACTTTATAAGGGCCTGGGGGGGGTCAGAGCCTGGAATCATACAGCCGGAGCCCTGGGTGCCCAAGCTCAGGACCTAGCAGCACTCTTGGGTCAGAGCCGCCCAAGGGGCAGCCCCAAGGGCCGCAGCCATGAACGGGACGGAGGGCCCGAACTTCTACGTGCCCTTCTCCAACAAGACGGGCGTGGTGCGCAGCCCCTTCGAGTACCCGCAGTACTACCTGGCTGAGCCATGGCAGTTCTCCATGCTGGCTGCCTACATGTTTCTGCTGATCGTGCTGGGCTTCCCCATCAACTTCCTCACGCTCTACGTCACGGTGCAGCACAAGAAGCTGCGCACGCCCCTCAACTACATCCTGCTGAACCTGGCCGTGGCAGACCTCTTCATGGTCTTCGGTGGCTTCACCACTACTCTCTACACCTCTCTACATGGATACTTTGTCTTCGGGCCTACAGGATGCAATCTGGAGGGCTTCTTTGCCACCGTGGGAGGTATGAGCTGGGGGTGGCAGGGCCCAGGAGCCAGGGAGCATGGAGGGGTTTGGGGATGGTGGCCAAGAGGCCTTTTCTCCTCGGAGGCGGTCAGCATTATCCAAAGCCCTCACTTTCTCAATCAACAAACACTGTTGGTGATGATAAGCTGGGCTGCCGTTGGTTCAAGGCAGACATTGGACACTGGGAGTTCACTTCACTTGAGTGCTGCCCTTGTCTGGCTTTACAGCAAGGAAACTGGGGATGAGAGGAGTCAAGGACTTTGCTGGGGTCACATGGTGGCAGGGGCTGAGTCAATTCTAGCCCACGTCTGTGTGGCCCCTGAGGCCATGTTCTGTTTACCTCAGAGCAGCTGTGCTGCATCAGACCCACGCCTGGCACTGGGGGTAGAGCTGGACAGGACAGGTGCCTGTGCTCAGGGCTACTAGCCGGAGTGGGAGGCAGATTCTCAGTCCTCCAGTCACTGGACTTGGCCTGTGCTGGGCAGTGGGCTCAGTCTCTCCCATCCCCCAGCATCTATCTGACCCTGCAGAGAAGTGTCCCCATATGTGGCACCCCTGTGTCACTCCTGCCATCTGGCCTAAGACTGGGTGATCCATGGCCACTAAAGGTGACAAACACCCAGTGATGGCCAAAGATTGCCCGGGAATGGGACTGAGGTGGCATCCAGGACCCATGAGGGGCAGAAGACAGGGACACAGGGCAGTCCTGCTCTGCCCGGCACCCTGGCTTTGTAGTAACTGACCTCCAGCATCTCCTGCCTGCCTGAGGGGCCATGCCCTGGGGACCATGGTCCTGGATCTGAGCCAGGAAACCTAGGCTGTGGTTACTGCTGCCCTGCCACACCCCCAAATGAGCCTCTTCCCCTCTCCATGCTTCTGTTTTCTCCTCTGCTAAGTGGAATCTGTTATCTCGGCAGCACCCCAATCAGTTTTCCAGGCAAAGAAAATATTTGAAAGCATCTTCCAAAGCTGCAGATCACCACACAGGCTCAATTCCTCCCTATGGAAGGGGTTTCTCTGAAGGGGAAGAGCCCCCCCACCACAAAAGCACTCAAGCCTAGCAAAGAGACTGGAGGTGGGCTGGGAAGTGTCAGGCCAGAGGCAGCAGGGAGCCGGCGCTGCACACAGGCGGACACCTCTATGCGGTCGTCAGTGATGCTCCCTTTCACGCCCTGGGACACTCCAGCCTGACTGACAAGCTCTATGGCCGCCCTCCCCGCTGAGTTTCTGTCGGGCAGACTTCTGGATTGCCTCACTATTTCCTCCTTCCTCCTCTGAGCAGGGCACTACTCAGCCTCCTGGCTCCCAGGCTGGGGTGCCACGAGCCCAGGTTATTTCATTTTCCAAAGGGGGGAGAGGCCCCTTTAGAAGTAAGGAAAGACTTCCGTTTCCATGGCCACTGCATTGCCTTTCAACAGGAACTCTGCCTAGTGTTCCTGGGAGCACACATTCTTCTGTTAGAAACTCCTTAAAGGGCTTCCAGTCCAGTCATGATGCTGCGATCTGATTCCCTGTGCCCCTCAGGAACCCAGAGCTTTGTCTGAACTAAACCTCGTGGGAGTTCCTCTGCTCTCTGCCCCTCAGCATACTGGTCCCTCTTCCTCTTCTCAGTGTCCATGCCCCCTCCATCCTGTGGCTCTAAACCTGCCCCAGGTGGCCTTCCCAGCCACCACCTCCCATCTAGGAAGAGTGCTGCCTGCTGAGACAGACAGTGGGGGCCAGGCAGGGGACGTGTTGACCAATGGCTGACTGCCTTGCAGGTGAAATCGCCCTGTGGTCCTTGGTGGTACTGGCCATCGAGCGGTATGTGGTGGTGTGTAAGCCCATGAGCAACTTCCGCTTCGGGGAGAACCACGCCATCATGGGTGTCGCCCTCACCTGGGTCATGGCGCTGGCCTGCGCCGCGCCCCCCCTCGTCGGATGGTCCAGGTAATGGCACTGAGCAGGAGGGAAGGGTTTCCGGGGGGTCTTTGTAAGGTCCCCCATCCTGGACTCAAACCTGGGTCTGTCTGGCTCCAGACACGGAGCTCATATGCTCCCTGCCCCAAATACCCACCCTAGCAACATGCCCAGGGGAGGGGCTGCAGCAGCTGAAGACAGGGTCAGAACCCCATGTTGCTATGGGTCCTTGTGCCCCTTCTGAGCCTCCTGTCAAGGAGAATCCAAGATGCCCCAACCTTTCACCTTGGCTGTACCTCTAATCCTCAAATAAGCCAGACCCAGATTCCAATCCTCTTTGGTCCAGTGCCCCTTGGGCAGCTGCCTCTGACCTTGGGCCTCAGCACCCGGGGAGGCCCAGCCTTCCTAGTGCCGGTATTAACGCTGCAGCCCTGAGAACCGGGTCCTGTGCAGCCTCTAGGCAGCTGTCTCCAAATGGGGCTGAGGTGAGAGATGGGGGTAGGGCAGTGGTTTGGGAAACTAGACTGGTGTCTCTGTGGGTTCCCTCTGCTTCCAGAAAATTCCCAATCACTCTTTCCTTTCCTCTTCTCTCAGTCATCTTGGAGTCAGTTTTTTGACACTTACTGAATTCATGCCCACTCCCTCCAGCCTCTTTCTCTGTCTTCTCCAGTTTGGCCCAATTTCATCCTTGTAGGTACAGCCAGTGGACACACCAGATTTCCTGAGGTCAGTCCAATGTCACCATCCTCTGAAATCATTGAAACATCTAATCACATGCCCTGGGGGCCTCTTGGTTACAGAAAATCTGCAAAATCCTCTAGTTACTCTGTGTGCCCACTTTTGGCCTGGAAAATATTCTTACCCTGTTGTTAGTAAGGCCTCAGCTTGTACAAACTGCCTCAAATACAGAGCTTGGGAGCTTTTCCCTTCCCCCTGCCAACCTCTGTCCCCTGTAGCCTGAGGCCTGGCCTCCAGCCTCTAGGGGACAGTGGGTCTGGTGAGGAAATGCTGCAGCAGGTCGGTGGTGTGCAGGCCATGAGGTGAGAGACTGGTGCTCACGACAACACGCCCACCATGCACACAGTGAAACGGTACTGCTTTCCCAACATGCATCAGAATCCTTCTCTCCATTGATTCGATCTTCACAGTCACACAGCCAAATAGATATTTTATTATCCCCACTTTATAGAGGGAAAGTGAGGCCCAGCGCAAGGCTAGCCACACAGCAGATGTTGGCAGAGCCAAGACCGATCAGCTGAGGCATGTCCCCCAGTCCCTCCCGCATGGGGCCCCCTTACGTCCTCTCTGCCCTGTCTCAGGTACATCCCGGAGGGCATGCAGTGCTCGTGTGGGATTGACTACTACACGCTCAAGCCGGAGGTCAACAATGAGTCCTTTGTCGTCTATATGTTCGTGGTGCACTTCTCCATCCCCATGGTCATCATCTTCTTCTGCTATGGGCAGCTCGTCTTCACGGTCAAGGAGGTACAGGCCCGCACGGGGCACTGGGGACACGCCCAGGGCTCGGGCTGAGCCACAGTCAGATGCCAGGCCCTGTGTCCTTGCAGGCAGCGGCGCAGCAGCAGGAGTCAGCCACCACCCAGAAGGCGGAGAAAGAGGTCACCCGCATGGTCATCATCATGGTGATCGCGTTCCTGATCTGCTGGCTGCCCTATGCCGGTGTGGCATTCTACATCTTCACCCACCAGGGCTCCAACTTTGGCCCCGTCTTCATGACCATCCCAGCATTCTTTGCCAAGACCTCCTCGGTCTACAACCCCGTCATCTACATCATGATGAACAAGCAGGTGTCTGCTGGCGGGCGGGAGGGTCCAGGTGCCCTGGGCCACAGAGGCTGCCCACAGGGGACAAGCCACATACTTGCCTGGGCCTCAGGAGGCGGGGGAATTGGTCTCCCCCAGGGTATCCAAGTCATCTGGGAGAAATGCAGATTCCTGGGCCCCACCCAGGCCTGCTGAATCGGAGGCTCAGGTGGGCCCAGGAACCTGCACTCCTCACAGGCCCTCCAGGGGACTCTGTTGCTGGCTCAAGCAGGAGAAGCACCAATCCTGGTGTTTCTGGGCCTGCTTCAAGAGTCAAATGGCCAAAGTCCCAAGCCTGGGAATAGGATTGTGCCATCCTTGCAAAGCTGAACAAGAAACTAAAATTCTTGTTCTCAGAGTAAAGAGGTAAAGCAGTCCTTTAATGTAGACCAGTGGTTTGTCTGCGGAATCCATGATCCAGCAGGGAAAACATGGTCTCTGGAGTCAGGCATATTGGCTTCAAAGCCCAGCTCTCTGCTCTTTTCCAGATGTGTAACCTTGGGCAAATCACTTCCTTGCTCTGAGCTTCAGTTTCTTCATCCATAGAAAGGGCAAAATCCCAAATGCTTGGGTTGAGAGAATTTACAGGTGGCCCTGGGCGCACAGAGGGTATCATGGAATATTGTCAGTGACAAAGCCCCCTCGGGTTTGTCCCTGGCATCTCCAGGAAGGGGTCACATATACTTAGTAACTTCCCTCCAGGGAGCCAGATTTGAGAGGGGCTGGAGGCTGTGAGGGCCAGAAGCCGAGAATGGGTTGGAGGCAAATCTCACTAAGCACCCCAGTTCGCTCCACACCCTTCGGGTGGGCCCTGACCCCGACTCTGTCCCTTGCCTTCCAGTTCCGGAACTGCATGCTCACCACCCTCTGCTGTGGCAAGAACCCACTGGGTGATGAGGATGCCTCCACCACTGCCTCCAAGACGGAGACCAGCCAGGTGGCACCGGCTTAAGCCCCGCTGAGGACTCTGTGGCCCACCGCAGGAGTCTCCCACCCCCACCCCGCCACAGCTACAGCCGCCCCACCAGGCGCCGGCCCTGTTGGAACCAGGTCACTCAGACCACCTGAGTTTTTTTTTTTAAAGAGTTACTGAGAGAGGAAAGGCTCCCCACTCAGCGGGGTTGGCCCAATCTGGAGCCCCGAGTTCCTGGGGGCCAGCAGGATCTGCACCCCTTCTCCCCCCAACTCATCTCTCAGGAACACAAGAACTCTTCTTCTCTGAAAAGTGTCCCAGTTTAGGGATAAGTGTCTAGCACAGAGTAGGGCACACAGTAGGTGTTTAATAAATGCTAGATGGTTGAAGGAAAGAATGAGTAGAGGAGTGAGTGGAGAGATGAATGGTCAGGGGGAGCCTATCATCCTCCCCAAACCACCTTAGCAGCAGCAGGTCATCCTTGGACATGACCCTGAACAGTTGTTCCCCTCCTGGGCCTCACTTTCTTCCCTGTAAGGTGGAAACCCCCAAAATCCCCTGCCCTGCCAACACATGGCTGCGTGCGGATTGAATGAGATTGTGTGTGTGCATGAGGGGGGTGTATTTAAGCACTTTGTAAATGGTAAGGAGCTGTACAAACTGTAGTTAACATTATGAATAATATAAATTAATACAATTAACTAATTACTATGCTCATCTCCTCTTGATAGTCACTAGTTTTGAAATTGAGCCAGACCCCAAGCATCCAGCCTCAACAGGTTTTTAAAAATTAACCAGGTGTCAAGGTCAGACCAGGCCTGGGGGTTGGCCACTGGGAGGGAATCAAGAGAGTGCAGAATGCAGCCATCAGGCCTGAAAAAAACAACAACACTGGAGTCCGGGGGCCAAGTCCAGGTCTCACCCCCAGCTTGGAGCTCCAGGGCTGGTGCCTCCCCTTCTCCAGTCAGCCTGGGGAGAGACAGCTTCTGGAGGCCACCTGCTCTCTTGCCCAACATCCAGGCCGCAGCATATCTCAGCCCTGATGGCATCTAGAAGGCAGGCTCACCTGCCCGCATTTAATGAAGAGCTGAGCCCCCAGTGTCACTCTTGTCTTGAAAAAGTGGGCAATTTGGCTGGATCCACCTTCCCCCGGATGTTCACAAGCCCCAGATTCTACCTCCCTTGCTGAGGGAGCCCATCTTTGGTGGTTCCAGCCCATTCTCCATTCTGGAGAGTCCTTGCTGCAAAGCTGGACGGAACTCTGGGGTGTCAGAATTGAGCTGCCTCAGTAACTGCCCTCTCCCTCTCCACAAAACCAAAGCTGAAGGCTCTAGCTCTCTCCAGCTCTGTCTGGACACTAAGGTAAATTGGGGCATTAAAAGCTCAGCTCCTATATGTGGTGTTAAAGATGGTGGTTTTTGTTGCTCTCACACTCTTTATCTGAAGGATGGATTAAAACTGGGCAGCATTCACCTAATTCTTGACTGTCAGATGCCTGGTTTTGGAAAGGAACCAAGATCTCTAGGGGTGTGGGGTGGAGGGAATAGGTCCTGGAATGGGAGAAGACCCACCTTTGCAGTCACAGAGACCCAGGTGACCTGTGAAACAGCCAGCAAGTTTTGTGACCTCTCTGATCCTCCTTATCACAAAAGGCAATCTTAAAACTGTCCTTGACGGGATTGGATGAGATTGCAGATTTGATGTGGCCGGCCCACTTCCCAGCACACAGCAGATGGTGGGAGACTTTCGGCATTACTGGGGTCTCAGCTCAGAGGTGGCCTTACCGGGACCCCATCTGCAAGGGCAGCAAGGAGATATAGCTCTCAAGAGTTGCCTTCATCCTCTAAAGTGGGAAAGGGTAGCAGGAGCCTGAGGTGGGAGATGGCCAGTGCCATGCCGGGGCTGGGGCAGGTGATAGCTGAGAGCTCGATAGCTGTCCCTCTTCACTCTGTCTCTCTCTAGGTGATGCCAGTCAGGATTCCTTTGGCTGCAGTTCACAGGAAGTCTAACTCAACAGGGCTGAAGCAAAAGGGAAAAATTATTGGCTCCCATAAATGAAAAGCCCAAGGCTTCAGGCACAGCTGGAGGCAGGTGCCCAGATGATCTCATCAGGCTTCTGTGTATCCCCTTCTGTCTACACTCTCCTCTGTGCTGGCTTCATGCACAGACCAACTGTTCCCAAGAGGCTGCAGGTATGGCCACTAGCCAGCAAGCCCTGCAGAAAGTGAGCTGCTCTTTCCAATCAGTTCCAGCAAAGATCCCAGGTAGGGCTCTCACTGGTCAGGTTTGGTCACCTGACTGCTCCTAAGCCTATCATCAGGCTGGGATACGGATTCATTCTTTGACTGGCCAGGCCTGGGTCATCTGATTGCCCCTGCAGCCCAAGACAGAGTTAATCCACATAAGCCTAGTGGTCTGAGGGTGGGGACAGGAAGGATCCCAGAGGAAACCCAGGGTGTTACTAGAAGGAGGGCCAGAGATAGTGCCCAGCGGGGATGGACTCAAAGTCTGATGTCTGGCTAGACCAGGTCTCCCTCCCACACGAGGGACATGGGGGAGAAGATTCACACGGCTGATCCTGCAGGTCTGACTCCCCATTACAGATGCTGTGTTGAGCTGGGCATGGCAGTGGGAGGCATGCTGGCATTTCAGCTACCCTGCCATGCAGGCAGCCCTGTCCCCTCAGTCCCCCACCCAGCCCACTTATTCTGAGGAGTAGTATGTTTATCTCAGCCTCACATCTAGAGAAAAAAATTGAAAACTAGAAAATTCTCTATTTTTCCTTGGTAGAGAGGAAAGCCTCTTTACCTCCTTAATTTACAATTGATTTGACAGTCACTTGCAAGGCACTTGCCAAATCTAAAGGCAAAGAGCCGCTGGCTTAGACTGGGGAGAGGGTGTTTCCTGCCTCATCTCCAGGCTCCAGGCTGCCCAAAGGTTTGTGGAATGCCGGTTGTACACAGTCCTATCTCTACTCAGCTCACTGCAAGCCAGGATGTGCCGGGGACTCAGGGATGACCTCCAGGTCACAGAGCTCTCACTGCTGATCTTGTCTCTGGGAGGAGAGAGCCAGAACCACCCCCAATCCCAAGTCATCAGGGCCTGATGGCAGCCTGCTTCCCCTGGCTGCCTCAGGAAAGGCATACACTCCTGACACCCCAGAGTGCCGCCAGGGAGGCACTGGGTGTCCTTCCCAGCTGGGTGACCTGGGCCAAGTTCCTGAACCTCACTAGGCCTCAGGCACCTCAGCTGTAAAAAGGAGATCCTGCCAGGTGGTAGACTTGTCTAAATGGACTATGAGATTATTGACATAAAAGATGCAGTGCATAGCAGACATTCAATAAATGTGAGGTCCCCTCCCAGAGTTGTGCACCAAGTTCAGTGGAGCAGCCCCTGGTATGGGGGGAGACAGAGGTGCAGAGGCATTAAACAATGGATGGATCTCAGGAAAGGGTGATGACTGTCCCCACTATGCATTCCCTTTCTTTCTTTTAATACTATCACCCCAAGTTCTAGCTAGGCACCTAGCCACTCTGCACAAGACTGAATCTCCCAGCTTCTCTCGAACTAGTGATGGCAAAACATTAAGATCTGGCCAATGGAGTACAATGAGAAGTGATATGTGCAGTCTCTGGGTTGCACATTTCAGAGAACGGGTGCATCCTCCACTTCCTCTCCTTTTTCCTTCCTGATGGCTGGAATGTGGTGGTGATGAGCAGAGCTGCAGCAGCTATCTTGGATCAAGAGGTAGACTCTATGGGCAGGGAGTGGCAGAGCATTAAGAAAGAAGGGGCCTGGGTTTCCCATGCTGCCTTACCAGCCCTGCACAACTTATATTTGAAGAGCCTCATGAGAGAATGGTCTCATGGTTTCTCGTTTGAGCCACTGTCAGTTTGGAGTTACAACTGGTTTCTTAACTAACACAGAAGACTTACAAGTTGCAGCCCAGAGTCGCAGCCCAGAGTCTGGGCTCAGGAAATCTGCAGGTCCTCTCTGAACTTTAGACTCTTCATGTATAAATAGTGCATATAAAACATTTACATGCACATTGAACATGGCCGCTGTTACTCTTTCTACCCTGCCCTTTATGCATATATTCACCTAAAGTCACAAATGTCTTGATGCTATGGAGGCTAGAGTTAAACAAAACAGATGCCCTATCACCACTTCAGAAAGTTCAGAGCTGTAATCTTCAGAACTATAAGAAAGTTCACATGTAGGAGGATCCCATTCAATGTTCCAAGACAGCAAAAAAGTTTTTGGCAGAACTTAAACTCCACACAGACCTCAGTAAAAGAGTCACATAAGTACACCTGGCAGCATGTCCTCTCTCTAGCAGTCTGATCCTCACAACTATCATTTCCCTGTAAAAAGACAATCCTCCAGAAGAATTTTTAGATCACGCAGCACATTTTAGAACTCCTTCTCTCCAAATGCAAAGCTTTATCCTGGCACTGCCAGGAGCAGGGCTCAGATGAAGCTCTTGGGAATGTTTGTATTGCTGAATCTTCCCTGTTTCTCAACTCTTGGAAGTGCCCCACAGTGTGATCAAACTCACTGCCCCCATTTGTGCCAGCTTCCATGTGCCTCTTCGCCTCATCTGTCTCCTGCTCTAGCATGGTTCCCACGCATGGTTTTCAGACCTTCTTCCGCTCAGTCGTGCTGGGCTCAGGCACTGGGGTTTCCACAGCAATGGGTGCTGAGCACCTACTATGTGCCAGGCACTGTGCTGGGCACCAGGGACACCACCAGGAACAAGACAAACAACTTGGCTTAACCCTCTCTTCCCCTATCAGCTGAGATTAAGGACTAGTGAGGGGGATGGTACTGCAGAGCATGACTCAGGGTCTGCTGTCAACGAGAGGAGGGTCCCCTAACCTCCTAGGGAGTCAGGGAAGGCTTCTCTGAGAAAGTGACATCTACAGTGAGGTCAAAGGGGTGGGTGGGAAACAGTCCAGAGAAGTAGGTGTGGGTAAAGAAGGTCCTTTTAAGCAGAGTGTATCAGTTTGTGTTACATGACAGCTCCAGAACCTCATGGCTTAAAACAACACACCCTGTATTGTTGCTCATGACTGTGGGGTCAACTAGGTGGTTCTGCTAATCCAAACCAAGCTTGGTTGGGCTTATTCAAGTGTCTGCAGTCAACTAGAGGGTTGACTGGTTGGCTAGTTGTAGGCTGGGTGACAGAGGTGAATGGGCCATAGGCCTCTCAGCATCCAGCAGGCTAGCCAGGGCTTGCTTGCCTGGGCCTGGGCCTGGCAGAACACCACTTCCACCATACCCAGTTGGCCAAAGCGAGTCACAAGTCCAGCTCCCATTTCAGGTGTGTAGGGGGAACTACAAAATTCCACTGCAAATGGGATGCATATGGCGGGAGTGAGAAACTGGGGCCATTTTTGCATCAGTTTAACACATACACAGAGGAACACAAAGGGGAAAGCCCAGCTCTCAACACCTAGCCCAACCCAAGAGCCACAGTGTGGTGGACTGTGGCATTCCAGGGAGAAGGAGGCTCCATAAGTCACACCAAAGAGGTCAAACTTTCACCGTGGACAGCAGGGACAATACCTGATTTCACGTTAGAATGCTTTGATGGCCACCACCAACCTCAATTAGGACCTCTGGCAATGAATGGGAAGTCCCCTAGAAAAATCCCAACAATAAAGAGAGTAGAGAGAAAAATGCAGATCTGTTTTAAGCCTGTCCCACCCAAATCGTGCTGTTACCTTGGTATGAATCCTTCTGTGTCTTCACTTATACACACACACACACACACACACACACACACAATCAATCACATGTGAGTTCTGTCTTCTAAGTGGGGAGCATATTCCACAGATACACTCTGGCTTATTCATTTTCACTGCTGTATAGCATTCCATCATGGGAACAGACCAGTTCATCCACTCTCTTCCTGATGAGCATTTAGATTATTTTGAATTTTTGCAAATACTGCAGTGAGTATCCTTGCCTATCAGTGTGAGAGTTTCTCTCAGATTTATACCTAGAGTGACATGGGGGGTAGGGGGATGTGGCATGAGTCCATCTTTAATTGAATTAGACATGACTGAATTGCTTTCTAAAGTGGCTACTAACTCACCCTCCCAGCAGCTATGCATTCCTTCATGTCCTAGATGGTACTGATAGACATTTAAATATTTTTCATTCTACTGGGTGTGAATACCACCTCATCCTGTTTTAATCTGCCTCATTTCAGATGGCTGCAGAGTATTCTACAGTAAGGGAGTAATTCACTTAGGCCCTGAGTGATTCATTTGCAAGTTTTTTTTTAATTCTCCTAATAATTCAGCGATTATTTCTTTTCTGACTAATGCAATTGTAGGACAGAGAAGCGGAGTTGCCGGGTTCAAGGGAGTACCACTTCCAGTGGGCTATAGCCTGGTTTATGCCCCCGGCAGAGGCAGCGAGGTCTGGCTCCCCACATCCTTGTCGACACTTTGCCTTCGATTTTTGTCA